TCATGAAGCTCAAGCCAGTTGAGCAACTAGTACCATCCAGCCAGCCATTCGATGATGAAGTACTGCGGGAGCTCTGCAAGACGCTCCTCAATGTACCCCCGATCGTTGTCTCAGAGATCATTCAGGGTCTTAAGGATCTCCCAGAAGCTCAGTTTGGCAAGCATCGTTATATTCCCGGGATGCTCGATCGACTTAGCAAGCAATATACCGAGTTCGACAACGGTAACCTCGTTGCAGCGCTACTGATGAACTACATTACTCTTGGACCTGGAGAGGCTATCTGCGTGCCTGCGGACAGTATCCATGCGTATCTTTGTGGTGACATCGTTGAGTGTATGGCGCGTTCTGATAATGTGATTAATACGGGGTTTTGTCCGCGTGCAGAACGTGATAATGTCGATTTATTCACGCGCGCTCTGACTTTCAAGCCACACGGAGTGGACGAGGCTCTTTTGCTGCGGAGAAAGAGTGACAAGGGTGTCAATGGGAAATCGGATGAGTATGCGCCTCCTTTCAGTGAATTTAACGTTTTGGCGACTAGTCTGGGAGCCGGAGAGCATGAAACACACAAGGCTATTTCTGGACCAAGTCTTCTCTTTGTCACCAAAGGATCTGGGCGACTAGAATTGGCCGAGGGTAAGTCCGTCAAGACATTCGACCTGCAGGAGGGATATGTATACTTTGTTGGACAAGGTGTGAGACTGGGTCTATCTACGGACAAGGGAATCGCTGTGTATCGACCATATGCCGAGTAAACGGAAGTATTCGAAACACTAAAATACGGGACATTTTGGATGAGATGCTTGCCTCCATGTACACTGGGGTCTGTAGACGTTGAGGTTAGGTTTGGGGTCTGTCTAGCCCTCTAACAAAGCGTGGCGTATAAAATTGTAGAATGAGCCGACCGACAGGCATATCCTGGAAACGCCCGATTTGAACATGTTTAAAATTCTAGAATGATAGAAACCAAGTTGGATCCGCGACCAGTTACCCAGCATCTCCGATTTCTCCTCATTTGCTCACTTTAAAATAGATCAACTAATGCGGGTCCGCTCCTTCAATTGCCGCTGATACGACAATCCGAGCGCTTGCAGCTCCAAAACCGAGCATCGACAGCCAATGAATCTGCAATCGCGCCGAAATCCTTCTATTTTTGGGGTTATTGCTTTTGTCACAGACTGGTGCTTGCTGGATACACTGCATACTGTCACGCTGGCTAGCCGCGACTCAAGGCTGGAGCAGATGCCCTGACCGGAACTTAAAATGATCTCAAACAAGTCATCCTGAAACAAGGCTGGAGGTGAGCGTGAGTTCTTAATGGGGGATGTCTCCGCTCTTCTTGAACTGAAGTGAACTGAACTGAGGGGGAAGCTCAAGTGTTTTTTCTCGGCCAGCGACCTCTTCAATCTTACCCCGCAAGCTGGCAATATGTTTCTCCCTCTTGGCCAAAGGTCATTGGTGCCTCGATCGAGTGACCCGGCAACCAACCAGATTATCATCGGCGTTGTTTTGGGTTGTGTCGCTGCTGTCGCTAGTAAGTATAGCCTTTCTTCTCTATAAACCCACTGAAAACGTGTTGTTGATGTCAAACTAGTCACTGCGGGGATCTTGTTCATTCTCTTCAAGAAACGGAGATGGGATCGCATCCGACAATACGAGGAGAACATGCTGGTCATGCATGCACCGATGGGATATAAGCCCCAGGAATACCCCTCCGACAACCAGGGAATGGAACGGCCACGACCCTATTCGTCAATGTATTCCTATAGTCAACCACGAGAGCAAAGCCATATCCATCCTCGTGGGAGACTGTCCGGGGACACCCCGCCACCCGCATATACCACTATACCCGCCTATGACCCCTCGAGGTACCAGGCCATTAGTCAACTGCCACCATCAGTTAAGGTCAATCGACCGACCCAGGTGGATCCGGTCGGTATGTTTGAGGAAAGACCATTCTCTTTTATTCGAGGCGTCGAGCAGCAATACACCGGGCCAGCGGAGACACAGAGAAGCTCGTCTCAATTAGAGCAGCGGGGACTGTCACTGGAGAGCTCTCGGTCGATGGACTCGACTAGTAGCACCACCAATTTCTCTCGACCTTTAGAGGGGGCGCAATCACTTCGACGACCAAAACCTGTGCTGTCGAGGTTGGTCACGAATTTTAATTAGGGTCTGGCTTCAACTTGTCAAATCGGACGGATCTGGTGGTCTTGGTTAGCGTTGGGTTGGTAAATGGGACTGGGATGGATAAATGGGTCAATACGGCGTATGGTGTATGGAGTGCTTTTCTCTTTTCCTGTTTACTTTCGGTCTTCCTTCTTTTCTTTGGGGAAGCGACGCGATGGATTCATGACAGTAACGATCTCTGCGTTCCTATGCCGCAGCGTTAGGTATAATGAAATTGATGATGATCATGAAGCATGTCCTGTGTTGCTAGAGTATGGGCTCGCAGCTAATGTCTCGCTGTCACGGCAGTCTGGTGGATGTGATTTGCTAGACCATGATCCAAAGAATATTTCGTGATTATGCTGTTGTCTGTTCTTGTGCACAGCAGAATCCATAATGTGTTCCTGCTGAGATTGAGTCCCGGTGAGTAAGTGATGAGGTTGTCGTGATGGCGCTGTCAACTCACCCTTTGTAGAACCAGGCGTAACAAGTAGGATAACGAAGAAGTTCGACGCTGCTCCTCAAGAAAGGGCGGGACTAACATCCTTCCTATCCTGATTCAAACGATTGCTCCTTCCGCAGAACGATATGGGCATAGCTAAACAAGCCAAACATCTAGAGACAGCAAGGGCTTAGATATCAGTATCTTCACTGAAGAAGAATACTATGCCACTGCTGGCATATTTGGAGCTTAATATCTGTGGGGAGGAATCAGGTCCACTGGTAAAATGGGGGTGGCAAGTTACTAACAACTTCCTTTACCCGACTCGTTGAAAAAAGGGTAATACCTGAGCCGATATCTCTACCAGTGGTACTTGAGACAGTCCACCTGCGGCAGTGAAAAGTATCCACAGGAAAGGAGAAAGGAAAGAACGGTGAAAAGTACTGGAAAGTTGGTGGGACCTGGCTACTTAGCCTACATGGTTGTGTACTTGTGAGGGGCACAGTCTGACAGGGTGTACGATGACTCCATTAGTCCGACTTATTACAGGGATTTATCATTGAAGCTGGTGCTGGCGCTTGTGTCTTGTAGGATATCGTGCCTACTACTAGCACTAGTACTTCTGAGCGTGACGTCCATGGCATCTGCAGGGTAGTATTCTGACGGGTATTGGCAGTGGGACTAAATACTAGGCCACTCAAGCACAAAGAAACGGAGGTACAGAAGGGCAGGGAAATAAAATGAAAATTAAGGAAAACTACTATAATCAAGTGGATTGTACACGGAGTAAGCCATAGAACGATCTGGACGTGAGTCATGGTCTATCATAGCCTACAGGTCCTAAAGCCATAAACATCGGCAGTCTGATGTGCTATAGCTGTCTTGTCGAATAAGTACTGATAGTTTTGAATAACTAACCTTTGCAGTAGATGGGCCGTGGACCTTAGTGACCATTGAACTACCAAGACCAACACCAAATAACTATAACTCGCAAAAGATGTCTACCGTCGTTGTACAGCGATTGAGGCTACTTGCCAGGATCAAATGGAGGCTGCCCGACCGGGATGTTAGGGCAAGGATGTCCAGGAGGAATTTGTCATCGGTCATTTGACGAGCAACGTCGCTTGGGCGTTCACACCTTGTCAAAATCCCCAAACTGTCTAGCTGCAGGGCATTAACAATTCGTTTATCTTGGACAAGAGTTTATTAGATTGGCCATCCCACGTCGTCTCCATCACGGCGCGTAGATAAGCTCGGTGGATGGTTCGGGTTCAACCGCGACGATCAACCGGGTGCTTGTTCTCGCGCCAGCCAACGACTTTCTCCCTTCCCCCTCTTTTCACCCCTCCGCAGCGGAAGGAATTATGGTTCCGTGTGCAAATTAGTGCGTTGATGTCTGTGGAGACGTTAGGTAAAAAGACTTCGGTCCCTTGAACACAATGGGCCTCATTTATTAACTCATCTGACACTTCACCAGTCATACGAATGGATTGCCCTCCACTTCCCTGTGAGGTGATGTTGCATCGCTTGCGCTCGCGGGGTCGACGCACCTATAAACGGCAAGGAGTTGTACAACATCCTTGCTCCCAAGCCATAGCTCTGTTCTGTCCCCTGTCCCCTGTGTGCTCGCCAGTGTGATGTTGGCCATGAAGCGCCACGCCAAGCCAGGACCCACGCCGGTTTACACTTACATCCATGTCTTGGTGGGTGACGGTCGACGCAAGATGACTGCGCCGTAATATTCACCCCTCGTTCGGCCCTATCTTCATGAGCTACGAAGCCGGGCGCTGGACCCGGTTGTCTTCCCTGTCATAATTATGGTCGGCCCAGCTTCCTAGGGCCAGTTACCATCGCCAGTCGTTGTGCTGCTTTCGAAGACCCCTCGGTGGCCAAGGGAGATCGGTCTGTCGGTCTTCATCTACTGGTGCTCTGTCAACCTCCACCGGAAGGGGGTAGAGGAGGGGCGGACCAGACTGTCGGGTCCAAGACGCGTCCCCTACTCGCACCACATTTGCCTTGGAGCCCGCCCGTTGACAGTCTATCTCTCCGGGAGACCCTTCCTCGGCCGCCAATTCAGAGAGACATGCAGATGCCATTTGACGAGCGGTATGTCGTCGATGGACGTATACTGATATATCATCATCCCATGCAGACTGGCGGTCCCCAATACTTCCACATTTCCCGTCTTCTGCGTTTAGATAGTCTTTGACCCCGCCTGACGAATTGGTAGACGAGCGACACGCATAGCTTGCCAGCGTCAAGGTATGCGTCACGCACACTTTTGACACGAAATTTTGTATGCTTTGAGCCACTCGTCGTTAGTTAAAGCTCAAACGCTTACCACGCATATGTGGGCAGGCTTCATTCTATGAAAAGCCCTTTGAATATCATGACAGGTATTATCCAAAAATTAAGAAGAAAGCGAAAGCTCTCTTCGGAGCTGCACTCCCGCTGGGGTGATGTGGCTATCACGTATCCCAATGCCGGCTCCTGGAGTCAATACGAGCAATCGCCTGTTGGAACACCCAATTCGATACCCGTTAAAATGTTAGATCACTGTCGACGACATGGTTCCCTTGATTCGCTCGATCACCATGGCCACGCATCTACTCTACCTTCGGGCAACTTCAAAGAGCGGACATCATCCACTGATTCGGCCATGACTATGCCAACGGGACACTACGACGCAAAGCTACGAGGGCGATCGAAGAAAAAGGCACCCCCTCCAAGTCCTATAGTAGGACATAAAGCCCATCCCACAGTGAGGGATGGTTTTGACGAATCTTCCACTGATGAGGAAGAGGATTCCATATCCGGTCTTAACAGTCCAAAGGGGCGATATCCACGGGACAGGTCTCGCACGAAATCCGGCGAGGAAAGCGGAACCTATTCACGCGCGTCCAAATCACCGCCGCTGTCGGTCACATCACGAATGCGCCACTTCAGTTTACAGAGTACTACAACCGATCCGACAGCATCTATACCAGCTACATCGAGTTCGAGACATACCAGTTATACGTCGTCTATCCCTTCAGTGCCGTCTGAGGACCCTCGGCTGGGACACCGACCAAGTCCTCGTGATACTAAACTTATGCATCGGCCGAAGCCTGCACCGGTTGCAGAACAGGAGTTGGTTCCGTCGTACGATGATCTTTACGGATAGTCGATGTCCACTATATTGGATTCGAGATAATGCTTTGAGTTTCCTGTGCAAGAACAGGCTCCTGCAAATGCCTAATACGTTAAGCTACCATGAGTCATGAAAACCACTGATCTACCGATTTGGATCTTTCTTTGCTTATTTCTTTCATGCTTCGTCTCTCTCTCCTATTGTCCTTTTCGATGCCACCGACGAGAAAGAACAAACTTGCATAGTGGCGTTATTATCTAATTCGTATCTCATCTGGGAGGCTTATTTTTCTTCCTTTCTTTTTTCCTTTTTTCCTTTTCTTTTTTTATCCTGCTCCATATCAATCCGATTTGACCAAGTGCTATAGTAGTAGTCTATGAGCGATTTGATTTACCCTGTGCATGACAGCCAATGACGGTGAATTGCGCTTAACTGATGTTTGGCGCATTTCGACGGAGTGACCACCGACAGGATTTTCGGGGACTAGAATCTGTATACGATTATTATTTTCCTGTTATTATTATGACATATAGTCACGAATAAATGACATCTTTTTTTTTATGTATTTTTTATGTATTTCTCTTTTTTCTCTGTTGCATTTCCGGGTTCGGGGAAAAGGCACGCGCAATGCAGGGACACTGAGAGTTGCGAATCTTCTAAGCGCCCAGTGCCAAAGAAACTGCAAATGGGAAACACAACAGGTCGAGCACTTCGGAGGGATGTTCCGAAGCTCAAGAATTGCACTGTGCATTTTCCAATGAGGAGTTTCACCAATGATAAACGGCAGGAAACAAAAAGATGAGGGGTTCCAAGGGAGATCGACGAATGGAAAGCCTCAAGCGCAGAGGCGATGCGACCATCTGCAGAAGCCGTCACAATCACAATCACTCGTCGCCAATCCCTCGTCACGCTCATCACACGAACCGCCTGTCACTGGGCAAGGATCAACCTTCCACTACCTGTCTTTTACAGGTACTCTTAGCGCCCAGCTGCACACTGTATGCTTGTTCAGTCTTGACTAGCTTGACAGCTTCCAAAGCACGATGATCGTACCACGGATGCTACTCTGTACCTTATCAATCCCACGAAGGTACCGGTAAGGCCTCTCTCTCGGCGTCCAGTCATTGTGAAAAACCGCAAGTTCAACCCTCTCGTCACCCTCTGTTACCCGCACCGGACAATTGAGGTGCTTCCCCTCCCTTTTTCATCCTCGCTGGATCCGCAGTTGTGTTGAGTATTAAATGCCAGCACTGCGGGCAAGCTTTCCCTCTTAGCTGTCTTAGTGCAGACAGTATCTGGAGACCACTTCCGACACCAACATGCTCGGCTCCTGGGGCCTAGTTCCGAGATCTACGTCTAAATGGGCGGCGGCCTTAATTCTCCTCTGCCAATTAGTCCAACTGGCTGTGGCGTTGCGGACAACACCAGGATCACCATGTGCAAGCGTTTGCAATAAGCAATCGACCAACACGACGGGGTCTGAGATTACCTGTCTAGATACCGATTTCACTGCCACCGGCAAAGGGTCGCAATTCAAGCAGTGTGTCGACTGTCAGTTGCGCAGTACTTACAGTGACCCATCTTCCGGGGAGACGGATGTGGACTGGGGGCTTTGTAAGTATACACTGTGTCCGCCTATTGGTGCTCTCTAACCATCGGAGCTTTGTAGACAATCTTCGTTATACTTTCACCTCCTGTGTCTATGGCTACCCAAAAAGCGTGAGCAATATCTCCACGCAGTGCACAGTGAATTGTCAGCCGTTGGACAGAGCCTTAGAGTTTGATCTGACAGACCCGGGTGCGAATAACTTTTACACCTGGTGTGGCACTACGTCGTTTGCCGACAATCTCATCACCCAGTGCGAAAAGTGCTATAATTTCACCCTCACCCAGACCCAGGATCCGACAAATGGTCAATCACAGGTCTTTATGGCGAACTGTGCGTTAGAATCCCCGCCATCCCCGAGTAACATGCGTAGCTAACTTGAACCTTTGAAACGCAGTCCTTGAAGCGCTTCGATATAACTGCCATTTTCGAACACCCACGGGCTTTGCATTCCCTATCAGCCCGACGAGGATTTTCAGCGAGTCGCTGTTACCATCCTCCACGGTAGACCTTATCAACCCAACCCCGACCAGTGGTCCCGGGGTAAACCTGGCTCTGGTGATCGCACTCCCGGTCCTGGGGTTCGTAATTCTGTTGTGTGCACTGGCCATATGCTGCTTCTTTTTCATTCGGTGGCGTCGCAGAAAGGCCCGAAAGCACCGACAATCCAGCCACCTCCATGCCCGGTGGAACGATACCGGCATCAGTACCCCGTGGGCAAACTACCACGAGATGTACAGTCCCACCATGTATCAGCAGGGTTACGGGCAGCAGCCGGGTTTCACCTTCGTCGACAACGATGGACAATATCGGGATGTGGGTTATTCCAAGAATATCACCGAGGTAACTGCATCCACTGTCGCAACGCCTCCCCTGAACCTTTCCCCAGACGGAGAGAAACAGAAAAACCCCGAGTACCCTGAGTACTTCGGCCAGGATTCCAAGCAGAAGCGGTAATACTGACCAACAGTCATAGACTGGTCCATGCAAGAGGTTTCCGAGCCGATAAGTAATGTATGGTTTCGTGCATGTTAGTTCGTTTTGCATGTCGTTATGTTTCATGAACTCGATGAAGAGAACTGCGCTCATCGCGATATACCCCCTCCATTCCTTGACCATTCAGCGAAAATATCCGCCTATTTTGTATTCTTCTATGATGGAAGTCGACTTCCATCTCATGTCATATATCATAGTCGGAAATACATATCAAAATCCACACACGCGCACACACACACACACACACACACAAGCAAAGAACAAGAAAGTAAGCAGAGAAATCTCACAGTCAAGGTAACAAGATTATATACACCAGCTCCCCCGCCCACCAAGAAGATCAAAACGCAGAAGGATGGAAGGCTCTAAAAATAAACACGGCATAGCGAGAGCCAAGTCACGACGAGATTGGACCGACAGGCGTCTAAAAGTTTCAAGTCACTCGGCCAAGCTCCAATCACCACCATGCAAAGCTGGCAATGATAATAATAGAACTTTGCAGGATTCTTCACCGGTGAGTTTAGCCGGAGTCCAAGCTGGTTATAGCATTATTCAGAAGGGGCTCGTGGGTAGTTATGACCCTCGAGTTGTGCTCTGTCGATAGGACTGCATCTCGTACTTCTACTTGGGTGGTGGGCTGTTGGTTACGTTACTGACCCAATCTATGGAGGAGGGGAAGGTCCCTGAGGCAAAAAATACACCAAACCCGATCAGGCGATAGTATCTAATCAACTGCATTTACTTGGATTGCATCTCCAAATCCCATCCAACAAATACTAGTGACCTCCTCCAACCACACCGTTGACAAACAATATCAACGCACCTATAGCACCCCCAAAAGGAAAAAGGCAAAATGGCCACCCCGACGCATGAACAGCTCAAAACCCTCGAGCAATCCCGCCAGCGATTGGTCCAGCTCACGCGCTCCCTGGCGTCCCTTATAGGAAGTCTAAATCAAAGTGACCCTCTGCCATCCTGGTACGTTTATACAGTTCCACCCAATCATTCCTGCCGGTTTCATCGGCCGTAAATCCGATTTTATGGATAATGACTGAATGGGCAAGGTAATTGTCGCACGTAAGCTAACTTGTGTTAAAATAAACAAAAGGTCCTCCCTCCAATCCCAAGCAAGCATCATCTCAAATAACCTCCTCAGCGTCTCCGACCACCTCTCCGATAACCGTGATCTCTTGGCCTCCATCGTCGCCTACCCGGGCCCCGACTATCCGGGCCGGACGCAGGCCAACACGCTCGAACAGCTGCTTCGGACGAAACTCGACCCCCGCGTCGAAGACTGGGTTGCGCGCGGTCGCAAGGCCGGCGCGTCTGCGCTGGAGGATACGTCGGGGCTGGCGGAGGCGGAGCTGGCGGAATTGTGGGATTGGGCGCCCGTGGAGGCGAATCAGGAGGCGAGACGCAGGAATTGGGGTGGAAATTTTACGCTCGAGGAGAGGGAGATGGGGGTGCAGAATGTTGTTACGGGGTTGGTGAGGGTGTTAGAGGATGAGGGGAGTGAGAGTGAGGAGGAGGAGGAGGAGGAGGAGGAAGGGGAGGAGGATGAGATGGAGATTGTCGGTGTTAGGAGGCAGTCTGCTGGGGCTGGGTTTGAGTTTGATATTGCGCCTGCGCAGCACCACCAGCAGAAGTTTATGGAGCCTGCGGTGCCGTTGGAGGATATTTTGAGGTTTATGACCACTGGAGCGGAGCCTGGGAAAAGGTAATTTATGGATAGGTTGATTTAAAAAGTTACGAGGGAATGAGGATAGAACATTTCGTGAAGAGAATGTATTACGTTGTATCATTAAAACTGCATACTGAGTGAGGAAAGCAATCAATAGCGAAACTAACCACGGCGTCGGGTAGTCGGGGTCTTTCCAGACGGCTTGGGGGAAGGAGATGCGCCCGAGCTCTGTGCAACGGGTGCCTTCTCCACTGGCTTGGGAGCTGCCTTCTTCGCCTTCTTGGGCTTCGTGGGCGCCTTCCAGTAGTACACCATTTGGGTTGCCAAAATCACGTTTAGAGTGAAACCGGCAATGAAGCCATAGAGAATCAACTTGTCGTCTACCTCTTGGAGGGTGGTGAAGATACGGGACAGAGAGCCGGCAAGATAGTTGAACACCTAGACTCACGTTAGCCGAGTTCCCAAGCTGTCCAAGGATGAAAGAAAACCTGGTACATACCGCAAAAGCACTCAACTGTCCAGTGCCTCCCTCACGCCAAATGGTAATGATCTGGGGCAACTTGCTCGCAACGCCCAGGGCACCAGCACCAGCCTGCAAAAGGGACATGGTCTGCACATCCACCAAAGTTTGATCGAAAAGCAATGCGTACACGCTGGCCGCAACAACGGCAATGAACGCCGCAGCCGCAGTTGGTCGATCGGCGAAGGTCAACACCAGGACACCCACCATTACATCTTGTACGGCGATCAACGCGGTTTCGCCATAAGTGCTAAAAGGGAACTGATTGCGCACACTGTATGACAGAGTGATGAGCAAGCTAGCAGTTTCGAGAGCGTACGACACAAAGGACACGCCGGCCGAGGAGCGAGATCCGATCAATTTCAGAATCTGGGGAACCTTCACGATAGCGCTGGCACCCACGATGGCAATCCCTAGCGCCTTGGAGATGGCAAGGGACGTGCAGGCAGGATCTTTGGTGACATCAAGATCAACCAAGAGAGCGTTGTGGCAGGATGATCCGATTAGAGAAGTGACGGTATCGTGGACGGGTTCCGGCAGCGACGAGACGATCTGACGGAGGTAAGGTTGGAGAGGGGTGATGATATTTTGCTGGAGGGGTTCCATGATGGAAGCGGCCATCTTGAGGTTGACTGCTGTAAAATATATACGAACAGAAAAGGCCAGGCAAGCTCGCTGAGGTGAAGGTTGTAGGACGGAACTTTTTTAAAGATGGACCGATTGATAGCTGTCCAGACAACTCGCCGAACTGCGGTTGTGGTCCCTACCGCCGGGCGAAGGAATTATTCTCCGTCGCGATAGGGCACATCGGAATTCTGACCTCGTTCTACGAGGCTCAATGACAGATTAGCAGATCCTCTTTAATGTTCTTCTCGCCATGATCCTCCTCCGCTCCTCTTTTCGGAGGCTAGGATCGACTCGAGATCCGTCCCTCGTATGTTCGCGATGTCTCATACGCAACTACCGTCCTCATCCGCCCTCCGCCCTCCGCAGCTTCCTGTCGTCCGCGCGATCACAGTCAAGCATTGCAGATGATCAATCCTCTTCCGCCGTTCTCCAGAAGACGTATTTCTCTGCCAATCGAGGTACTGAGAGTGCACCGAGCAAGGATGGCATTTCCCCCTCATCATCACCCACCAGTCCCGCGCATGCGAATGCTGCCAATATCCCCAGAAGCGAAGGCGAGGCGGGGTCAGCCTCCACAGAATCAATTGAGTCGGAATTGCCTCATCGTCGAAGGAAACGTCTAAAGGAAGAAGCAACTGGAAATCATGGAGCAGATCATGTTATCCCGCCAGATGCTTCGGCGCAGTTGTCGCACCTCTCAGCCGCCCTCCCCAAAACCTCTATCCGCCGCAAATTAGCCGCCTATCTTGCTCTCACGAAACCTCGCCTTTCCGTGTTGATCGTGCTGTCTACGACATCTGCGTATGGCATGTATCCTATTTCGTCTCTTCTTGCTCTTGACCCATCAATGACGCCGCTTCCGACCCTGTCAACTTCCACACTTACTCTTCTTTACCTCACGGCGGGAACATTCCTTTCGTCTTGCAGCGCCAATACATTGAATATGATGTTTGAACCCAAATACGATGCACTTATGTCCCGGACACGCAACCGGCCCATCGTCCGTGGTCTCGTCTCTCGCCGTGCTGCCTTTTTGTTCGCCGTTGCCACAGCCGCCTCGGGTCTCGCTCTGCTATACTTCGGCACCAACCCAACCGTGACTGGTCTGTCGGCTGCTAACATCTTCCTATACGCCTTCGTTTATACGCCATTGAAGCGTATACATGTAATCAATACCTGGGTCGGTGCTATCGTAGGAGGTATTCCTCCGTTGATGGGTTGGGTCGCAGCGGCTGGCCAAACAGCGACAACGGGCCACGACACATGGCGCGACATGCTCTTTAGCAAAGATAGCATTGGTGGTTGGCTGCTCGGAGGGATCTTGTTCGCATGGCAGTTCCCCCATTTCAACGCCCTCTCCCACACTATCCGCGAGGAGTATAAGAGAGCTGGATACAAAATGCTCTGCTGGGTCAACCCCGCTCGCAATGCTCGCGTCGCGTTACGTTATTCCATCCTGATGTTCCCGATATCTATTGGTCTTTGGTATGTCGATGTTGTCGGCCACGGCTTCTTGGTCAGTAGCTCTATCGCAAACGGTTGGCTGGTGAAAGAAGCGTACCATTTCTGGCAGCATCAAGGTGCCAATGGCACAGCCCGCGGTTTGTTTTGGGCCAGTATCTGGCAACTTCCCATCCTGCTTGTCGGTGGTCTAGTTACGAAGAAGGGCTTATGGGACGGTGTCTGGAAGAACGCCTTCGGCCAACCCGAAGACGAGGATGAATACCTCTACTATGACGACGAAGGTGAAGATGGAGAGACAGGAAACCAGATCACATCCCAGTCGGCATCTGTCGCTGGTTCCCGCCCTGCCAATGCAGCATAGTTACTGGGTGATATTCCTTCACTGTAACCTTGCCTTGGTTCTTGTGTATTAGATTGATTCCCTTTTTGCACGGTGATGGCGTTTTGTATAACAGACATGGTTGCTCTTGACATCTCCGAACTGTAGGTATATATAACCATGAATTTCCTTCTACGTTTGCATTCTTTCATGGATAGCTATTAGCCAGATGACCCAGAATGCCAATACACTACGGGTATTTCAGAAATCCACTTGAGAAGAGATCGGGTATCATATGTTACATCTATCTATAGTACAGACCCATCGTATATATACAGCTTTTAGCCAGTCGTAGCCGCGAGACCAAAATCACTCCTTTAGTTGAAGATGGTATGTCTCCAATGCCTCCTTGGTCATAACGCTAGGCGCCTTAACCATCGGATCTTCACCAACTTTGCCTATCTTCGGGAATGCGATGACGTCTCTCACAGACTCCTTGCCCAGCATCACGGCGACAAGACGGTCGAATCCCAATGCCAAGCCAGCGTGCGGCGGGCATCCGGCTCGCAGAGCTTCTAACAGATGGGAGAAATCCGCTAACCGCTCGGCGGGCATCTTGAGGATGTCTCGGAGGATGAACTCCTGGACAGTAGCGTCATGGATACGGCGACTGCCACCACCGAGCTCAACGCCGTTGACGACGAGGTCATAGTGATCTGCGACGACCTTCGTGGGGTCTATTAGGAGGAGGTCGACGTCGGCGGCAGTCTTGGGGGCAGTGAAGGGATGGTGCGTGGATGAGATTCCGGCTGCGCCGCCTTGGCCGGGCTCCGAGTCATTGGAGGGAGAGAAGAGCGGGAAATCGACTATCCAGCGGAAGTCGAAGCCTATGGGGGCAGGCTTGAATCCGGAGGTGACAGCTGCGGAGTGGAGGGCGCGGCGGAGGTCACCAATTGGAGTCGAGCCGCCGGAGAAGGGGGCTTTTTCACGGGCCTGGATTACGATAAGGTCGCCGTGGTCGAGCTCGAGCAGTTCTTCTAAATACTCGGCAGCCTCGAAACCAAACGGCTGTAAGCCGCATAAGGGTTTCTTTGCGTCGTACACGAAAATGCCTGGGCCACCTTCTGGGTTGTTGTTAAAGGGTACTCCAGCTGGAGAGTCAAGGAATTGAGAGATGAACTCGGACATAGCGGCGGGATCATTGTCGTTGTTTTCGAGTCTGAAGACCTCGACAATAGGAAGGGCCAGAGGTGTGATCTTGCTGACAAGATCCACTGGAAGAAGGTGCTCAATTCGCGAAATCTCCATTCCGAACCGAGTGTCGGGCTTGTCGGAGCCATAGCGACCCATGGCGTCCTGATAGGACATCCTTTGGAAGGGGCCGGATGGCGCGGGGTCTTTCATCAAAGTTGACCACAGCCTGCGTATGATTCCTTCCACGGTCCGCATAACGTCCTCCCCGGTTGCAAAAGACATTTCCATATCGAGCTAGTCAATAGTTAGAAGTGTAAATCGAGGATAGATTGATAGAGTGCGGAGCGCCATTACCTGAGTAAATTCCGGCTGTCTGTCTGCACGGAGGTCCTCATCGCGGAAACAGCGCGCGAACTGGAAATATCTTGGTATCCCACTGGCCATCAAGATTTGCTTATACTGTTGCGGGCTCTGGGGTAAAGCATATGCCAAGCCACGCTTTCTGGTTGGCACAAGAAATTCACGAGCACCTTCGGGTGTCGACTTGAACAAAAGAGGCGTCTCTATTTCCACAAACGGTGGCCGACATTGTTCTAGCTCTTCCTTGCAGACATTGTGCACCTGAGCGCGGAATCGCAGCGCATCACGCAACTCGCTGTCAGAACGCAGCTGTAGGAATCGCTGCTTCGGGGCAAAAACAGTATCAGACTTCATTATGATATCATTTGGGAAGTCATTCAGTGGCCGAATATCATCAACCTGAATTTCCCAGGGATCGGTCTTCTCCATCTCGGAGCCTTTCGCCTGCTTCGCCTTGACCTTTCCTCGGACAGCAACGGGGCTGTTGGCTCTCACAGCTTTGAGCTTTTCCAATGCGCCATTCTTGGCGAGCGAGACTAGCTGGATACTATGCCTCATCGTTGGGTCTGTTAAACGCACGAAGGCAAGCTTCTTGGACAGATCCTTACGAACTCCGAGATAGCCATGGAGTACCACTTCTTCATCCGGGGTAGCCTGGGAGAGAAATGATTCAAAGTCATACGTAGCAGCGGGGAATTCAACTGCATAGCTAATGCATTAGCTTCTCAAATTGCTCGAAGATCAGGATATGACGAGGTATAAGTACCGGCTTGCTTGTATTGTTCTAGGAACTGCGGATGCTCCGCTATAGGCCGATGCTGTTCACAAAGGACAGACTTTGTATGAAACAGTTTCGGAGAATAAGTACGACCCTGAATACCTACTCTCGGTCCTGTTCTACTGCTGCGGAGATAGTTCGAGATCCCGATATAGCTTGAGCAAAGGCGCGGAGGTAGCCGCCCCGCTCTGCCCAAGATCATACTTGTGTTAGATACAAAGACCGAGGGGAGGCTGTTCGATTGAGAAGAAAGGAAAGAATTTTACAAGTCCAATTGCTAAACTAATCCAAAGGTATCATGAATAAGGAAGAAGGTAGACTCAGAATAATCGCAAGACTGTGGCAGAATCTTTCCGCCCAACGAACAGGGATTAGCGTCAGATGGCCCACTACATAAAAATATCCGAAATTCCGCGTCCAATTTTCTTTCTCCATCCTTCCAAGTTTTGAATAGGTGAGATATAGATTTTGCTTCTTCCGCCCAATGCGCACAACTCGCTAACATACACTAGATGATGAAAGCCTAGCGTGTATTAGTTGATCGATCTCTTCTCATGGAACCTTGCGGCTCTCCTTTCGGGGCTTAAGGGCTGTTTGGATCCTGACGGAGGGAGGGTGATAAAGGCGTTCGGCACACCACCTTGTTACTTAGACGGACGCGATGCAGGCATCTCTGATACAACACAATACTTGGCGGTGTTCCACTTGCACGAGCAAGTTGTGTGTCAATGACCCTGGAATGGTGCTTGTTCTCGGACTGTGCCTTGATGACAGGGCTCTGCACATCAACGACGTGATATTAGTTACTTATATACCTATGCACAATGCGAGTACTTGAGAATATACACTTGTTCAACCCCTAAATTTCTGGCAATATCTTCAGATGGAGTCCCTCTTCAACTGGCCTAACCCTGTAATTCTTGTAGTTTAAGCTAAAGACTTGGTAACGAGTAGGAGATACCTTACCCGGGTCATTTACTCCAAAACAAGGGCACAGCAATAAAACGTATGGATGTGATATGTAAAACTCAAGGGCGAAATTTACGAGCTTGATAGTCTTGACCGTTTAGGAAATAAGCTTCGCATCAAAGATTCTCCGCCGGTTTCTTATCGTCGGAGATCTGATTAAAAGTTACTGGATAACAAACCGGCATTTTCCCAGTCCGATTCGATTTCACCGACAGGCAATCACTTGTTTGCTTGTGATTGATCGAGCTTTGCGATAATCTGGTCCGATGAGACCGAACTTAGGAGCCTTACCTCGCGCGACGCGCCTTCGCGTCCCAGTCGCTTACCCGATCCGCCAGCAGCAAGTATGCAGTGTTCGTAACTATGTACGGACGGCCGAGACCCTGCAAAAGAGCGCATTGCGACCCAGTATCGGCCGACTTGAGCCAAGGGTCACGGCTCGTGGCGGCGTTGTCGGACAAACAAGATGGATCACACAGCAGCACATACGGAGGACGAAAGAGGCGGAGAAGGAGTGGGCTGAGTTCGCTGAAGAGATCAAAGCTGGAAAGCGCAAGAACTTTGCACAGCATCTCGAGGAGAGAGGGCTGTTGCATGATGTTGTTGGGTAAGTTATTCTTAAGGGCCATTGGGACTCTTGGTAAGTTAGACGTTGTGACTGACTTGTTTCCGTCCGGGTCTACAGTGAACGGGAGCTTTTACATAAGGTGTTCACGGAGAAGAGGGCAGGGATGTATGCTGGAGTAGACCCCACTGCTCCTTCTTTACACGTCGGCCACATGTTGCCGTTCATGGTTTTGGCCTGGGGCTACGTATGGGGTTTGCCGGTGACATGGGTGGTCAGTACACCTCTACTGAGAATATCTCTTGTGATGCCAGTCTAATGCGAAACAGCTTGGTGGTGCCACATCCCGCGTCGGTGACCCAACAGGGCGACTGAAAGGAAGAGAACAGGTCCACAGCTCGGTGCGAAAGGCGAACATGGCTAGCATGCACATGCAGTTGAAGAAGCTAGGCGCAAGTATCGAAGAGTACGGCAAGCGACATGGATACGAGAAGAAATGGGCATGGAAGCGTTCTTTGGTAAATAACAACACATGGTGGAACAAGGTGCCATTCATTGAAGTTCTTCGGGACCTTGGGGCTCACATGCGACTTGGCCCTATGTTAGGCAGGGAGACGTACGTTCTATGCTCTCGTTCCCTTCCAGGACACACTTGTTGACATATAATCTAGTGTCAAGAACCGGTTGTCGAAAGGCGATGGCATGTCATTCTCAGAGTTCTCTTATCCTCTGTTGCAGGCATGGGACTGGTGGGTTCTCTTCAAGAAGGGCGTTCAGGTCCAGGTGGGAGGCACCGATCAGTATGGAAACATTCTCTTTGGTATGGACTCCGTGAAGGCCATTAGCAAGAACACGGCCATGGAACAGGAAAGAGACCCTCTGGAAAATGACATAGACAACCCTATCGGGCTTACGACGCCACTGCTGACGGCACCGAATGGTGAAAAGTTTGGAAAGTCTGCAGGCAACGCTATTTGGCTTGATAAGGATATGACCTCCACTTTCGAGCTGTATCAGGTTTGTTCTGTTGTAGGCCCCAATCACGACATTTCACTAACCGATGGCAGTTTCTTGTTCGGACTCCGGATGATGTTGTCGAGCGCTATCTTAAAATGTTTACTTTCCTACCTCTGCCTGAGATTGCCAAGCTCATGGAAGAGCAAAACAACGACCCGTCCAAACGGGTTGCTCAGCACGCGCTGGCTGCAGAGTTCGTGGAGCTTATTCACGGCAAACAAGAGGCGGACGCAGTTGCTCTCCAACACCGTCAATTATTCCGCTCACGGTCGTCAACGGCTGAACCTACTCCCCTGCAGAAAAACTCCAGTCCACCTGCCAGCCACGCCCAGTCACCAACATCGGGCTTCACAAACCCCCAGTCAGGGAACCAGTATGCTCCTCAAACTAATTTCGCAAACATGCCAAGCATCCAGGTTACCCTTCCCGAGTCCCTAGTCTATGGCCAAAACTTCCACAAGATCCTGTGGTCTGCGGGCCTGGTTTCTTCTAAAGGTGAAGGACATCGCATTGTTACGAACAAGGGGGCTTATGTGGGGAGCCGTCCAGGAGACTCTGGCCCAATGTCGGACGATCTGGCCTTTACGCCCATTCTAACATGGCCGGCAGAGAAGACCAAAGACTTCATTGTTGATGGTGATATCCTATTCCTCAAGTTGGGTAAGTGGAAGTTCAAGACGGTGAAGATTGTGAGCGACGAGGAGTTCAAACGGCTCGGACTCAGTGCCCCTGGCTGGGAATCGGACGAAAGCGCCCCTCAGCCCGCTACGGATAACTGAAAAACAAAGTCCCTGTCACTTATTGAAGGGAGGAAAGAAGGGCTGGAGCGAGTAGGATATAATCGCACCAGCACCATATCTCCCCTTTATGTATTATATAGACTTGTAGATACGCTGTACGATGTTTAGTCCCTGCCATAACTACCTGGCAGTACTATTTTAGGAACCCTACTTTATATCTCATCTCCTACTCTATTTAATTCAGACGTGTCTATTTTAGTTGTGTAAATTTTGTGTTGTAGAGCCAAATCTTCCAATGATTTGGATGCATAAATTCGTTTGATCGCCGTTTGTTGAAGTATATGTATCCGGCATACCTCTTCTTAGCTAATCGTATGCAATAGATTTCACAATTTCTTCCATATTTGAAGTGATTATTATATTTCCTGGGATGTCCGAAATGCAAGCAGCACTATGCCCTAGATTCTGCCCTTGGTTAATAAGTGTACAGATGTAATGAATGTTTGGCAAATCACCCCCATCTAGTAGACCCAAGGCAGGATTCTCCACTTCACGATCCTCCTGTATTTCTCCCAGTCTTCCCCGTATTTCTTCGCACACATAGCATCATCTCTCCGCTCGCGGTGCATCAAGAGGATGGCAAAGTAAAGGACATAAAAGTAGGTGAAAATGGCTCCCCAGCCCTTGGCATCTCCTTGGACAACCTCCCGCCCATCAAGCATCTTGAAGTCCGTTGATAAGGCTGCTGCACTGCCAGCCGACAGAATAGTATAGCCTGCCAGTCCTGTCGGTAAGCTAAAAGGCAAGGCTTGCATCCAATCCCCGAAATAATTGATATGGCGAGACATGCCCCACCATCCTGCCGTCAGCAGTCTTGTTCCTCGTTTGGTTTGGATGTACGACAAGTTTGCCACACTCGGATCGTTAGGCTGTGTGCGGAAAACGTTTTTCTGCGTGTTGGCAGCGCGGAAAATGTACAGCCCGAGTGCGAAGACCGCACTTACGGTGGTGATACCTGTCCACCCAAGGTGCAAGGGATAGACAGAGAGGTATCGGCACTGAGTTGAGTAGAGAAAGGGTACCCATACGAGATCTCCAAAAGACAGCATGAACCCGAAGCCATCCGTGGTGATGTCAATCATAGTAAGAATACCGGATTCGTTATACTGGCCGTCAAGAACGTAGAAGGCTTGTACAGAAGCAGTGAAGAGGATACTATCGGAGAGAAAGCCATAGGTGCGGTATTGCTTGGCGATAAATGCTAAATTGAGCAATATCCATCCAGTCAGGCCGGGGCGCATCTCGCACCAGGTTTTGATGTCGACTTCGCCAACGAGTGGGAGAGCAACGCGAGGGTTCAGCTCACGGCCGATATAGAAATCGTACACAAAGTTGCCCGTGTTTCCACCCGCAGCTAACTCACGGAGCTCCTTGTTTGGATAATTGGTGTTCACGCTGAAGCTGCGAACGTATACAAACGCAGAAAGGGCATATGAGATCAGAATGTTGGCGGTCAATATCTGCACATAATTGTCCGCGATGTACGTCCAGACAACAAAGTCTGCACCCTTTAGATATGTTCCAATGATGCAGACAGCTAGCTGAACAATGGTAGACGAGAAAGCTTGGTAGGAATGTCAGCAAAGGCCAGTGTCGAGTTGCGTTTCACATGAATCCTCGTACAGTTAAAGCGGTACGTCAACGGACGATTGTGCTGGACCAACTTTGTGCCGCGCACTTCTTGCGCAGGGAGAATCCTCCAGAGGAACATGCTGAGGAGGTAATATGCAAGCACCATGCCGGTCACCTCCCAACTGCCAAACTCCCGGAGGCCCCCATGGGGCCATCCAATCTCGGTTTTTAGCCTCTCCCAGCTTAGGGTACGAGGGCTTAGTAGTGATGGTACGGGACAGCCAGTTACATCGTTGCATGTAAATGCGAAGACGCAGAGCAGAATGGGCAGGCCCACTACTATGGCACCAGCGCCCAAACTAGGAGTAGGAAGTCAGCGAGTCACATTGGTAATACACCAGGGTTGAGCTCACGGTCCACCAAACTCATACTTTGATTCAGTATGAGAGGGCATATTGTTAGGATTGATCTGCTGAGTGGTATGATGACAATTGGAAACTATATTATTTGTTCAAGCCTTTTAAGGGGCGGGTGTTAGGGTTGCGCATGCGCATCACTCCGGATCTACCTTATCCGCCACAACCTCAGGGCCTCAGGCAAACTCCGTCCACGTCCCTTGATGCCTGAGGCGCTGACGGAAGGAAGGCCGGAAGACCACTAAACGCGTCGACGCGCGACGCCCTTCGGACGAATTGATAGATCGACTTTCCGCCCGGCAGGAAAGCACCTGCATTTGTCGCAAGAGCGTCACATCGGCCTTACCCCTACCTGTCAGAGTTGAATAGTTCTTCAATCTCTACGACATGCTCTAGTAGAGTTTCAAAATCCTATCTTTACCACCATCAATCCAGAATGGCAAAAGGACCGCCCGCAACCTCATCCCCGGCTGCAACGCCTCCCTCTGGAGTGCTTAAACGAACTACTTCTAGCACTCAGAACATGAAGAACCAGAAGTCAATTCTAGGTTTCTTTCAAAAGTCATCACCGTCGACTCCATCTACTGCTCGCAATGCTGAACCAGCTTCGTCGCCTGCTCAGAGGGTATCGGAGCAGCGCGGGGCTGCCAGAGGGTCCGTGAAGAGCGATAAGAAGAAGAGTCTCCCACAGCTCTCGGACCTTAGCCCAGTACCGAGTAGTGATCTAGTTGAGCCCGAGGAGGATGAAAGCCATATGCAGGTATGATTAGTGGTTTGGCACGATCTCATGTTTGACGCTGATGGAGCTTCGCTCACTGGCTTGACAGGCGACTTCCAATGACACAAAGACCGTTTCCCCATCTCGACGGGTAAGATACCATGTCCTTAGGGCTTCTGTATCACAGTGCATACTGATCAGCAATAGTCTAAAAAACAGGTCAACTACTTCGAGTCCGATTCAGAAGGCGAGGATGATGACGAAAAGATATTCCGCCCAGGCCGGAAAAGCAGTCAAGTATCTAAGCGAAGAAAGTTATCTCCCGAGAGCGATGACGAATTTGAACAAGGTGGGGATGATGCCGGCTACTCGGACGAAGGTAAGTTGTTGATCCTATAAGCCTTGGTTGCAGCTGGAGAGGCATTGACTGTTTCAGATATGGATGATTTTATCGCTCCGGATGACTCAGATGAGGACGTGAAGGCTTCGAAGAAGCGCAAGAGGCCAACTCAACCGAAGCCCAAGTCTTCATCTGTCCCTCCAGTACCATCCTTGGAGGAGGATCTGGACTTGGACATTCCAGACGCATCGTCTGGCTCGGCGATAAAATGGACGTACGATCCGGACAGTGCTGAACCTCGCCAGGGCCGAACAGCCCCTGTGAAGTCGAAAAGCTCATCTACTGCAATCAAACAGAAAGCTCATGTTACAGAACCAGAGCAACGCTATGCCTGGCTGGCGAATATTCGGGATATAGATGGCCATTCCCCAGGCCACCCTGACTACGACCCTCGTACCATTTATATACCTCCACTGGCTTGGGCCAAATTTTCACCCTTCGAAAAACAGTACTGGGAGATCAAGCAGAAGTTCTGGGACACTGTCGTATTCTTCAAGAAGGGAAAGTTTTACGAGCTTTACGAAAATGACGCCACCATTGGACACCAGTTATTCGACCTCAAACTTACGGATCGCGTCAACATGCGCATGGTCGGTGTTCCTGAAATGAGCTTGGATCACTGGGCAAATCAGTTTGTCGCCAAGGGATACAAGATTGCTCGCGTCGACCAGATAGAATCCGCCCTTGGGAAGGAAATGCGCGAGAGAGATGGCAAGAAAGGGGGCAAAGAAGACAAGGTAATCAGGAGAGAGCTGGCTTCTGTACTTACAGCTGGAACGCTGGTTGAGGGCTCAATGCTGCAGGATGATATGTCTACTTACTGCGTCGCTATTAAAGAAGCCATCATAGAGGATTCTCCTGCATTTGGGCTAGCTTTTGTTGACACGGCGACAGGCCAATTCTTCCTGTCAGAGTTCGTCGATGATGCCGACATGACAAAGTTTGAAACATTCGTGGCCCAGACTCGCCCGCAAGAACTACTTCTCGAAAAGTCGACAATTTCACAGAAGGCACTCCGCATTTTGAAGAACAACACAGGCCCCACTACCATTTGGAACCACTTGAAGCCAGGGAAAGAGTTCTGGGAAGCGGACATTGCGGTGAAAGAATTAGATGTCAGCGAGTACTTTGTTTCTGAGGACGATGACAACCTGAAGGCATGGCCGGCAGCTCTTCGAGCCGCTCGGGATAAAGAACTAGTGATGTCGGCCTTTGGGGCGTTGGTACAATACCTCCGGCTTTTGAAACTTGACCGTGACTTGATAACAATCGGCAACTTCTCCTCGTACGATCCTATCAAGAAGGCTTCTAGCTTAGTGTTGGATGGCCAGACCCTTATCAACATGGAAATCTTTGCAAACTCATTTGATGGAGGCTCTGACGGGACGCTATTCCAGCTTTTGAATCGCTGCATCACACCATTTGGCAAGCGCATGTTCAAACAGTGGGTTTGCCACCCGCTGATAGATGCGAATAGGATCAATGCCAGATTGGATGCTGTTGATGCCCTTAACGCGGATCCTACCATCCGGGATCAGTTTTCTTCACAATTAACCAAGATGCCTGACCTGGAACGACTAATTTCCCGTATTCATGCTGCTAACTGCAAGGCCCAGGACTTCCTGCGCGTGCTGGAGGGTTTCGAGCAAATTGAATATACCGTGAGTCTTCTTAAGGACAGTGGCTCCGGAGAAGGCGTTATTGGTCAGTTGATAAGTGCGATGCCGGATCTGAATGAGTTGCTTGAATACTGGAAAACAGCATTCGACCGCACCAAAGCAAGGGAGAATGGTATTCTAGTGCCTAAACCAGGCGTTGAAGAAGACTTCGACAACTCTCAAGGTTGCATCGAAGAACTCCACAACGAGCTTGATAGTCTTCTGAAGCGAGTTCGCCGTGAGTTAGGCTCTACTGCCATTTGCTACCGTGACAACGGCAAGGAGATCTACCAGTTGGAGGTGCCGATCAAGGTAAAGAGCATTCCCAAGAACTGGGACCAGATGTCAGCGACTAAACAAGTGAAACGGTATTATTTCCCTGAACTTCGGACGATCATCCGTAAGTTACAGGAAGCCCAAGAGACACATAGTCAGATTGTGAAAGAGGTCGCTGGCCGATTCTATGCCCGGTTTGACGAACACTATGCAACATGGCTGGCAGCGGTCAAGATCATCTCGCAGCTGGATTGCTTGATAAGTCTTGCAAAGGCGTCCTCATCCCTGGGACAACCTAGTTGCCGCCCTGTGTTTGTTGAGGATGAGCGAAGTGTGCTCGAATTCGAGGAGCTACGCCATCCTTGTCTCCTCTCCTCTGTGGAAGATTTCATACCGAACGACGTCAAATTGGGAGGTGATCGTGCTAACATAGATCTTCTCACCGGTGCTAATGCTGCCGGAAAATCTACTCTCCTTCGAATGGTACGTGATTTTTCTTGGTCTTTGTTGCAACTCGCTAACTCATTACCTTGCAGACGTGTGTCGCTGTTATTATGGCTCAGATCGGTTGCTACTTGCCTTGCCAGTCTGCGCGATTGACCCCCATCGACCGTATCATGTCCCGTCTAGGCGCGAATGACAATATTTTCGCCGCTCAGTCGACGTTCTTCGTAGAGCTTTCCGAAACGAAGAAGATCCTCTCCGAAGCTACTCCCCGATCTTTGGTTATTCTGGATGAATTGGGTCGTGGGACCAGCTCGTACGACGGAGTAGCCGTGGCCCAAGCCGTACTGCATCATGTTGCTACGCACATCGGAGCCTTGGGATTCTTCGCGACCCACTACCACTCCCTGGCGGCTGAGTTTGAAGGGCATCCTGAGATCACGCCGAAACGCATGAAGATCCATGTAGACGACGAAGAGCGACGTGTCACGTTCCTGTATAAACTGGAAGATGGTGTGGCTGAAGGTAGTTTCGGTATGCATTGCGCCGCTATGTGTGGTATTTCCAGCAAGGTCATCGAGAGAGCGGAGGTCGCCGCGAAGCAATGGGAACACACAAGTCGTCTCAAAGACAGTCTTGAACGACGGAAAGGTGGTGGCTTCATTGGACTGGGTTGGTGGAGCGATGTCGCCTGGGCCCTGCGCGAATCCTCCGACGCCAGTGAGCACGAAATCACTGACAGAGGCCTGGACGTACTCCTTAAGGCTATTGAAGCTCTGTGATTGCGTTTGCTACTTTATATTCTGGGTATTTCGCTCATTCAATGTTTAAGCGAGTCAGCCACGTCATATTCTTTATAAATGGGGTATCTGGTCGGAGTTCCGGATTATGTTATAGTGTTGTTGATCGGGATCTTAATTGAGTGGAGTGGCTATATAGGGAATACTAAATTCAAGACAACTTCTTTGTTATTTACAATGACCTTTGAGTATACCTCTTAAAAAGGACAACTGTCTCTTTTCTGCTTTGTTCTCGATTGTGAACTATTTCTCATTATATTTCGACCACCAAATGTAGTTTCCTTGTAAAAGTTTGCTGATTCTTGATTTACTCTTAGAGTATCCATAGCACTGAAAGGTAGTAGTGGAGTGTTTTTCTTTTGGATTTTATGAACAAAGTAACGCAGTGTAGATAGACCACCAGATACCAGATCCTTAGATCTTCCTATCCTGAGCAACAGCAATCCAAATTTTCGCTACGCATTTCACCGAATAGTAGCCAATTGCCGATAAGAAAAGAAACAAAAGATAACTAGATAACCCCGTCGTCCTTCATGGGATCCATCATAGCAAGATACGACGAAGACAACCTAACCATCACCCTCAGTCTCAGTCTTGATACCAGCCTCGTACATAGCGTCGAACTGAGCATCGAGCTCCTCATTGGTCATGGGGGTCTCGTCCTCAGTCTTGCATTCGTCGTAAATACCCTCCGGTTCCTGCTTAACGGCCGCCATCTCTTCCTTGATCGAAACCTCTTCTTTGCCGGAGCTTTCCTCCTCTTTGATAGTGCTATCCTCAGATTTGAGGCTATCCTCGTATTTGGTCTTAGAGGAACTGGGCTCAGACTTTATGACGTCTTCACTGCTGCGATTGATTTCGCCTCTTGATTAGCCGTGTTCACTGTGAGTTCTCGTGCGCAACAGGATAGGGACATATTCATACGAGTCTTTCTTGACCACCTGTGCAATGCCTTTCTTTGTGATGCGCTGGCGCTTCACCTTGGGCGCTGGTGCTGCTTCTTCTTCCGCGGCTGCTGTGTCGGCAGCCATTGGGGTTTCCGTGGTCGCGGCCCTCTTGGGAGGTCGGCCCCTCTTGGGGGTGTTGGCTGCGGAGGCCTCGGCGGAGATGGGAGGCTCTGGCTTGTAGTCGTTCAGCTTGCGCTTTGCGTTTCGGTATGTTGTACTAGCTGAGGCTGGGTTCTTGTACCCGCCGTACTGGGCTAGTTTGTCGAAGTCAAGCTCGAGTTCAAGTCAGTTTAGTGTTTTGGTTTTGGAGGGAGAGTGGGGTATACGTACTTTGTTACTTTCGTCGGTGCAGAGGATGCTCAGGAGGAGGATCTTCTGCTCGGAGTTGGTGAGACCCAGGAGAGTGTCGGACTTGCCTTTGTTGGACATGTTCACTGTTCCAGAGTAGATGGTTGATGCTTGGGTGCAGGTGGATGGTGTAGATAGGTGATAGTAGAATGTGGAGAGAAGAAATGTAGAGGCGATGCAGCTGGGGATAGGAAAAGCGAGAGGTAGGGAAGATTGGCAGAGTGAGGAGACGGGAGATTGTAAAGTGAGGAGAGACAAGATTACCAGCAAGAAACACAGGGAAAAGAGAAACACCGTCCTCGTGAAAGGAAGAGAGAAAGTCACAGCAAAATTGGGCAGAATGTTCTTGGGGGGAGTGCAGCAGGAGTGAATGGTTAGAAGTGAATGCGAAGACTTATTCTTTAGCGAGAGCAGGAGTAGTGAATTGTTCAGCCACCACTCAAATCTTAGCGGTTCATGATCTTTATGTTACAATCATATTAACACAGGATATTTTCTTCAGTCTCATTTCTTTGGTGAGGGATTCTTCTGGATCTGCTTGTATACATGCTCCCACAATTCGGGATAGAATGTCGTTGATTCCCTGCCAGGCTGACTCTTCTCTGCCGCGTAAAATTGCCGTAGAGTCTTTCCTGCCCACCAGGGCAAGGGGGCAGGGTTCTTATTGCGAAAGCTCACTGGACGGAAGATGGCTTTGTCAGGAACCAAGTCCCCCAGTCGCACCTCGGTCTGTCGAGGAATCGTCGTGAATTTCATGGTGTTAATGTATAATGTGGCTGTAGGGGGTAGGTTCTTCGCATATTGAAGCGTATGTTCCTTTGAACGCCGAGCAAAAGCGGGGAGAGCAAGGTGTACGAAATTCACGAATGGAGCAGAGGTATAGGAGACGAAAAGCATGGGTAGAGCTCCGCCAACAACAACTGTACATGTTTAGCTAACGAACCGTCAGGGTAGAGAGCCAATCTTACCAGCTGGAGCTAGATACCATGGAAACTCATCGGACGCAAATGCGGGTGCGACAACCAGGACAGACACACCAAAAAGGAAGATGGTCGTAATCCGCAACATCCCCAGAAAGATTGTCTTGCCCGTTCCGCCATGGTAGATCAATATGCGCTCCGGGGGACCTGTAACACTCCGTCAGGGCCAATGTTTCAATTACAAGCTGCTACAAAAAAGCATACCTCGTCGAATAGTTGTCTTTGCGTGTGCCGTGGCCGACTGTGGTGAGCTCCGGGTAGCTGTCGCATTGTTTTCCTTCGACTTCAGAGCCGGAGTCTCATTTTTGGAGAGTCGAAACGGTGGTTGAGTCGTCTTCAGCCGAGAGAATATCGTGCTATTAAGATCCCTCCGCACACCGCGGGGAAGCAATATGCGCAATTGCGGATGCAGTAAGATCTGAAGCCTCATCGTGGACAATTGCATTGAGCGAGAAGAGTTGTCGCATTCGAAAAAGATGACGGAATGCGGATGATCTCCGGAACGTGACCCGCGACGGCCTTGGCGCCGATCAGTGTTGACAACAGGCCAACTTTCTGCGCACAACTTCAAGTATCCTTGTTACACACTCCCAGAGCTGTTGTTTATGCTGTTTGTTAGTTGCGGAGCCGTTCGGATTCGGACTTATCTGTGGTTGTCGCTTGGACAGGGATTGTGACCCCTGCTAGCACTCGGACCTCACCATGTCTCTTGCTAACGGTGGCCTCTTCCGCCCATTGCTTACAATAGGCATTGCACTCTTATACTTCTTGCTTGCTGGTCAAGCCTACGAGGAAATCTCCGATAGCACACTGAATGCCCTTCCACGTCCGAACAATGACTTCGACATCCATAATGGAGCGCTATTAGCGCCCATCCTAAGGCCTCGTGTCTCCGGAACGGCGGGCTCTGCGGCCGTTCTCCAGCATTTTGCGGACTTCTTCCGCACGACCCTCCCAAACTGGAATATCCAATTCCAGAACTCCACGTCGAAAACGCCTGTATCGAAAGGAAAGGAGGTTCCTTTCGTAAATCTCATTGCGTCTCGTGACCCTCCGTGGGCAGCCCCAGGCGACGTTGGCAGGCTTACACTCGTTGCGCATTATGATAGTAAATACTCGCCGGAGGGTTTCATTGGGGCAATTGACAGCGCCGCTCCTTGCGCAATGCTTATGCACTCCATGAGGAGTATTGATGCGGCCTTGACAAAGAAATGGGAGAAGATGCAATCAGAGGGCAACACCGACTCGTGGTTGGAGGAGCAAAAGGGCATCCAGGTCATCTTCTTGGATGGAGAGGAGGCATTCAAAGTGTGGACCGCAACTGATTCGTTATACGGGGCGCGCTCGCTCGCGGAACATTGGGATTCAGAGGTAAACCCTGCTATGTCGACATACAAGACCCCTCTGTCTTCTATATCTCTATTCGTTCTTTTGGATCTCCTCGGCTCTAAGAGCCCCACTATCCAGTCCTATTTCTCAACTACACATTGGGCATATAAGAAGCTTGCCCAACTTGAGAAGCGATTTCGAGACCTTGAACAGTTCAAGTCTTCTGTCGATTCGTCTCATCCAGCATGGTTCATCGATAAGTCCAAGTCGGAGCATGACATCACCACTTTTCTCGGCATACAGGATGACCATCTGCCGTTCTTGGAACGTGGTGTTGAAATTCTGCATCTCATCGACGCTCATCCCGCCAAGGGATTCCCGGTGGTGTGGCATAACGAGAAGGGCGTACCGGACGATGGCGAACATCTGGATCTAGCAACCGTGGAAGACTGGAGCATGCTAGTTACAGCATTTGCGGCCGAGTGGATGGAATTAGAGGGTTTCATGCCCCAACCCAGCGGCGAAGCGTCGTCCACAAAGAACGTTGAACGTTTAAACAAGAAAACTGAGCTGTAAGATATACCAAAATTAATTCCAAGTGGTTTATATACTGCCTTCCGAGGCCCTAATATGTACAGTCTATGTTACATATGTTGCACTTCTAGCTCTATGTCATGATGAATCGTGCTGATGTTCGTGTCGCATAGCTCTTAATGGCGATTGTCCCGCCGGGATCCTTTCACCCGGTCTTCGAGAGATCAGCCGGACACGTCTTTTGCCGTCATCTGTAGAAATTCTTAACAAATGGAAACAGCTTCACGCCACCTATACCAGGTTTCCCAACATGTACCCAGTCATTTCGACAAGGCCCCATGCCGGCTGCAGGGCTGCACGAAGTACCGCAGGACCTGGACACACTCCCCGTAACCCCCAAGCAACCCCAAAGGCCGCTGCACCGGCGACAAACCTCCAATCGATGTCCGCCACAGTGGCTGTTGGGAGTCTCCAGCCGTCTGCCAATGTGGGCTTTGCCCGTTTACCATCCAGACTGTCGAGCTTCTGTCCCGGCTTCGCGGTCAAAAAGGTAATGAGCGACGGTCCGATTCCAAAGAGAATTATGAGCGCCAGCGAAGGATCGAAACGGGCTAAATCGGTTGGAAAGGCGAAGAAACGCAAAACCTTGGCTGGGTTCGCCATTCCGGAGAAGAAGAGACCCATGCCGAATTGCAGCCCTGCCAGATAAGAGAAGAGTGTTCTCGATTTCTCTGATCTATCCATTCTCCGGGGAACGATGAGCCAGTTGGTGACGAATGTGAGAGCGGTCGTCCCGATCATGAACATGAGCTCCGCTGTTGACGGATATACGGGAGTGTAACAGGGCACTCCGGACGGACAAGGCGGGATATTCTGACCCCCCGAGGCGAAATTTGCCGTTAGCAGAGCGGTGGTGAAGAAGATAGCCGTTGCGATGAAGGAGCGCGGCGACAGGCGAGAGAGACCACAGAGCATGTGGCCAGATGTACACCCTCGACCATTCTAGTTTGTGTCCTCTGTTAGCTTGTCTTCTGCATACACAAGCCATATCTACATACTTTTGTCCCCCAACCCAACAAGAAGCCCGTCGCAAGCGTAGAGGCCACCGATGCCCAGGAGTTCGGACCCGGCGGATACAGCGGTATCAACGAAGGCACGAAGAGGTAAACCGGGATGACACTAGACAACAACCCAGCAATGATGGGAACGTTATCTCTCGACGGACGCAAAACCGAACCCGACAGAAGGGACGAAATGCCAAAAACCGCGCCATTATGAAGGAGAAGACCCGAGGAACTCTGGAAGAGCAGCAAAGCGCCCAGGGACGTATGTACGGGTGTAAACATGGCGCAAAGCAACGATCACCAACAATAGTATTGTACGATATCCAACTTCTGCAAGACAACATATAAGGTTCACACAGTAGATCGCAACGTTAGCCTAGGAATTGAATACTAGGAATCCATCTCGCACACATAGCACAACCTCCCGAGATAAAGAAAATTAGGAAGATATCACCAGACAAGTAGGATCCCAACAAACAACTTCCATCGGGAACAAAGAATTTCACTCCTCGCAGTCGGGGACCACCGCGATCCATCCCTCTATTGCTATTGCGTCAACCTTTCCCTGTGGTCCCGAGGGCAAGGGAAAAAAAATAAAAAAAATAAAACCAAAAGTTTAACCGTGGGTTCCATAAGGAATATCCCCCGAGGGATTCCAACACAAAAAAAGAAACATTCCTCATACACTCCATGTTCTCACATCCTGGGGCACATACGACACCATCGCCACAGGGATGGGATATAGTAGACTTGTAGTAGTCCAACGGTAGTACTTTTGTCCCGCCCCGGACCTGCAGGAATCTTTGTCCTTTGACAGGTTATGGACACCCCCCCCGTGATCAAGTCTTGAAGGGGATAAGTCGCAAGTCCGCATTCGGTATCGGGTGGTCCCCGAACGGGCTTAGGATCGGCGCTTCCGGTCGCCTGATTCGGGCGAGAAGTAAACGCATTCTGACGGCTTTTCCATGGTCTGGGCCAATGAGATCGGTGCGTTGTGAAATGGCTCTGTAACGCAGTATTGGCAGTGCGGATATGCAATCCGGGGTCGGCGACTTCATCCATCAGTCTGAGGGCGTTGATAGAATGCGGAGACTGGGCGTATCGGCCGGGATGAGGTCGCCGATGTCTTGTGTTTGCTCTGCATGAATGTGGATTTTGATAGGGGGTGGGGAACGCGTGGTCTGGATTGTCCCTTTTCTGACTGCCGATTTATACTTCTCCCTTGCATTTGAAGTGCCATGATGCAGGGTGTGAAGTCTGATGTCGCTAAATATTGGCTGTGGAATCTGTGGGGTTGGTTCTGGGGGGCTTCGTGCTTATATGTCGGCAGTTGGAACTGGCGTAGGAATGTGTGGGAGGAGTGGTTGTGTTCTCTTTCATGATACTGTGCTTCTCAATGGTCTGTATATTTACTTACAGACTACTATATCATGATGCATCTCTTTGCGCCATGTGATACTATAGCTGGTCTAACAGGCAATCTGTTAAACAGTCCAGCTATACAGGCCGGTAGTAGTTCGATGTGCTTTGAATTTGGAATGTATTGATTGATTTAGCGATTGATAACATTAAAAGAAAAGGAAAAGAAAACATCAATCATAACAATAATAGTCATAATGGCATGGAAAGGTGTACTTGTGAAAGGACAGTCAGACTGAGACAGAAGCAGAAACATTTTTCTGTGCATAAACCATTTTCTGAATAAAATGATAATATCACGGATAGTGTTCATCCAGTTTACCTCTGTACAATTTCTTAGCATCCACACAAGCATAGCTTCCACTCACAGGCGTAACTTGAATGTAGTTGGAGATAGGGACGGCGCATACTGGTCCGCCCATTCGATGATCGATTTGACCAACGCTTCAATCTGATCTACTGTATTTTCAACGTGCATCATGACTCGGACCCGCTCCTTCGCCATAGGCACAACGGGATACCGCACTCCATGCGTGTGCATGCCGCGGTCTAGGAGCCACTTCTCGAGTTCGTGGCTGTAGCCTGGCTGTGTGATGATGGGGATGATGGGTACAAGAAACGAAGAGCCCTTGGCAAAATGTTCAGTGGTGGGAATGCTCAGGATTCCGGATCTGCGAACATGTTCCCATTGGGGATGGTGGAAGAGAAGGTCATAGAAGTGGTGGATCCGGTCTTGAAGTTGCTTTCGGCGCTGATAGTGTTATTGTGTATTAGCCTTTGGAAACTCCACCAGCTGTGTGGAGAGTGTCAGCTTACCCAGTCACCCTCCTCGCTGATCATAACAGTGACCGCAGCCTTGATGGTGGCAAAGAAAGTGAAGGCCGGAGCCGTGGTGAACATGAAGTTCCGCGCATGGCTAACAAGATATCTTTTGATCAGACCGTCACAGAGAATAATACCTATGATTGGTTAGTCGGAGGATGGCACAGCATAAAAGTGCTGGGGATGTGGAGGAAGCCTACCACCACCCGCTCCGATGGCCTTGCCGAAGGTGTGTAACCGGACAGCAAACTCATGCTCTAGACCCAGCTGACAGGCTAGACCAGCTCCACTTGGCCCGACAATACCATGGGAGTGAGCCTCGTCAAGGATCATAACTAGATTGCCTTTCGGCAAGGCCCGTTTCGCTTCGTTTACGATCTCAGCCACGGGCGCCACGTCCCCGTCCATGCTGTAGATAGATTCAATCGTCACGAAGACGGTATTGAGCCCATCGGCAATTGCTGGCTCCAGTAACTTGACTTCCTCGAGAACGTCGTACAAGGACTGCGGGTCGTTGTGTGCAAATGGTCGGATGATGTGTGCTTTTGAGGAACGCATGCCATCCCGCGTGCTGGCATGGATCTTTGCGTCGTGAAGAATGGCATCTCCCGTCTGCGGAAGAGTCGCATGAATAGCAACATTGCCCTCATATCCGGAGGGTAAGATCAAGCCCTCGTCTGCATTATAGAAATGGGCCAAATCTCGTTCGAGCTCGTCGATATACTGAGTGGTTCCACCCAGAAGGCGACTGCCACCGGTTCCGATAGCAAAGTTAGGATTCCGTGCAAGCTCTCGGAGAAACTCCTCGCGCGTGGCTGCACTCCCACCAAGGGAAAGGGTGTTATTGGAGCCGAAGTCAACGCAGCCAAGCTCATCAGCTGGAGCTGTAAGTTTGAAGATCTGGCCTTTCTGGCGGCTGGGGTCGAGGGCCGCTTCAAGGTTCTCGCGGTATGCAGACGGAAGGGCCATGGTGGGCTTTGGAGACTTTTCTAATATGATGTGTCTCTATACGGTAAGAGATCGTCTTCAGAAAGAATGTGCCATAAACAGAACTGGAGTGAAAAATAGAGGCAACTTGAAACAGGGAACAAACAGGCATCAGGCCATGCTTTATAGCTTCTTTGGAGTCCGCCACAGCTGGGATTGGATTGTGGCCTCGGCATGCATTGTTATACAGGATTCTACGTATAGTTGGATACACTTTCCAGCGCCCACCCTGAAAACGAGAGCAATGTCCCTAAAGCGATGGCTCCGCGGAACTACGACTCAGGAGACCAATCCTTGCCTTGTTAGAACCACAATATCACTCATTGCCACATTCGTTGGAGCAATGGAACAGTCCAGGTGAACGAGATCAAAGTTAGTCCGGCCTTGTACCCCATGAGTGATGGGCACAAATCCCGGTACAAAGGGTCCACCAGCGCTGGGACATACAAAATGCATCTAGCGAAACCTTTTCAGTCTTTCCATGACGCATTCGTCCAAGCCAGACCATAGGAAACTTGGTTGGACCGGGTTCAAAGTGCGTGTCACTGGCAAAGTCGAAGTTTTTGGCAAATTCTGTACCGTCCTTTCCTCCACTAAGCAAGAAGCCAATAACTCTATCATGGAGGCCACATAAAAAGCTAATACAGATCGTATCAACTTCCAGTTAGGGAAGTAACTTGGTCATTGTGTGATGTCAAATGACCATTGTTGACAGTGCACCGGGGTACGGCGGGAATATAAAAAAGTAAACCAGATACACCTGAAACAGCACAACAGTCATTGGTTAACCATCCATCGTATACTGGTGGCATATGACCGTAGACGGACATTTTGGTATCATGGTTTATAAAATATGGAGATCGGCATTCGGCACTGCGTATCAATAGACTTGCACTGCCCATTTGGCAGCGGCGATAGGCCACATAGCGATAGCCAAGTTTAGGACCGAGCCACTATCCTGGGATCCTATGTCATCGTGTCTAGGGTGCGTTGAAAGAATGTCCCCACCTGGTCCCCTGGTACAACAACTTATACAGGCGTTGCCCTCACGGCCATTGCGATTGTGTGGCCACCGAGGAAAAATGGGAGGCGGATTCAATTCCCCGGAGGCACCGACCCATCTCAGGTCTAGACATCCTCTCCTGCATTGACCCCCCACTGGAGGAAGGCTCCGCTCGCCCTGTCATGTTACTGATTCTAGATCCCATTATCCAGGTAGCTAACTAGCGCGAGCTCCGCCCGGTGTTACCGACAGGCTGGGCCGAATTGATGGGACGTATCTCGGTCCAGGTAGCACCAATTGGCGCCGCTCCGATTGCGTTGCATGGGCTGGGACTTGGACTAGCCAATGAAGTAAAACCAATAGAATAGTTCAATACATGACCACTGGGGACTCTAATAAGGAACGAGTCTACCCCTACGAGAGCAAGAGGGTGCGGGGCCAATTCTCCAACAGGAATGCGAGGCCGTTTCATGGGGATGACGTGAGAGTTTTGGCCCGAGACCGACTCTCAATTGTTGGTTTCTGAGTTGCTGAGAACGATCTGTGTTTAGGAAGTGCTGGCCAATCGATTGACTGGCGTTTGAGAGAGCCGCATTCAGCTCCATACCATCCACATATGCTTTTCCAGAAATGCACTCCGTTTTAATTGAACAAATAGAGTAAGGATCACTGTCAGAGGTGGTGGTACTGCGCAGAATAAATCCTCTCGCTCGATATTAAATGAGCATTATCTTCCGTAAAAATAATTTAGTACGGAGGACGTTCAGGACGCAACGCTATCTAAACCATGTCAAGAAAGTACCTACGTGTGAGGAACGAGTGGACGGCAGTCCATGCGTGTTCATTTACACGGAGGGGAAGAAGTGAACAGAAAGAAAGGAACAAAGAACGAAGAACAAAGAAAAAGAAAGGAGGAGAAATGGGAGGCGTAGGAGAGGGCTGCCGGTGTGTCTCGAGGAGATCTTGTGGTGGTTCCGGGGTGCAAGAAGACTAGAAGGCTAGAAGACTAGAAGACTAGAAGACCTGAAAGTATATGCAGACCAAAAGTTCCTGCCGTGCTACCATGTGTGAATGTGGTTCTCTCACGGACTCCACCGGACAAGAGCGCCCCAGTCTACCCCTCGAACCATACACCATGATGTTCCAAAGTTTGGAATCTTTCTTTGAAAGCATTGAATGGTAGTACTAGTGAGAACGAAGGCTTTTGGAACCATTCTAATTCGTGACCCACCTAGCAACACAGACCCAGATATTGCGACCGCGCCGGAGCTATTAAGCAGGTTTTCTTGGATCAAGATGTATAGGGCGGTTCATACTTAGTCGGTATAAGGGGCTTCTGTTCAAAACCCAGCCTGAGAAGACGAGGTCGAATTGGATGACTTTTCCACCAGTTTAAGTTTCCAGAGACTTTTACCGGCAGGTTCAAGACTGGGTGGTAACACAACCGAACCGTACCGGACCATATCAAACGTTGAGGCTATTCCCATCATTCACAACAAGGCAACAGAGAGGAAGTAACCCCGTCGCCAATAAAGCCTTGGCATACTCCATACAGGGGATCTGTCCAAGTGAATACGAGAGTCTCGTCATCGACTTGCGAGAATTTACGATTGGAAGGCGCACAGACTTGTCCTAACATATAAGGCGGCAATCAGATGGGCGATTACTGACTCGTAGCCATACTCCCAAACCTTATTCCAACATAATCGCCCTGATATAATAGTGATTCGCCCGATGCCAGTGGGAGAACCATTTGTTTCACATCACCGGGAGAAGAAAGTTCGCTCGAGCTGCTTGTTCACTGCGCCGCATACCGTAACAGGAAGGCGGATCAAGGCAGAAATGGATGGATTGAACTATCTTCGTCCATCCGACAACCTCCAAGCGGGGAAAGCGATGTGATATACCGACTCAGAAGTCCTTTTGCCTCGCCGGGTGCACATCTTTCTACCTGACTCAGTCGTCGTATGTGTGATCTGGATTGGGCCATCATGATATCTACATGACGCAGACTCTTGCATCGAAATGACGAACCCTCCGGCTCGAGACATGATCTCTTGTATGTTAGGAACATTTCGCACTCGCAATGAGACATAACGAGATGAACAATAATACACCACTGATAATGGACGATGGAAGTCGGGGCTGTCCTTTCCTGGAAAAATGCAAAGGTGGGTCGCCGGCAGATCGGGTTTATATGACTGGTACGTACGGCGTATTATTTCAGATCAGGTTTCTAATCCACATCACAGAGCGAAGATTATTATCTGTCGACATGAAGCCTCAAAACCTTATGCTTGTGTGATTATTGGGAGAGTTTAGCTGAAAGGCTACTGCGCACCTCCTGACTGGGAATAGAATAGATGTATGTAATTTAGGAAAGACTATCAAAGTAGAAACGAAGGATATGGAGAAGCTTTCTACTCACTAAGCTACCCATTCACGCCTATACTATGTGTAAGTGGGCCCTTATTCAACTAACACAATACGAGTCATTGTCTCATTGGTACCCTTCTGTGGAAGGATTCTATTATAGGCACAGTCGATGTACATGACATTGATTCTAGACCGACCATCCTGAGAATAGGCCGTTGTGATTTGATAGCATGGTATAGGGGGCCAAGAGAAGAGCTATCTGATCCCCAATCCACGTTTAAATCGGCACTTCGATATCGGTGGGAAGCCAAGAACCCAGGTAGCAATCCAGCACACTTTTCTAGTACTTCGAGGTTGCTCATAGTGAAGCTGTGGGATATCATCATGGACGTTAGTAAAAGCTCATATTAAGTGCCATGGTCAGCATCGGAGTTTACCTCAGACTGGAATATTCTCTTGCAATGGCCGAAGTCCTCCCATTGTTTATTCCCAGTCGGATCTGTCCCCAAGTGCATCCGAACCACCCCTATTGCGCCTTCCACTCTACCTCTACTGCCTAAAGAAGGCCTAGTTCGAACACTAACATAGCTAGTAAACGAATGTTTGAGAGACAGATGATAGCGCCTCTGATATGAATGTCAAACATTCAGATGGCTGTACCAGCACCTCGCACGTCGTAGAGCATCAGGATTCGTAGCAGTTACAATATTGAGTTCACTTTCCCTCGATTAAGCTTGTCGAATCACGAGCAAACCCAAACTGACGTATGGCTATACTCCGTAATTGTAAAGCTTACCAGAATCCGAAGGTGGATGAGATCTAACATTCTGTATTTGTAAGAAGTCAGCACAGTGGTATTCCAGAGTTAGGTTAATCAGACTGCAGCTCATTTAGGAATTGACCCTGGGTCATACACCAACGTTTCTGGTGCTAACAATAGTTAATCATACCGAGGTGGTTGATATCGAGAGGGATAGCAGCATGGACAAGACACATCATTCTACCTAATATCCACACTTCGTGGTCGTACAAAGATGGGTATGAAGGGGCCCTGTGGTATTGATCTCATGCAAGAAGTCCTACATACCATTCTGATTACTCGAGTTACCGTTTGACACTACCAGAGCCTTTTTCATTACACTCTGGTTTGCAATAATTATGAATGTAGTATTAGACACAATCGATGGATGCGCTAGCAGGTATCCCAGTTAGATGGCAATTTTCATACTCTTGAGCATTTCCAAGTAATTGTACTGCTTCACTGCTATACGTTACACACTTACATAGCCTCACACAAACACCAGTTTCTAGGTGCTATTCTCTCCATGGGACCAAGAAGATGACGATAGCTTCCTTAACAGAGTATCCAAGAATGAATCAATTGTCCCCGATGTAGGCCTTCGCGTTGGGTTGCTTGAAACTCTTCTCGGCTTTTTATCGGGGTTATTGTCATAGGGGCGGAGCTCTTCCAGAACCGCAGCGGAGCCTCATCAATTACCTACGCTCGGCTCCACATGCAATGCAGGGCCGTTTTTGCACAGGTAACGATGATATAATATTTTTACTCACTGCTCGGGAGAGATTTCTCGAAAAAGATTAACGTCCGCATAAGTTCTTTCATAGCTCCGAATAGCAATTGATAATATAGAAAGCTGGGCATGTTCTGCGGACGGGCATTCCGAACTTGTAGGGTTTAACAGTTAGAAGCTATTTCGAATGGCAAAATATGACCTTTTTATCGCTGAGGTCGAGTTTTCAATAGGTGAAACCCATACATATAGCCCTATAGGGCTACCATTTGCCTTGGACAGAGTTGATCTGCGCATTTAAAACCAGGTGAGAATCTGATATGATCGCCGATACCATACACGCCGGAGAAAGCTTTAGAATTGAGTTTACTCACACCCAGGCATGTCACACGGGTGGAAGCACCACGTGGAGAATGCATCAGAATGCATCACGATCGGTGAAATCTTGCACGTGGATCTGGAACGTGGACCGGTACAGGAACCGGGTTTTATCGGCTTGACGAGCCCGCTGAATTTTGGATCCCTACTCCCTAGTGTATCTTGGGATCCCTCGCCCTGTTAGATTTTAGGAGCTAGTGTGGGGACTGCGTAGGGTGGCTGAATGGGGTCGATGTCTTAAAAGGTCATTCAACGCCGCTGGCGGCTGAACATCCTGTAAGGTTGTCTGTGCAATGACACCGTGAAGAATCAAGACTAGCTCAGTATGCTAGTCTGCTCGTACCGTTGGGTTTTAGTGAGTATCGCTGAGCTTGACAAGGCAAGTCAACTCCGTGAACTGACCGAGGACGCGTGCTTTCAAGTTGGTTGAGACAAAAAAAAAAGAAAAGAAAAGGAAAGAAAAACACCCCCACTACCAAGTTGTTTATTTGGCTTTCGGACACTTTCCGTGCGCTTAATCTTATCAATCAAACGGGTTCCTCCTCTCTTTTAGGTCACTACAATACCAATCAGTGGAGCCAATTCCCACACTAGATCAACCTGGGGGTTTCTTAAAACTTTTAGGGCCAATCATTCTCCCTTATGTTTCTACATTAACACACCGGGGGCATACTCTATCTGGTCAAAGCTATTCTTCCCAAGCCCACTAATATCTAATCTGATAAACTTACCCAACGGATTTTGGCCGCTCACTGCCACGCCACATTCCGGGACATCTAAATAAATACTTATTCGATTCGTCATGCCCCCCTCGTCGTTCACTCAATTCCTCCACGTCCAGAGCATCATTCGAGTTCCCCTGGCTCTCAACTCAAGCGGAGAACCACACCCTAGGTGAAAAAAAGCTTGAATATTACCATGGAAGCTCCCGAGAAGCCGATCGCTACTGCTACAGTTGACGAACCAGTTAAACCTTCGTCACCGGCTCAGGACCAGCAAACCGACGAACATGAAGATGGAAAACAGCCACCACCGCTGATGGCTAAGCTGATCGCGGTCTTGCTCATCTCCTGTATTAGTTTTGGCTCGTCATGGAGCTCTGGCGTTACAGGTGCTATGAAAAGCACCATCAAGAAGGTATGTACCTCCAGCACAGCACTTGTCGACACAAACATGACCTCACTTATGTCAATGCAGAAAATGCACATCTCGAATACCCAATTTTCTCTCCTCGAAGCAAGCGAAGACTTCATGGTGACCCTGCTCATGCTGGGCAGTGGCATTGTCACTGACCGAGTGGGAGGCGCCGGTTAGTAGAGTTGTGCTTGATCTAGTGGTAGGAGCGCGAACTAATATCCGTTTGATTAACTTAGAAATGATTATCTACGGAAATGTCGTCTACACGATCGGGTCTATTCTAGTTGCCGCCGCGACTACTGTTCGGTCGTTTAATTTCATGGTCGGAGGAAGAGTTATTCTGGCGCTGGGCGATATCGCAACGCAAGTTGCGCAATACAAAATGTTCTCGTCGTGGTTTCCCCCTAGCAATGGCTTTGCCTCAACGCTTGGACTCGAACTCGCCATGCGGAAGGTATATCTCTCCTCAGTTATTTGCGATAGGGAAAAGGGCTAAGCTGACCTATTTAGATTGGCGGTTTTGTTGGTAAATCGACAGCAAATCCAATTGCGAAAGTACGCATTGTCCCCTAATTATATTTAAAGCTTTATTGACCCATTGGACAGAACACTGGCAATTTTGCCTGGGTGTATTGGACGTCGGTGTTTATGAATCTATTCACCAATGCGGCAACCGTTGTTTTCTGGCTCTACAGCCGCTACTGCAATCGACACTACCAGGGTCGGCAGGACAAGGCGACCCGAGAAGTTCTGACTGAGAAGAACAAAAAGTTTGAGCTCAAGAAGATCTTTCAACTGCCATGGATGTTTTGGTGTATTCTGGCCTTCTCATTGTTTCAAACAAGTGCTGCCCTCGTCTTCAGTCAGAATGCAACCGAACTCGCGGAGAAACGGTTCAACGTAGACTCGATCAAGGCTGGCTGGTATAGTGCCTTATCGCAGTACTCTGGTAGGTAATCCCAGACATCTCTACTATAGCCATGCTAATTTTCTATAGGATTCTTTCTAGTGCCTTGTTTGGGTGCATTCATCGACATTGCTGGAAATCGGGCAACTGTTAGTAAGTACAAATGGGTGAACACATCTTGCAACTCACAAAGCTCACTATGAACCAGTGTGTGTTTGCGGAGCCGGTATGCTGCTATGCATGACGTTAGTGAACTTTGCCTCGTCCGAAGCAGGTACTGGTGCAGCGTTTGGCATATATGCCATTGCATCTGCCTTGGGCCCAACCACCATTATCGACGGCATCCGTACTTCTCTTTGGCACCAATCCGTGTTTGGATCTGCATACGCCATTAAAGTGACCATGAATAATGCGTACGTTTATAATAATCCGTATCAACGAGACCTCGACTGACCCGCTTGGCAGAATGAATATCATCGTGCGAATAATTACGGGGGCGCTCCAAGACGCTGATAATGATTCGTACCGCCGAGCGGTTCGGGTATATCTTTTTCTCGCAGCGTGCAGCGTAGTAGTTGGGCTGGCCATTTTTATTGGAGCCACGTTGACCGATGAACTGGGCCTTTTGCAATGGACTCGAAAAAAGAGGCTTACCTATGGCCCTGAGATTATCGACCGTATGAGGGAACGCAGCTTAGTAACACATGCACGTCGCAGCTGGTGGATCTCGCTATGCTGCTTTGGTGCCCTGGTCCTGCTTATATTAGGAAGTTGGGCAGCATATATTTGGGGAGCAGTTACGGGCAATAATTCTTAGCTTATGTGGTAGTTATATTAGTACTTAATGAAGAAAGCAGCCGTTCTTGTTTCATGGTGAGGCAAACCACGCTGATATCTGAAACATTATTAAACCTCTAAGTGAGGTCGATGAATGTTATGAGCTCTCAATGCTCATTATCAACAAGTAATGCATGGTCTTGATCAGAGAATGGTGAACGATGCCTGAGGCTGAAAGGCTTCCCAAAGAGGTAACTTCGTATTGTGGAGGGTCCAGCGGTGTCACGGGGCGATGACCAATCACATGGGAGGAAGGCAGATAGGGTTTCGGATGTGGAGGAATGCCGCCGGGCTGTTTAATGTTTAGTAGCCAACATGATCGCCCCATCTCTCTTCCACTACATTATCTCCCTCGTAATATCTGCATTGTGTGTGATCGGCTGAACCACATCTTCCTCGGCTATTATTGGATTAATCCTTCAGTCCCTACAGGCAATTGTTCCCTTTTAAGTATCATCGACCCAGAAGGCTCCATGCTTTTAGTCGCGGGTTCCCTCCCCGGTCTATCCATACTGCGTACCTCCGAAGTACTCAGGACTCCTATCAAGTCGGTTACTTTATAAATCACCAATCATGATACGAAGCAAACCGGATGAGGCACGGAACACAGCAGGTGTGGAGCACCGAAACTTGAACGGTTTATGGTCATGTCACTTTTGCTTCTCCGATTTTCAGCGATACGATCATCTCAAACGCCATATAGCTACACGTACGTGAACCCACCTTCACTTTCCCTAACTACGTAGCTGGCTAAACATAAAAAGACACATCAGAAAGGCCCTATCAATGTGAGTTTTGTGGCTCGCCATATAAACGAGGGTACGTTCTTGGCTCTCGCTGCATTTAGGGCTTTTAGGTAAACTCTAGCGATGCTGACGCAGACTACTCTACAGGGATGCCTTGCGGCGCCACTGGAAGTCATGCTCCGCTCGGATAGAATCTGGCCAGCGTATACCAGAACCACGCCATGGTGGCAAAGAAAAGCACGCGTGCGATGGCTGTGCAAAAGCGAAAAAGTCATGTAGTGGAGAGCTTCCGTGCTCGGAGTGCTGCACCCGCGGCCGAATATGCACTTACCAGCGTCTCCACCAAGGTGAGGAAATGACCTTACAACGTGGATCCAGCCACTCGAGTCAGGAACAAAGCCAACCGGGCGACAACCGTAGCTTGAACCAATCAACCTGGGACCTTGGGCTCCAGACGTTCTACCCAGGCAGAGACGCTTGGTTTGAAGCCTACGGCCGTTTAGTTAGCTCAGGGAGAGTACCATCTATGCCGAACCCTGGACGGCTTCAATAGCGTACGTTAATTGCGAACAATGCTTGGGTCTGCCAGGGTTATTCGGGTCTTACACAAACGTGACAACTAGACAAAGCCAACTCGCCGAGGTAAACCCAAAGATTATGTCTAGAAGGAATGTACGTTGCGTCTTGCTTGGCGTCTTTCAATGCTTGGGGTTGTCCCTGCGTTTATTGTCATGCCGATGAACTCTGCGAGCATTGACCTCTTTGGCTCCTTTTCTCTTCTTCTTTTCTTAGAATCTGCAATGATACCATGTGAACACCCCTCGAATAATGACATCTGCAATGTAATCACTTATTATTATTACGGGCGTCCGTGCTTCCAAGTAGCCTTGGGGAATGAGGTGTGGATACGATCGTCATATCTCCACACTCATGACCTGACGGATTACCTCCACAGCCAACGCCGGAGAACTTTACCACGGCATTAGCCGATTGAATATTAATCATTTATTGCAACCCTTGGAGGTCATCTTCAATATTTAAGGATTGGTTCTTCACCTGCCATTATCTTTTCCTGTCTAGGTTCCTCCCTACTTGAACTTCAATTCTCTTATTACACATATTGAAGCATCTTGTTATTTGCACAAAAGAAAGAAGGAAAGAAAGAAAGAAAGAAAGAAAGAAAGAAAGGAAAATATGGCTATTACAACGAGTATTACAGAGTCCCAGGTTCACTTTAACAATTGGCCCAATGACCGAGGTGTAAGTAGTAGTGGGACTATTTGCACTATTGATATCCATACTGACCACAGGCAGTTTGACGCCAACTACGAAGAGAGGTCTCCTATAGAACTCTCCGTCACTGGCCGTATTCCCTCTTATGCTGCGGGTGTGCTCTATCGCACGGGACCAGGCAAATATAAGGTTGACAGAGAGAATGGGGAGACATTTCAAGTATCACACTGGTTCGATGGCTTCAGCGAAACTCATCGATTTCAACTTCTTGCGCCAGATACTGCCCACTCTTCCCTGAGAGTCTTCTACAATTCCCGTTTCTCGACGGACTTCTTGATTGAGGAAGCAAGAAAGACTGGCTGCCTTGGGAAAATCAGCTTTGGTCAGAAGCGTGACCCTTGCAAGACAGTATATCAGAAGGCCCAGAGTGAGTTTAACCCTGATCCCTCCTCAGCCAACGTCGGTGTGACGCTCTCTGTCAATATGCCTGGGCTTGATAAATCCATGAACGAGAACCAGCAGAGTAGCGGGCGCTGGACCGGTTATTCAGGGATAAAAACTCTGTATGCAAAGACAGATTCCGCCTCTTACAAAAGGCTCAACCCGGAGACCCTTGAACCTGTCGGATTGGCTTCACAAAAGGATCTGCATCCTGACCTGGATGGGCTTTTGTCGGCATCCCACGCGCGTTCTGATCCTATAACTGGAGATGTTTATAATTTCAATCTCGCTTTTGGTAAATCTTCTACCTATCAGGTCTTCCATGTGTCTGCCTCAACAGGGAAAACTACAATTCTTGCTACGTTCGAGGGAACACCTGCATATCTCCATTCCTTGTTTCTCTCAAAGGACTATGTTATTCTCTGTGTGTGGAACTCTCACGTCAATCCCACCATGCTCGAGAAAGGCAGCTTCATGGAAGCCATCCAGCCATTTGATGCATCCCAGCCTACCAAGTGGTATGTGGTGGACCGCACCCAAGGCCAAGGGCTCGTCGCCACATACGAGAGCCCTCCGTTCTTCTGCTTCCATACGGTCAATGCCTGGCAAGAACCTTCGGTAGGCGGCAACGGCGTGGACATCGTAGCAGAACTCGTTAGATTCGATAACACCGATGTGTTGCATGCTTTATACTATGAGAAGCTCGTTTCCTCATCGGTCGAAGCGAAAGCTCACGTCCAGCTAAAGCAAGACACTTCCCGCTCGGATTTTGCCCGCTTCCGTCTTTCAAATATCCCCGCCAGCCCTATCACCGAGGTTAAGACTGCGGCAGCCGAGTGGATGTCATGCAAAGCCTTTTCTCCCGAGTTGCCAACTATGAATCCAAAGTTGGTCACGCAGAAGCACCGATACACGTACGCCATAACTGACTGTGGCGAATCCACCTTCTTCGATGGAATAATCAAATTCGACAGCGAAACCATGGAAACGCTTCTGTGGAATGACCACGCCCAATCTCCCGGAGAGCCGATTTTTATTCCCCGTCCGGATGGCTTAGAAGAAGACGACGGGGTCCTCCTCAGTGTGGTTCTAGATGGGTACTCAGGTAAAAGCTATCTGCTTTGCCTTGATGCTCATACATTGAAAGAACTGGGCAGGGCCCATGTTAACGGGCCGGTGGGATTTGGATTTCATGGCCAGCATATTCCTCTTAAGGGAGCACCAACTGGCGACTACTAGCCACGTTTCACCTTGTCCTTTGCCTTTGTTCATTTTTTGTTTTGCTTATTCTCGCTTTTGGGGGGGGGAGGGGGAGAGGGGAGGCTGGATGTCCACTGTCCGCTCATTTTATATGATGGTTTTGCGTGTATCAATGAAGAGGCTGACAGTTACGTCCTGAAAGTTGACTTTCTTTTCATGTAATTCTTAGACTCCGATTGTATCTAACTCTGAAGTGCTGTATAGGGACTCTCAAATTGTATGATCGAGAAACCTCCAGCATTTCATTTCAGACGTAAATTACTCTTGACTCTAAGAGAGAGAGACTACGCAAGACTCCGTTTACCAACAAATATAGCTCGCAATATGAGGAGGTTATTAGTATCAACAGAAATAGTGGCAACGGCCTGCCATCTCGAAAAGTGCACTGTGATATATCATTAGATTAAGATTATTCCATATATATATATATATATATATATCCGCATCTACGTGTCCCCCATCCAGATAACTTAGACATGTTATCAGCTATTAGACACCATCCACCACAAACCACACCATCATCTAGCTCAGCTCCCACTTGCAGTCTGAAGCCTCAACATCCTCACCATCATGGGTCGGGAATCCCTTGTACAGACAGTATCCATCCTCCTTGTGGAAGTTGGCAATCACATCCTGGCCGTCGCCACTGAGGACCCATTGCACGAAGTCCCGCGCCAGTTCCTTGTTCTCCGAGTCCTTGGAGGTGATGATGTCGGCCGGGTTGAGCAGCTCCTCGTACTCATCGCCGCGCTTGTAGATCTCGAGCTGGTCTGCAAGATCCTTGTCCGTGTTGCTGAGCGTGAGGTACGTCCCACGGTCGGTGACGGTGTATTCCCCAAGCTTGATGGCGGCAGTCAAGGCCTGGATCGGGTAGTCCATGTACTGGTGATACCATTTGGAGTAGGCGATGGCCCAAGGCACCTTTCATGAACCACATCATTAGCATCCTCCCTCACACACACACTCTCCAACCCACCAAAAAAAAAGAAAAAAAACTTACCTGCCCAATCGCAATCCACAACTCTGAATCCTTAATATTCGTCGCCGACTTATCAAACCGACTCAGAAACCGCGCGGTACCGTTCTCCGCGGCATTGTACAGCTTCGAGAACGTCTCCGTGATATCATCCTCGTCCTGGATATCGGCGGTGTTGTTCTTGGGTCCGGCCAGGTAGAAGTGATCGCGGAAGGAGTAGCACGGCCGCTCCTCGTAGTCCGTGCAGTCGTCGTCGCCGCCGAAGCATGGCGTCGTGCTGTTCTCGTCCTTGTATTTGCAGCCCGAGGCAAACCCGTTGTTGATCGCGATCTGCTCCGCTGTCTTGTGGTATGTGATCCCGACATCTACCTTCTTGGCTTTCAGGTTGTTGATGGTCTCCGTCGTGTCGCCAGTGACCCATTCTACGCTGAAGGCTTTGCTGGTGTCTTGGCAGTTGTTGGTTTGGTTTTTGATGAAGTGCGTGGCTAGTTCTGGTGGGTGTGTTAGTGGGTGGTGCGTTGCGTTAGGGTTATGGGGAGGTTGAGGGAGGAGAGGGGGGGAACGATATGTAGTATGCAGGTACGGTACTACTGGTGCTACCTTTTACGAGACCGCTTTGGCCGGCGCCTCCGTTGCCGATGCGCAGTTTGACTGGGTTGTCGCCCTTGCAGCCGCCATCGTAGGTGTCTGCTGCGGTGAGGCTGCTGTAGAGGGAGACTGCGAGGGTCGCGGTGAGGCCGAGGGAGGGTGAGAAACGCATGATGATGATGGGTGAGATCCGTGCGGGAGAAAAAATACTGGTTCTACCAGGGAAGTGCGTGGAATGGCAGGGATGGATCAGTTTATATACAGTTCTCCTCCGTATATCGGCTGAATAGCCTTTGTGAACCAAGACCAAACACAGCAAAGAGGACGAGACGGGGCCCAGCTGAAAGGGGGCCCAGAGCCAGCAGCCCTGCCAGGTCACCGATGCCAGTGACCATGCTTGGCAAGCATCTTGATCTGTTCACGAAGGATCTATTTTGCGATACGATCTGCAATCGACGGCATTGTTTGCGAGCTCGTCCGAAGAACTGCAGTGGAGCCGAGCCTACGGTTGACTAATAAATGCCTCCAGCTCCTCCGGTTCACAGGTGATAACAAGGGTCTCGGTAGACTATTTGTAAATAAGTTTGGCCAAAGGATTGTCAAACGTGCTAGTGTTGAACAAAAACAAGGTCGTGGATCAGCGGTTTCCTATCATGACTTAGGGTTCGTGGGTCCGTACCCACTGTGGCTTTCCAAATGGTACGGGACGAGGACTACAAGGAGTATCGGGGGCTGAACTATTTTGACGGGTCGGCGGAAAGAAAAAAAAAGCAAAATTAAGCATAAGATAAAATAAAATAAAATAGAGTAAACAGAGTAGAGCATGTTGGAGAAAGAAAAGGGGGAGTAGACAGACCTTGTCTGGAGATATATGTTTGTGATACAAATCTAGACTGCGAGAGATCCGGCATGGACCACGAGGCATGGAGGAAACGCAAGTTGAATCGCGATCTGAAGTTCGTTCGGGATTTCCAAGCCCCACAAATTTAGGAGCCGGCCTTTAAGGTACGTACGAAGGGGCTGGATTTCATACTTACTCGCAGCGCGGAGCTGTGTATGAGGCGTTTTGCATCTGCGTTTCTGGAATGGCACACTCCAGATTAGATTCTAGGATGATGGCGCACTGTATGTCTGACGCTCTCTTAAACGTGATGACGCACTGCAATCCCTCATACAGAAGTTCCAGGGCGATGAGGCCTCCTTCTCGAAAGGAAAAGGTATCTTCAATACCGGCTGATTTGCAGACCGAAATGGTCTGCGTCAAAATGCATGAATCTTTGAAGTGAAGTTGATGGTCGGATCACGAACTGAACGAAGTATAGATCATTGTAGTTATGCATCCAGATACCGGGCAACTCGTCCTCGCAAGCGATCAACACTGACACTTGCTCTACCTGGCTATGAGAAAATTGATACGTGTCAATTTGAAAGTAACCATCTTTTTCAGCACGATAGAATAAATTCCCCGAATCTGATTCCCTTAAAAGAATCCTAGTAATCAAGCGGCCCTTCGACCGACCAGAGATGATCACAGAATCCAAAACAGCCATCACATAATCAGTGTCCGTTAACCCATATCTCAGATAGGAGCGAAGGGTTTGGGTGTGGCAAGGATCCCCCAGGGTTGGGACGATCCATTCCAGATAAAAATGCTCATATCGGTTGAAGTTCTGATGGTCTCTTACTGGAGACGGCGGAAAGCATTCTCCCCTTCGCCATAGAGAAGAGGCATATGCACTCCACATAGACCAAGGAGACAGTACGCCATATCTTCTATTCTGGTAGTTTTCGCCGCGAGGCCCACGATATCTTCTGCCCTATACAGGTGGGCTTAAGATTGAGTTTGACTAAATTCACCTCGTCCACGCTTGCTATATCGGATATCTCTGTAAGCAGCTGACGCTTGGTCCCTATCCGCTGCCATTCCCGGTTATAAAAGATAATATTTGATGGTGCCAAAAGTTCTTGGAGTGTCCAGCCTCGGCTATACCATCGACTCGCGGCACCGTCCGGCGTGTATGTCAGAAGAATGGTCTTCGCGTCCTTCCTGTACGGGCCCTCAACACCCGCAAGGTAAACATAGCATACATGCGCACGCGCGTACCACCGGAACATAGAGTTGATGGCTTCAGAAAGATCAGCACTGCTTGACTTGTCAATGCAGCAGGTGTCAACCCACGCATACTCTAACCCATCTGTAAGCGCTTATTCGCGAAACTTCGCGATTTTCTGGTATCCACGCTTGTGCCGTGCTTCGGCCGCGTGGATTTCCTGGAAGGAGACTTCTTTCGGTGACCATGTGTGCGACAGAATCGCATACGGAGGGATAAAATCTACGAATTCTGTCAATTGCAGAGTGCGGGTATTCAGCAGTCGCATATTTGAACAGAGGGGTGGAGTTGGTTATTCAGAAGGTGTGAATCAGTAGAGAATCTACCGTGAGGTTGATGGTGGATTTTGCTGGGCCGCAACTTGCTAACTCACAATGAGGGGCTGAGGCGAAGCTGTATGCAGTTATGACACACTCAGTGCCATTCATGCATAAATACACGCCTTCCAGCCAGCCCGATTACCGAGAACATGTAATATTAGTAGTTGGCCTGCTGGTTTGAACCTGCAAGCAGTCTGTGAACTGGCGAGTCCAAGGTCAGTACAAGGCATGACTAAGCCGGAACTATAAGTCTAGAACCTCATCTTGCTGTTTCGCATGCAAGATACGATAATCCATCTAGTATAGGGCCAAAGCCCCAAGATTTCCTCAAGCCCCTCCAAGCACATGGAATTGCTAAAACATGAAGCGCTATCGTGATTCACAACAGACCTCGCCTCCAATCTCACAGCCTTCCATGGATATCCCCAAACTCTCCAGCCTTGATGCGCCAGTATCTCCTCCCAGGAAAAGGTCCACAGCAAGGGCTACACATTCGAGTAACACCTCATCAAACTTAAGTTCCTCAGCGCAAGAAGCAGAAGCATCCTCCAATCAAGAGCACCACAATCTAGCCGCCATCGAAGCCGGCCAGGTGAAAGTCACAGACCACCTATCCATCTTCTCTTCGCGACTCAGTCAATTCGCCCGTCCTGCAGTATCACAATCGCCTCGATTGCAGATCCCCGACTGGGTATCTCTGTACCAGCGCAACCAGTCTCCAGAAGGAAGACACTTCGTTATCCATCAACATGACCACCCCATTGCCGGACCGCATTATGATCTCCGGCTGCAGTTCTCGGGCTCCAGTTCTGTTAGCTGGTCCATCATGTATGGATTACCGGGTAACCCTAACAGCCGACGAATGAACCGGAATGCGACGGAGACAAGGGTACATTGTTTATGGGTTTGTATTCTCTACCTACCCCCATCTCTATATCTACTCATCTCACGCTGTCAAAGCTAAAGAACACCCGTAGAACCATCTCATCGAAACCGCATCCACCCGAACAGGAAGCATGATCATCTGGGACACAGGAGAATACGAAATCCTCCCCTACCGACCCGAACAAACGCTGCCTGAAACAGACGACTCCCGTTCCGACATCTCATCCGATAGATCCATCTCAACTGTAGACTCGAAAACCGATAATGAGAAACTCCGCCAAGCGTTTCACAACGTATGTTCCCTGACACGCCTGCTCCTAAGAGATTAATTCCCTCATCCCAAATCACTAACAAAATCAGCGCAAGATCCGCCTGCGTCTCCATGGAACTAAACTCCCCCAAAATTACACTATCATCCTTCGTCTCGACAAAGATAGAGACTTCAGAAGAAACCCCACCACACCCCGAAAACAACGTCGTAGAACGATACCAAACCTTAAACGAGGGCCTAGTACCTCGTCCTCTGGATCCTCGCCACCTCCTTCTAAGAGTGATTCAACGGGGACGCCGGCTCCTGGCGTTTCGAATGAAACTCTATTTGCGTCTAAGACTCCCGGTGGGGAACACTCGGATGAAGACGATGACATAGACGAGCAAATTCGGACTAACAACGCATATCCTGGTGCTGTTAACTCTATTGGCTCAGTTCATCAACGGAGATGGTTTGTCACTCTTGACCGGGTGAATTCGGGGTTCGTGGTTAAGGCTGGGTCTGGACCTGGTGGGAAGATGTGGGCGAGGAAATGGGATCCTGCGACGGGGCGGTTGTTAGGTTTTGTGCCGTTTTGTGTTCGGGGACCTGAAGTTGAAAGGAGTGTTGTTACTGGGAGGTTGGGGATGGATGTTTTGGAGGATGAGGGCGTGGCGGATTTTGTGCCCAGACGGGGGTGGAGGGCTGTTTTGGAATGAGTCCTAAATTACTCTACTTGTGAGTCTTACATGATATAGATAGGAAATTGTTACATAATAAGAGACGAGCATTTGGAAAGAAAATGTGTACCTTCATTTGAAATATTTAGACTCTTCTAGTACCAATATAACGAATCAGATCATGGATACTTTCGTCTGCTATATCCTGTCTGTATATGCAATCAACCCAAGAAAACCTGCACAATAACCTCATTGCTCCATCCCGGCTTCAACTTCATCTCCCTCCATGCCGTCAGAATGTCCACAGCCAGTATTTTAGTCTTTTCACCATCCCCTTCCTTCCAAACAGTCTTCCGTGGTACAGGATAACCAAGGATTGTGACCATAAGGTCATCCTCAATGCTCCAGTCAGGCAGGTCAGATATATAAACACCAAGTGTACCAAGTGCCTTCAGGCTAATATCGAAACGGAGACGCCCGTTCGCCTCCACGTAGATATCTGAGCTCACTATGGCAGCTGCACCGGTCATCTTTCCGAGCAGTCCCAATACAGAAGCGTGCGTAGGACTCCGTTCGCTCGCGTCACTAAGCTTTTTGCATTTCAAAGTAAAGGCCTGAGTGGGGTATGCGGTCAAGATCTCCCAGCCTTTATCTTCCAACACAGCTCCGACGAGTGCCTTTCTGTCGAATGGCCTCATGAGATCGGTTATGGTGCCAGTTGTGTGAGATCGGACGATGTATTTCGTATCAGAGTCATCATGGATACCCGGGAATTCTTGCAGAGACACCAAAGTAGTTCTACGATGATCAGAAACGTTGAAGAGGCCCAGAATCCCACTTCCAGTTCGGGCCCAGCCAGTATAGGTACCCACCCGCAGTACCTGGCCAGCGCTGTAATCATGGTACATATCCATGGTGCGGCCTACTAGACTAGGCCGAAGGATAACTGTAGTACCCTGAGTGGTCGGGGCTGTTATCTCGTTAATGAGGGAAATGTTATGGTTTCCCGGTTCGTCGGTAATATAAATTGGGCCGCCGGAAACGCATCGTGCAGCTGCGTGGAAAGAGGCGTATGGATGACTTGTTTGAAACATATCCCAGTCAGGTAAGACATTCAAGTAGCGGGTAAGAAGTGCGTTATGGGCATTGCAGAAGACATGCCATGTATGAGACGCTGGCACCTCTGGGAAGAAGTCATCGGAATTCCGTAGTGGAATAGTCGGCTTGTTAGTGGGTAGCTGTGAATTGAAAATAGCCTGAGGAAACATCGACATGCACGAGATAGCCTTTGTCCCGAAGTATCTCAGAGAGGATATGGACCAAGCATCCTGGTAGGCCCGTGTGAAACTCCGCCGATCCCCTGGGTCTTTCAACAAGTCAAGAAAGAACTGCGCATCGGTTTTCACAGCATCGACACCAGTAGAGGCAAGATAACTGTAGAACTCATCATAGAATCGTTGAACATCATCTGGGTGGATGGCAAGTAACGACTGCTTTTCAAATGCCTTGGCAATTGGACCTCCCGCCGCTGGATCTTTGATCTTCACTTCTTTTGTTTTGAATCTATTAGATATGTCACCGTCGGGTGAGATACCACCCCAATATCCGAGCAAGGCATGCCACACGCCGATATGTTGGATGTTTGGATGTTTTCGGCGGATGGCCTCTACAGCCTTCTTCAGCCCTCGTGGAAACGCATCTGGATTGGCCTCGAACTGTTTCCATCTCCGCTTGAATTGGGAATCACCTTCATTGTCTAAGTCTTGCCAATTATCATCAATTATAAGGTTAGAGATGTTGATTCCATGGAATTTCAGTGTATCAAGAGCATTCAAAATCTTCGCTTCCGTTAAATCCTGCCCTAAGCCATTCCATGTGCAGTAGGTCAGGCCATCATACCACTCAGATAACCATTGTGCCTCGGCATCCTTTTCGACCAGTACGACATCGTCCCCAGGAGGAGAGACGGGGGTTGGAATGCGATCAGTAGTCTCTGCGTCATAAGGCCGAACCAGTTTCCGTGCCTCATAAATCACTGCACTTGTTGCTACCTCAAAGTTGGTTGCTGTAGATACCAATACTTGAAGACCTGATGCAGTAGCGTTATCATTCTGCGACTTGATCACTACTTCACCATTATCACCGGACCCAAGGACGGTCAAAACATTATGTATGCCCGAAACAGCCAGAAGCACTACATGCTCCCCGTTCTCTCGAAGGAACGAGCATAGAATAGCGTCTTCTGTGATTCTAAACTTTCCTCGTCCGTGTCTAGGTCCAAGCCACGGAGTCCATACCCTGACTAAAGCAAAGTAAAAGATTGTCCGAGAAGGTACTCCAAGTATGACATTAGTGAGTCCAGACTGACCATCCTGGGCGGGACCAGCCTTTCCAGAGATATGCCACAAGGCTGAGCCAGGGGCTTCACTTTTGCGGGACTCGACTTTGAGGTCAGGCGAGAGGCCATCGAAATACTTGCTGAACCCCTCCTTTGCTGATGCTAGAGAAAGCTGTGCCAATTTGATATTTTCTTGCTCAGGTTCTTTTGCAGTAAATACTAGTTCTCCGTCCTTGGTATTCTGCTGTTGATTCGCCCATTGCCAATCGTGGTCTTGACTGACTCTGTACCGGACAGTAAATTGGGCGCAGCCTCCATGTGACGGCAGCAGAATGTCTCCCCAAAACACATGACGATAAAATTTATACTCTGGTTCATTTTTGTTCATGAGAGGCACAGCTGGGCTTGAACTTTGCTGAAGAGGGAAAGCACTCCATTCAGGGCTCGTGATGTTGTGCCAAATCTGAGCTTCCCATGGCTGCTCGGGAAGCGCATGGCTTGATTCTATCACCACAGTAAATCGAACCTATTGCAATATCAGAGGCTAGGACTATCATAAGGTATTCTTTATGCATACTGTATCATCTTTCTCGGAACTTAGAACTCGCTGGTCTCTTTGGTGGCACGTTACTTGCCCCAAGAGAGGATGACAAGTGACCCGAGAAAATAAGCTCATCTGTGCTGGGCGAATGAATTGGGCTTGCGGTTGATTTCTATTATAATCTGCGCCCACTTCTGGGTTGGTTGATTCATTTCCCGTGTTGATCTGCATTGAATTTGGTGTATCTGCGAGGCGACTTGGCTGGGGTGGACGAAGAAGATTCGAGGGTGAACGGGTTTATTGCGATTATATACCCAAGATTCACTCACGGAGATAAGGTCAGGGGAGAAGTCGGTGATGGATGCGCGATGAGGTGTACACAGTACATTGTGCAGCACATCCACTTAAGTGGCGTGAGGGGAATATGGAGGTTTAGCTCTACTCTTCTGCTCCATCATTGGCTTATATTTCTTCCAATCACAGGTACGATAAATAGTAAGATTACTACTATAGAGATCAAAAATAAGAAGACTAAAAAAATTCAAGATTGATTTTTACTTTCTTTTACTAATAATAAAGTCAGAAATCTCCGAATCGGATATATATTCAGAAAGTATTATCAGTGTGGCAGAGTCAGATCATCAGATGAAGTACGTCCTGCTTGAACCTCCTCTTTTAAAGATATATCTCGAGAACGCTTTTCCCCTTCCGCTTAGCTTTCTCGCTTTGGGTATGGCGCATATACCCATCTCAGAGAGATAAAGACCGACCTACTCCCTTCCTCCTTTCTACGTGAGGCCCCGACGCAAAGGAAAAACAAGACCCTTGATTTACAGCAAAACTTGGTTACAAGTATGGTGTGTAGAGGGCTATGGAACTTACATATTAATGGTCGGTGGACCGAGTACTTTATGACCTGTCACTCTGAAATACTCTTCCAGGGACATGGTATCGCCTATGTCATCCGCGAGGACGGATAAGTCCTCCCCATGATGAATTCACATTACGAACAATCAGACAGCTGCATGACAGGCCCAACAATATTGAAGGATGGGAAATAATCCCATTCCCTAGCCCCATCCATTCCAACCTAGATTATGTATATACTGTCGATCAAGATGCTGGCACTTTCACGATCTCACTGTGGAATGAGCTTGATGGATTATTGGCACCTGCGACGGTACGGATCGATCTCTCCAGAATCTATGAGTCTTCTAGCATCTTAAAACATTTCTTTCAACAGCCTCAATGCTCGCCCAACAACAGTATTGGTGAAGCAAAACTGACCCAAATTCAGCCAGTGCTTTCTGGAATGCTTGGGATAGATTTTGGCATACCCACCTCCATGAATGAGGTTCAGGGACGATTTTTTACAGACTTTGTCTTTCTATAGCGCTTTTATATCGATGATCCTCTGACATGGAGATATGATTCTCCTGTCTTCAATGTGCTATGCATAGCTTTCCTGCGTCTTGCGGCCTGGGATTTTGAGGTGTCTTTTGATTGCAATGTCGAGCTTCCAATATCCTTCGCATCGATTCCTGCTTGGAATTACCCCAAGGCCGACATATATTGGTTCCACGGTTATCTGGTTGTTCTGCAAGAAGACGTTGACTCTGGGGCCATGATAAACAGAACCGTCTTGAAAGCCAAATCATATATCAATAATTCCCAGTTTGTGCATCTGGACATCCGCTTGATTCTTATATCACCACATCATGTTACCTTTGTGGAGCTTTCCCATAATACCGCCTTGAGCAGCGGCAGTCTGATACTGCTCGCCAACTCTTCAGCAGCCCAATGTTCACCTGGCTTCCGAGCCTTAGCTCGGATTCTAACTTCAGACTGTTGGAAAAAGCCTCCGATCCTCAGAGAATGGTGGCAGTTTACTGTGCCACCTGAGGTGTTCCGGATGATTCTCTGTGAATTGGACCCGCGAGATGCTGTAGCATTTGCGCAGACTTCCTTTGCAGCCGAGCAGTGCTACTATAGTTTGGTATCCCAGTTAAAGGACGTCAAGATGCAAAATTTCAAGTCGTCTATACCCTGCTGTGGTAAGCGTGGTGGACTAGAAGAGAATGGTATTTGTTGTTCCAGATGCTATTCGTGGCAGCATTTGGAATGTGTTGGTCTTGAAAATTGTTTATCTTATAACCGGTACGTTTGTACAGACTGCCTAGGAAATAAAACTTGTATTGTTCTTGAACCCGGGGGGATCAACAGAGTCAGCCGTCGGAAAACCAGAGAAGGATGCCAGATCGAAATCAGAGGTGCTGCCAAGTCGCTTCAACTGCGACTCTCCAAACCTCCCATCTACGACGAGAACTACAATTTCTGGGGAATCTCGTGTCAATTGCCCCTTCCCTGATTAATTATACAATCCTCTTCAGCGGCTCATTTTCTGGATTGGCTTATGGCTTGGAAGATAGATCATAGTTAGGAATACGGTATATTGTTTTCAGAATATACCCGGCAATAAGGAAACGCAGTCGATAGAAAATATGGTGTGAGTAGTATTCTTAATTTACTGTCGATCGTCTTGAAAATCGAATATAAACAGATAGTTCTTGTAATCCTGCTTTGAGAATGGCTGATCTTAGCTGAGATTTGGAAATGGATCTATAAAAGTGACTTGGGAAACAGATTCATCCCTCTCTTATAGCCAATAGAAGGCTAGTCTTTTATAGATTACAAATACAATAAGGGTCTACTCAATGGAATCACCTGCCACACCTCGTGACGGTTGTAATTCACGGCCACACAAATATGCTGCTTATCTCACTGGATCGTATTTCTCATGGTTACCGTGATTGATAGCATAAGCTTGTCACACATTGACATCTCGCAGTTGTATCTTCTTCAAAGAATTCATTTGGAACACTCATTGTCAATATGTACTCTGCCATCAAGATCATTCTATTGGCCCTATTCCCACTCATCTACGGAGCTCGGAACTTCCCCATTGTTGACGTCGCAATAGTAGGAGCCGGATTATCCGGCCTAAGCACAGCAAAAGACCTCTCAAACGCCGGCAAGTCCTTTGTGATATTCGAAGCTCGAGACCGAGTTGGTGGCCGCGTGCTCAATACTCAACTACAAAGCAAGGGAATTGTAGAAGTCGGCGCTCAATTTCTGGGACCAACTCAGGACAGAGCACTCGACCTGGTACAATCACTTGGCTTGTCGACTTTCAAAACGTTTGATTCAGGCAATACGACCCTTTTCCGAAACGGAACACGCAGCGTATTCAATGGAACCTTCACGACCGGAGATGTGCCTATTTCGCCCGAAGGCCTGGCCCAGGCAGGACGGGCACTTTTGCTGCTAGATACGATGGCGACTGAGCTGGATGTCAATGTCCCATGGAACCACTCTCAATCTATCGAGTGGGATAGTGAGACTGTACAAAGCTGGCTGAATCGTGAAGCGCCCCATCCAGATGCCCAGTTTCTGCTTACACAAGGTCTACAATCGGTGTTCTCCACTGAGCCTCGAGAACAGTCGCTCTTGTACACGCTTGCGTATATCGCGGCTGCGGGTAATGCAACTACACGTGGAACCTTCGAGCGCCTCGTAGATGTAGCTGGTGGAGCACAGGAACGACGTATTGTGGGCGGGACCCAGCTGCTAGCCATCAGACTTGCCGAGAGAATCGGACTGAGCAATATCATTTTCAATGCACCTGTCCAAAACATTGAGTTAAAAGGTGACACCTACCTTGTCTCCTCGAATAATCGATCCGTCATAGCAAAACATGTGGTCATCGCCATGTCTCCTCCCTTGGCATCCCGTATCACTTATCAGCCGTTGCTGCCAGCAGCGCGAGATCACCTTACCCAACGAATGCCAATGGGATCTATTGGAAAAGCTTTCGCTACATATACTACTCCTTTCTGGCGAGAGGCCGGCCTCAACGGACAGGTGGTCAGCGACACTGGGGCCGTACGAATAACTTTCGATAGCTCCCCTGAGGATGGCTCATCAGGTATCATGATGGGGTTTATCGAGGCGGACGAAATGAGAAGACTAGATCGATTGCCTGAGCGTGAGATAACCAAAGAGATCACCGAGGACCTGGTTCGCTACTTTGGGCCCAAAGCGGCTGATGTTCAGAGCTGGGTCATCCAGCGGTGGGATCTTGAACAGTTTTCTAGGGGAGGGCCTGTGGCGTATGCCCCTCCGGGTGTGCTCACGGCGTATGGTACTTCCTTGAAGTCACCGCATGGTAAACTCCATTTTGCGGGAACGGAGGCCTCTTCTTTCTGGGTTGGGTTCATGGACGGCGCAATTCGATCGGGGGAACGTGTTGCTACGGAGATCCTGATAGACTTGTAGTTGTTCGTCACTAACCTTAGTATCATTGACTACCGAGTCGTCTCTGGAGATACCAAGCCCTTTCCTGGCGATGGTTGATAGAACTCTAGGTCGGTTAATTGAAGTACTAGTCTGGAAATCATGTTTATTATGCTCATCGGATATTCTATTCTCTGAAAGAGTCTCATTGATCAACCATATACGTTACATTAGGTATTTGAGCGTCCAAGAACGTTTAATCGATCTTGATCGCCAGCTTTCCGAAGTGCTTTTGGGCCCACTGTAGAGAATGTCAGCATAAGGTGTTACCCCCTTGAGAAACACAGATAGGCTTACCATGTATTCATAAGCATCCTTAGCCTTGTCAAGGCTGAAGACCTTAGGGTCCACAACAGGGTGGATATCGTTAGCCTCGATAGCCTTCACCATGTTATTCAGTAATTCCTTGCTTCCAACGTAAACACCCCGAACAGTACAGATGCTGCTGAGAGTGTCGAGAATGCTCGGCTGAGATTTGGGGTCGACACCGCCGAGGAAACCAATAACGCTAATGATACCCTCGAGCTTGATACACTTGAAGCTCTGGTTAAGAGTTCCGCTGCCACCGACCTCGATGATGTGGTCCACACCAACATTGTCGGGGGTGAGCTTGCGAGCAGTCTCGCCCCAATTGGGATCAGACTTGTAGTTAATAACATGGTCTGCGCCAAGCTCCTTCAACTTCTCCGATTTTTCAGCAGAGGAGGTGGTGGCGATGACAGTTGCTCCGGCAGCTTTAGCGAACTATCATAAATATCTCGTTAGATACCCCGTTCCAAAATCCAATCAGCTAGGAGACAAATAGAAGAACAAGCCTACCTGCAGTGCGAACAAGCTAACGCCGCCAGTGCCCTGCACCAGAACAGTCTGCCCTGGCTGGAGAGGTTTCAGGCCATACAGAGCGTTCCAGCTGGTAAGGGCGGCACATGAGAGCGTGCTGGCCTCAAGGTGGGTGAGGTTCTTCGGGCTTTTCACCAGGCCATTCTCGTTGAAGACGCCGTACTGACGCAAAGTACCATCAATAACACCACCCAGGCCAGATCCGGCAGCCCTTGGATCAATAGGACCGTACTGGTGCAGCTGGTTGAACAAGGTGATCACTTTGTCTCCTTTGCTGAATTGAGACACCTTAGGGCCCACTTCAACGACCTCACCGGCTCCATCCGAGCCCGGCACAACAGGGAAGTTGAGGGCGAAGGGGTACATGCCCTGGCAGCACGCATTAGCGGGGAGCACAATTACAGTGAGGTTTTGTAGTCATCGACGCACTTGCGGGATAATAATATCGCGATAGTTGAGTGAGGCTGCGTGGAACTTCACCAACACATCGTTATCGCCAACCTTGGGGACTGGCGCATCATTGTAGGCAAGCTCATCAAAGCCGTTGGCCTTGCCCTGCACGGTCCACTGCTTCATGTTCTCGGGTGCCATGATGAGTATTAAGTTACTGGTGCCAATGGGGAAGGGGTCAATTGTCAATTGGTATGCAGAAAATCAACACTCAGCTCCTTGGTGGAGGGGGTTTATCTAGTAGTTATAAAGCCTCTGGAGGCCTGTATTCTTGACGTAAGTGGGCAGATCCCCACATCTATGGCGACCCTCGAATGAGGATCCGGCAGATGGGTACGGTGTAACTGGGAGACATTTTCTTTCCGAAATGCTCCAGCGACCGAGTTCCAAGAGTGTTCCTCGTCAAATCACAGCTCGTGGGGCAGTGAGTGGCTCCCTTTGCTGATAAATCCGAGTCAGTTGGATTTCCTCTTTCGGGTACAAGATGAAAAACACAGCGTCGAAGTGTGGAGCATTCCAGGCTCTCCTCAGCTCTTCCATAGGGGCTTTAGAATCACGTGGTGGTTACTGCCGTTTACACAACACAGCTCAACTCTAACGTCCACTTCTTTAGTATAAAATAATCTTATTTCCAGAAATGATATACAACAATCAATGCTGCCATGACCAGTTGTACTCCGCTTAGTAGAGCATGCCACTCCCAGCTCTTATAGCTGTTAGTGTCTAGCGCCCATCATTGCTTGAATATTCATTCAGGAACAAACAGAGCCTTTCTGCTATTTTTGGCTAACAGATAGGCGCCCAGACACATTGAAATAAGCAGAATAGAAGGGGCAACTACCTACCATTTTACGAGCACGGCTCTCAAAAATGCTTACTTCCCATTCGGCTTCATCGTTGAGATTAAGCAGCCCCCGGGTGCCTTTTGCTGAGAATACGATAGATATATCGAAATCTATCCAAACCACGCGTTGAGATCTTGTTTCGGGGACGGTCAGAACGTTTTTCGGATGCGCATCGTTGTGAATGACACCGGTGCTATGTATTGTCTTTAACCCGTCAACTACCATACTGACAGATTCTGGAGCAAGACTGGCACTCTTGAAGCTTATAGCATTCGGTAGATACTCTAGCAGAATTACGCATGGAAAGAACTTGTCGCTATCAAAATTATCAAGATCAGGGCCGAGCATTTCGGGGTCAAATGAATCAAATAGACCATAAAAGTACGGTACAATCCCTAGCCTACAGGCACCGCGGACATGCAAGGCTTGATACACTTGAGACTCGCAACGATATCGGCAGAGATCTCTACTATCGTCAGCGAGACCTGGATCGTCACCTATATGGAACTGCTGACATCTTAGCTTTATTAATTTTATAAATATAGACTCCAAATTACAAACCACTTTTAGACAGTATTCAAGGTTATGAAACAAAACCCGAAATATCTCGGAGGTTTCTGTAGACTGTAGTTTCTCGAGAATCTGGATCTCTTGAAGCTGGGAATGTGGCAGATAGAAGGATTGCTCGCCTATTGAGGCCATTTTGGAAGATTGAGATAGCTTCTTAGACAGAAACAAATGAAGCTACGAATCTTCCTTCAAAGGATTGGTTAGTGAACTAATCGATCAGGGATAGAATAGCTCACTTAAAAAACTATTGTGGATGAGTTGGCTTGCTTCGGGGTACGATGATAGAAATATAGAATAAAACCCGACTCTTGCTGGATTTCGAGTGCAGTATACTCTATCCCTATTAAGTACTGTATTACAAGATTGAATTATTAATCAATTATATATTATTTCCTGACATCAGAAAATATCGAAAAATTCAATGTGTGGTTTCAACTTCCGGAAGAATAAAAGCTATGGATAATTATCCATATTTTTCTGTTTGCCTATTCCACAACTTCATGCAGCCTGGCTCTAAAGGCAATCCGTGACGCAAGGCACTTCTGCCTAGCTTTTCGTTGTTGAACTGTACACATCGTGACTTGTTCGTCCATCTGAACAATTAATTGGTGAGATAGAATGCGAGGTATTCAGAAAGCAGCTCACACAACTGGGCTGGGTATAGCATTGGTAAATGGGCCCTAAAGGAATTTTTTTTGATAGCCCGCGCATTTCTCCTATTCAATGGCTCTCAGGAGGCCATCTCCATGGGCCACTTGGGAGCATCATCCAATTCTGCTTGGTGTGCCGGAATATCAGTTTATCAAGTTCGCGCTATTGCACTCCACGCCGTTTGTAGCTGTCAGATAGGCCAATCAGGGCGCACTGGAAACTTCCAATTATCCCGGTGTTGTTTGGATGGAGCGGCTTCTGAATATGCCATGGGGTGCTTAGATATGCCTTTCTCGCTGACTATAAACAAAATGGCTAGTTTCCGTCATTGGGTTAGTATTTGGCCCATAATCCGAGCAACGCTTGGTACACCAAAGCAAGAATCCCAAGGCCTAATTAAGCATATCTCTTATTTACTTAAGTTTTGCCATTGCACATCACGCAGTCGTCTCAAGTAGGAGGAGGTACTGTCTCATCGGGCGGGAGATAGTCTGTGAAGTTGAGGGCATATCCATCCCAAAATAGGCGTAGCATTAGGTCGTCGTTCCCCAGCGGTGGCGGCCAGTCAGATGTTTCTCGTAAACTCAGAAAGCCGGAGAGTGATTCCATGAAGGACTCTTCTTCATTCTCTCCCATTCTTGATTCGCCATTCACTGTGGCGATAGGTGCAGGTTCTTGATTGTTTTGCTGATCACTATTAGTGTCACTGCTCGGATCCAGAGTCAAAATCCGTTCAACAAATGGCGTCCGAGACTCGTGCCGCTCACGTCGTAGCCGCTCACGGTAGACATCAATGGCCTCGGAAAAGCTCGTGAGAATACGATGGTACTGTGCCGCCTGGGGGCTCAAGTGTCCTAATGACCCGAGCAGACGCCGTGCGCTGTGAAAGGCATCGCAAATTTCCGAGGTCGTCTGCCCTTCCGCGAGAAGAGAAAATCCCAAGACCAGGCCGGCTGCGAAGAGCCATGCTCTATAAGATCTAGTCAGCTTACTGTAGACTAGAGATATCAAGGTAGTATCTTTCTTACTTCAAGATACACATATTCCCCCACAGAATACCAGCCTCGGCTGCGTCACAGCACATTTGTGCCATGTACGTCGCAGCGTCAGTGCAAACGCTTGACAGTTCAGCAACTTTCTCGTTTCCTTCGCTGGTCTCTTGACGGACGGTCGTCTTCCTTGGTCGCTTACCGCGTATCTGCGGCATAATGTGCTGGATCAAAGATTGACGTGTCACAAGGATGACGCCAAAATAGTAAGTGCAGGCGACATGGATGTTCCCAGTCATATTTTCCCGGTAGTCTGGATTTAATCCCAGATCGGGTTCTTTCCGTGGTCGTAGACGTAGTTTGTCGGGCAGTGCTTGACTCCATTCACGCCAGATTTGCAGGAAATGGTCGGCAGAATTAGCATCCAACTTCTCCCCGTCAGTGAGCCTCTGGACAATTGCCTCCAGTACTGAGGAGGCCTCGTACGCAGCATTGAGCGCTGAGGTACGGTGACTAGCTTCTTGGTCGAAGTCATCTACATGAACGTCATCGGTGCGGAGTGACGATGTACTTCCAGGTCTACCTAAGATAGAGCTAGAGACGAGATCGAGAACTCGTATGCTTTTACCGATCCGTAGCCTTGCGATGCTATTAGCTTCCCCCAGCAACTAGTAGCTAAGAACATACCTTCTAGCCCTGTCCTCTGCAGGCATCTGTCTGTACTGTCCGGAAACATGTAGCCCAAGAACTATAGAAGCTCTTGCAGCTACTCCAATATACATGAACGCTGCATTTCGTCGGCAGGCTCCAAACATATAGAAGGCCATCAGTAGAAAGTCACGGGCCATATAAACTGTTGGATCCTCTAGGAAGCCTGAAAAGGCCATTTTCCTGGCTTGACAGAAGTATCTTACTGCGCATAAGAGGTCTTCCTGGGTGCTGCCTTTGCACTGGGCTCCTATAGCAATCATCATGTATACAGCGGTGAGGTCCTCCTTTACGTTGCTATCCAATCGACCGGCATTGGGCATACGAATACTATTGGACACTTTAACCATCCGATTGATCTCCTCCCAACTAAAGAGGTCCAAAAGACCACTGGACTTTTTACGGCGTAAGCTACAACTTCAGGTTGCATTTGGCGTAATGGGCTGATGATAAGGACTCACGACATCTAAGAAGCACTGAATAAGTGCCCATTTCTCTGTCTCCATCAACTCGTCGGCAAAGAAGTCCGTTTCGGTGTCAGGGACATCAACTTCGAACATCTTGCGACTATTCTGACTCTCAGTAAAACCCACGGGGCCGACGTAGCGTTTCACTATCGCTTGTAGGAATTGAAGGAAGGATACGGCAGCAGCGCCGCCCATAAAAACTGATCATCCCCTAGGTTAACGTCTGGATCTTACAAGGGGAAGGTCTCGCATCGGGCGCAACACACCTCTCTCACCGCTAGAGCTATACAGCATGGTAGGCCGTTGCCCGGCGGAGGGCGTTGTATCTCGCGTACTACGGACATCGTCGCTTTCCCGCAGTCGCGGCTTTTCGATGGGGGTTAGAGTGTTATATGCATGGTGGTCAACTTCCGACGGTGTTAATGGCTGTAGTGGGTTAGGACCGCGAGTTTGAGTGGACTGTATTCCTCGCTGCTGGGGTGTGAATGTACACGCGTCAGCAGTGCCCTTCGTCTGACACGTTCGACAAGGTCGGGCGCCATCGCAACGTTTCTTCGACGCTTTGCAGGCAAGACATGCCCTGACCGAACGCTTCCGGTCTTGTGGTTTTACGCGCGGCCGCGGCATCGGATAGAGGACCGGGGACGGTGGAGAACGACTGGCTTGCTGTCCCAACAAAAGTTCCCACACTTGCTGGGCGGAAAGTAAATACACCGGCAAACTATCAGCCGCTAGTAAAGATGCGAATTGTAGTACGTAGCAGCATCAGAAGTGGGGCAGCGAGAACTGGGGTTGAGGTATGGAGTACATGGTTCTTATCTGGACAACAACAAGGAGGTAAAAAGAGGTTAATCTCGGCTTTTCGTAAGCCTGGGTGCGGCCCGTACCCCCGGAGCGGGTAGTGCACTTGGTCGGGTGTGCATGTTCCGCCAGTAAACGTCATAAATGTATATCGCCTTGACACCAACAAGTTTCGCAGGGGGCAGATGAGAGAGATTAATCCATGATAAGCTGCGCCATCGTCCGTGCGATTTATCATGCCTCCATTCCTGTCAAGAGTTAAAAGGGCACCATACCTACGCCCTCACTATCTGAGATCATCGCCACTGTCGCAAACACACTACAATACCCAATACATCAAACTACAACTATGGGCTCTCATCAAGAATCTTGGAGGCGACTGACTGTGGGTGTGGTCGGAGGTGGTATTGGCGGTATGTCCGTCGCCATTGCCCTCCGCCGCGCCGGTCATGAAGTAACCATCTACGAACGCAACGACTTTGCTGGCGAGGTCGGCGCCTCAGTTTCATGTGCTGCCAACGGTACAAGATGGCTTCATGAGTGGGGTGTGGATATCGAAAAGGGTGACCCTGTTGTGCTGCGCAAGCTCATCAACCATGACTGGAAGACTGGCGAACCGGTCAGTGTCTACGATCTCGCGGATTACGAGGAAAGATGGGGTTACGTCTACAACATGTTCCATCGTCAGTACATGCATGCGATGTTGAAGGACTGTGCACTACAAGAGGAGGGAGAAGGCACTCCCGCTAAGCTCCAGGTTAACCATGCGGTATACCACTCCCTCTCTACCATGATGCCTCTAGACGAACAAGTCCAAGCTAACAACACCTTCAGTGCAAAGATATCGACCTAGCCACAGGTGTCATCACCTTCACAAACGGAGTCCAGGCTCAACATGACTTGATAATTGGCGCAGACGGTATTGGTTCGGTCGTTCGTGGTATTATAGGACTTCGCCCAGAGAAGAAGCCTTCGGACCAGAGTTGTCTACATGCCAATGTCCGTACAGAAGACGCCGTCCGACTTGGCCTGGTTGACTACTCTCAAAACAGTGCGCTGGAGTACTGGGGTGGCCAAGAAGGCAAGTGGGACAAGATTGTACTTTCACCATGCAATGGTGGTCGCTTGCTGTCGTACTATTGCTTTTTCTCTCGAGAGAAGGGAGACTTTAGCCATCACACTTGGGGCAGTGCAGACCGGCCGGTGGAGGAGCTACTGGAGCCATACCCAGAACTCGACCGTCAAGTATTTTCTCACCTATCTATCGGTACAGAGATCCGTCCATGGCGCTTGTGGGTTCAGTAAGTCGACATTCTTCCCTTCTATATAGTGTTGTTCTGACACAAGTTCGATAGCCAACCATATCCATACATCGCCCGTGATATGGTGTGTTTACTTGGCGATGCAGGTCATCCGGTACAGCGTTTTCCCTTGCCATTCTAACTATACAATCAACAAGGCTAATATAATACAGATGATGCCTCACCAAAGCCAGGGTGCCTGTATGGCAATTGAAGATGCGGCAGCGCTTGGAATCCTTTTCAACAAGACCAATTTCACTGGAGATATTGCTGAAACCCTCGCCGTCTATGATGAAATTCGATTGCCCCGAGCTACGAAGGTTCAATCTGCCGCAGCAAAGGCGGCTTATAATATCAACGAACGGATTGGTAAGTAGTGGCGTTGCCGTTGCCGTTGGAAACAGTTGTTAACAGGTTTTCAAGGGTTCTCGAGCAACACTACAACCTCCGTATACAAAGTCGAAGATGAGAAGAAGAAGCTGACTATTGAAGAGATGAATGCGTAAGTTGATGACTCTTTTGAAAAATGTTTTTGCAGCAGGCTCTGACTATCTGATCAAGGTACGATATGTACAAAGATATCGAAGAAGCGATCGCAAGGCGCAAAGGGTTACCTTTCACAGCACCCTACACCAAGGGACTACCATTCGGCTTGAAGCTGTCGAATGGAGTGACAATTGGAGAATAATACGTGATACCATCCTGCAGAATGCCCCTTTCCATACTGCTTTCATGACTTTAGCCTGGTTTATGCTACTTCTTACTAAGTTGATACTCATGATCCATCTTTCTGAGTGTATATTTGCATGATCACGATTTGTTAAATTCCCCTGACATGATACTTTGGTTAACTTATGAGACACTCTCAGACCGGAAAAATCAAAATAGCTTATGCAGCAGAAATCCTGAAAAATATCATTTCCAAAATTCCTTTACAAACGACTGATGTACTGCTAACAAGTGAATATCCTTCACTATAGGAGAAAGAGTGATTCTAAGGAGGTCTCTTGAAATTTACACTACTTGATGATAAGAGTGGGCACATCCAGAATCAGCTACAATTTCCAAGTGAATGTAGTTGTATCCTTGTTCATCCTCTACCATCGCTCCTTGCTCTTCATCATTACCCACCCATCTCCAATCCATAAAATCCGGCCAGGCTACTACTAAGCCGAAACCAACTGCCAGTTTCTACTTCTCTAGAAGATCCCTTTTGCAATCTTCGCACGACTTATCGTACTCAGGATCAGAACTGTCCCTTGTCTTCCTGAAGTGCGTCTAAGTTGAACCCACGATGACAACGGGAACCAGCAACGCATTTCACGAGTGAGTTTGTCCTCAAATAAGAGAAATCCAAAAGCACTGGTATTTTAGAAGTATATTAATAGCCTCGACAGATTCCTCGAATCGGACGTCGTCTCCCTTCAAGCTTTCAACTCCACACATGTGTTCAAGGTCCACAAAGCACTTCTTGACGCCAAATGCGAAGTTATTGCTTCGGCATTCAACAGTAATTTTACTGAGGGTCGAAGTAGAGTATATACCTTTTCTGACAGCTCGGAGGATACTCTGGCGCGGTTCCTCGAATGGGCTTATCGAGGAGACTATGCTGAGCCGGTCGTAAAGCATTTGGACAAGACAACTGACCAGGCTAAGAAAGCCCATGCTAGCGATCAGCTAGAGAGCCTTGACCATCCACTGGTGGCTCATATGGCACTTCTCATCTTTAGCGAGAAGTATATCGTTCCAAAACTGAGGGATTTTGTCTTTGCCAAGATCAAGGTGGCCATCCAGGTCATGAACAAACCATATACGGCGAACGATCGCTTGGTGTTATCTCTCTCTTGAAGCTTGCATATACAAAGATTCCTGCAAACAAGTCCTCGGCCAAACTTCAGGAATGGCTGGCGCACTATGCTGCGTTCAGTTTTGATGAGCTCCGCTACCAGCCTTCATTCAATGACGTACTCAAGCATTCTCCAGATTTGGCTTCGAAAATACTTAATAGATTGAGCCCGGCCTATTGTCCTCCTTGGACAAGTGAACATAAAGGGTTGAATGGAGATTGGCTTTGATTTCGGTGTACCATGTACTCAAGTCTATCGTTCCTCTATCCCGTAGGGAACGGCTTGTGTGGTAATGGCGTGCGAAGGAAAGTTCTAAGGACTACGTTGCAGAGGTAGTTAGGTAGTTATCGCGCAATACACTTATTAATTGAGCTCAATTGCCGATCATTGTAGAAATCAATGGATAATTATCCGCCATAGTTGGGCAAGAGATGAGGGGTAAACTATCACCTCATTTTCCGAGTCGGCCCAGTTCCGATATCTCCTTTTTACTTATTTCTCTGATGATCTCCCCTTTTACTATATAATTCTCAAGCTTGTGCCGCTACACAGAAAGATATTGGACATTGTTATAGCTTGCTGTACAACACAGAAATCTCGCTCACCATGTCGCTAGGAAGAACTTTCAAACTCAACTCGGGATACAATATCCCCGCCATCGGACTGGGAACTTGGGTACGTATCGAAGCGCGCACCAGAAAACGATACCGATTGCACTTGACTTCTACTAACAGTCCTAGCTCTCAAAACCACACGAGGTTGAGAACGCCGTCGAGGCCGCTTTGCGCGCAGGATATCGCCATATCGATGCCGCAGCATGCTACCAGAACGAGAATGAAGTAGGAAACGGCTGGAAGAAGTCAGGTGTGCCTCGAGACCAGATCTTTGTCAGTAATCTCTTTGCCAGGCGATGGCGTTTTCGTCACTATGAGTATTGCGACATGGGCTGATTGCAAGACAGATCACCAGCAAGTTATGGAACACACATCACCATCCCGAACATGTCGAGGAGGCTGTCAGCAAGACCCTTAAGGACCTTCAGACAGACTACCTGGATCTATACTTGGTTTGTTCGCTCTGTACATCATTCGATCACAAGAAAATTGGCCTAACTGTACCAGATCCATTGGCCCGTCGCATTTGAACATACAAACGAAACTCTCACGCCTATTGATCCGGTCACGAAGCGATTCCGTTTGGCGAACGTTCCTATCGCCGATACCTGGGCTGCTCTGGAGAAGCTTGTGGAGGCGGGCAAGCTCCGAAGCATCGGTGTGAGCAATTTCACGCAGGACAAGATCGACGATCTTCTTAAGACGGCGAAGATTCACCCGGCTGTCAACCAAATCGAGGCTCATCCTTATCTCCAGCAACCCGGTCTGCATAAGTACCTGAAGGAGAAGGTCAGAATATCTCTATTGTGTAATGTGCTTTGGAGTACAGATGCTAATATACGTACAGAATATCCTATCCGTCGCATATAGCCCTCTGGGCAACAACATCTACAACGCCCCACGGTAAGGCCCTCAGCTCTCTGAAGCATATAACCCGCAGCACGCAGTCCACTAATACCTATGAATATAACAGGGTCGTCGACGACCCCGCAGTCAAAGCGATCGCTGATAGATTAGGCAAAGACCCAGCCGCCCTTTTGATCTCGTGGGCAGTCCAGCGCGGCAGTGCCGTGCTGCCGAAGAGTGTCACTCCCTCGCGAATCGAAAGCAACTTCAAGGGTACATTCCTACCCCCGCTTCTGCTGTTTAATCATGGGTCCAGACTCCAGAGACTAATTTCTCTAGATTTCATTATTCCCGACGCTGAATTCGAAGCCCTGAACCAACTTGACCGTAACCAAAGATACAACTTCCCCTTCCGTTGGGGTATTGATGTCTTTGGGGAAGTGGGAGCTGAAGAAACGGAAAAGCGGGCAGAGGAACATGCTGCGAAGCAGAGGGAGGGAGCTTAGATATTGATCGTCGTGTAAGATTGTGTTTACTTGGTCTCTATGTGTCTATTTTGGGATCGCATTCATCGCTGTGGACAACTTTATATATCTGCGAAGGCTCAAACAATGAAAATCCTAGAAATGGATTTCATTAAAAAGACTCAAAAAATTTAAATAAGACAGGAAGTAGAGAAAAACAGAAAAGACCCTGTCTATCTAAATGCATACCTACACGAGCAGTAAAGCGGTGTCAACTGATGCATGCAGGATGAAGATACTACTAGTACAGCAGTACTACTAGTAGTAAGAGTACCTACTGTGAGTACTCCTATCAGTTCATTGGATGTCAAAATTTATGCTCGGACACCACACCAAAGCAATTAATAAGAATTCCTCCTGCACCACGATCAAACCCAAACAATAAGAAAGCCACAAAGCTACCCTGCAAGATACCTAGTTAATAACAGGGACAAGTCTTGCAGATTGACAGGCTTGATCAATTGCTATACATTTCCACATAAAACCGTCATTACCATGTCGTCAGCCGGTAAAGACAGGGTTACGAAGAATAAATCGACGCGGCGAGATGCGACGAGGCGCGAAATCGAACAATTAAGCAAGAAGCTGGGGAAAGGTATGCGAACCCATTATAACATCCAAATGCATCAATGATTTCAGGGCGGACCAAGCCTGTGCGTTGCGACCGCCAGCGCATGACCGGCTCGAGTGGACGCGTTCTGACGCGTTCTTAGATGGCAAAAAAAGATTGCCCCTGGTGGAGCGCACCAACAAGTTATCGCTGGCCGAATTTGTGAAGTCATATGTATCGGCTGAGGATCTCGAATATCGGAGAAGTCCTGCTAAAAATCCGACGGCCTCGGGAAAGGAGCAAGAGTTACATTACTCGCTCGATATCTACACCGCTGGCTCTATTCCGGATGCGGATTTTGAGGCTTGCTTTAAGTTGATTGAAGAAACGTCTTCAGATGCTTACAAAGGGTCTGGCTGGGGGTGGTCTCCGAAGAAAAAATTGAAGGAGATGCGACTGCCTGATATGAGATATTTGATTTTGCGACAGGGTTCGAAGACGACTCCTGAGAACATAGAAAATGCGGAAGGGGGCACAATACCCCCCACCGGTCAATTCCTAGGGTTTACCTCGTTTATGGTCACGTATGAGGATGGGAAAAAAGTGATTTACTGTTATGAGATCCACTTGTCGTTGGCTGCTCAAGGCCAGGGACTTGGTTCGCAGTTAATGATACGACTGGCGAACATTGGGCGACGGATTGGCCTCGAGAAAGTGATGTTGACTGTCTTCCGATCGAATGACAAGGCAGTAAGGTTTTATTATAAGCTTGGGTTCACGGAGGATGAGTATTCCCCACCACCTCGCATACTACGAAACGGGATGGTGAAGGAGCCGGACTATATGATTCTGTCTAAGTCGTTGCGGTCTAACCGGTGATAACTGCCTGGAAATTACTGACACACGCCACAGTGTTCGCATCAAGGCCGCTGTATTCATACATAATAATGATTGATACCATATCTTAAACTTGTCTAGCCTCTTTGCCGCGCATTTCGGGATTCTCTTGCTCCCACTCATCTCTGAGCACGGCGAAAATGGTGTCTGCCAGTAATATCGATAGCCCTAAGCTCCACACCAGGGTGATGGCGTAGAAGAAGTTGGCGTTGCCGGAGCCGGCATAGATCCATAGGTGATAGAACGCAGGGCCCAAAAGTGTGGCATACAAAAGAGCTGACACCGCAAAGAAAGTATAGCGCATCACTATCCACAGTTAGTAAAAATCGGCATCTGATAGATCTTAGTACTTACGAGGGAAAAGATGCCTATACAGGGGCAAGAGGGCGAAGTATAACGAGGCGTCTGAGATGCTAGGGTAAGGTTTGAAGACAGCGAAAATGCCCAACAGAGAGGTGATAACAAATAGAGGTTGCCTCCGCAGTCGCACGGTTAGGCCACCAACGTATGCCGCTAGATGAAGCCAGAAAACTCCAAGGAAGAATTCCCGGAACGAGTCGAACATTTCGATGAAGAAGTACCACCAAAGGCCGACGTTAGGTGTTAAATCAGGAACCAGTAATTGAAAGCCATATGTCGCAGAGATAAATTGAGAGAAGTCTCCAACTATCAAGCAAGAAATTCCAAGTAGACCGGCTATGCTAAGCAAAAAGATTGCTAGATGCTGTACGGCGAAGATGGCGACTCCAGATGGTGGCTTTGGTCCTTGAGCACGTCGGTCATAACAGAGAAGCACGAGAGGGATGAACAAGAGAGCTGGGTAAATTGACAAGTAGGACGCGAATCCTAGGGAAAGCATGGCGTTGAGACTATTTCCACCAACGGCATTGGACAGTGCGTATAGGATCCCGGTGGTGGTAAAGACGCCTGTTGACCGGCCAAGGCATGTTGCGATAGTAAATGGGTTGAAAAGAAACCTGACCAGTCAGAGCCGATACTCCACTCGAGGGAACAACGTATATTACCATGCTGCAACAGAAACCCCGTCCCATCTAATGTGTTTCCGCAATGCTGAGAATAACCTCCCCGAGACTGCTTGTCCTGAATCGGATATCGTGATCAAAGCGTTCGCGTTTATAAGATCGATCAATGAGTAGAAAAGGGCGGTTGGTAAGGGAAATTCTCTAGCGTTTGGAAGCAAAGCAAAGATAGGGAGGAGAAGCGGTGCCTTCATAGGGTATCAGGAAAGTATCATTTTAGCTATGGAGGCCAGGTTTCCTACCTGATGGAAGACGCCTCCGTCATAAGGGGAAACATTTCGCGTGTATAGGAAGAGACCTTCCTGAACTGAGGCAATATACGTCAGTACCTCTGCATTGAAGCGCAGCTGCTTCTCGATCACATTGTCACTCACGTCGTTTGAAGCTGCTGACCGGTGTTGATACCTCAACTCTTCCGGTCAACAAGTCGGGGAGCGACGGGAAAAGGACCAAGAGAAGAAGCCGCAGGGCGAATGCGCCCACGAACACGGCTGCTTGTCTTCGATCAACCGGCATGACACTATCATGAAATATTGCGAGTGCAGTACATAGCCGAACGGGGTCAACAGGCCCGGTGGATTTTGGCCTGGGGAACTGTTCGAGTTGGTTGGTCCAGCTGTCCCTTTTCCATATCAATTTAATCGCCCTGCCAAGACTCTCCGCCTTTTCCGTCTGTAGGTGCACGGACCATCGGATATGCCTCCAGATCCATGGAACTACTACTAGTAGTACTACTATTACTTCCTCGAAATACTGCGACTGTTCTACCTCCGGTGATCACCGGTCAAGATTGCTCGATATGGTCTTGTCTATAGACCCTCTTCTGGTCATTCCGTTGATTCATACGTCGTCATCTCAAGATGTATCGATATCTCTAGAAATCATTAAGGGCGCTCAAAATCCCATACTAATGTTAGTTTGTCCATCCCATACCAGATCGTCAATCCAATTGAGGAAGTCCTCGCTAGTAAATGGCTCAGGTAATGACTGAGACTCATCCGAACCATCCGAAGATCGGTCAATGTGAAAACCTTCTGCCACCTGCTGTTCTGGCTGCACCTTCTCCAATTGACTATTGGTATCTCTCGCTGAGATTAGACCCTGATTCAGAGTATCATCTAAAAGTCGACTGATCACCTTGCTTATTTGAAGACATAGCTGGTAATCGGAGCGGTTTCGTGAGTTCTGTTTCTCAACCCACGAGATTGCAACACTCAAATCACGGACTATACGGGAACAAGGAATAGAAGAAGGCAAAGGGAGTCCCTTAAGCGTGTGTTGGTGAAGTTCCGTTGCGAGAGTACCGGCACCAGGAAGACCATAGAACAGAAACTAGAGAAATCAGGTGTCAGTTGAAAGTGATCAAGGTTTATCCTGCCTTTTTTTTTTATGCACGAACGTACGATCCATGTGAACCTCTCTCGCAACTCAATAAATCGCTCTTGTTGCTTCATCAAGTCAAGCATGCCTGAGAGCAGTCTCATTGAAGTATCCAGAATAGTGGTAAGTGTGTCTTGGCCTTCCTGTTGGAGCATTCGTAGGATCTGAAAGCCACAGTGAAGATGATCTAAATGAGCACTCAAGAGCACAACACATGATCTCGGGCTCAGGTAGTCCCAGACATCACTCCTATAGCGGTATTGCATTGGGACTCTAGCCCAGATATTTTCGTACTCTTGGTATAACTCTCTGTGACGGGTTAGTTATTATCGATTGATGAGCTCGTACCGACGGTATTGACATACAGGTGCTGCTTGGTCATGCATTCCCTCCGGTTTCCTAGTGATAGTCGTAGTATCTTGGCTCGAAGGCTTGATAATGCAAAACGAATTCGTATTCCTGTTGCTGGTCGAAGTAATTTTTCTCTCTCAAAGGAGATCTTCCAACCGTCCTCATCCAATTTTTCTAGGGCTGCATTAAGCTCACTTCCAACCAGCACTATCTCTTCTTCATCCAGATCGAGTGGATATATTATATCACAGAAGTTACAGTCAATGAATGGTGGCCTTTCAAGGAGTGTTGCAAGGTTCATGTCTCGACAAACTGCTGCAGCAAAGAGCCTCTTGCGAGTTTCAGACATGAAGAAAGGTACATCAGACTGTAATGATATCTGGCGGTGATATCTCAAAGTGAATAGCTCCGCAGTTAATGAGCTGAAGCAACGATATAGGATACTGCCTGTTGCAAGACTGTAAGAGATCGGCTATTGAGTTGGGAGCCCAGGAAACACATACTTGTATCCCCAAACACGTTTGATGCTAAAGCAACATTTGTATGCCGCATCCAAGTGGTCATGTCGTTCAACTGGTTAAATTCTTCACATATCTCGATACATGCTCTGCTGGCTGTGTACATATTCGTAGCAAAGGATTCATAGCCAAGTGGCTTCTGTGGCTCAGCAGTATGAACTGAAGCGAGACCCGCAAGGGCGAAAACAACCCCAAGAAGTTCCCATCGAAGATTGACTCCTCTGAACCACCCACAAAATTCTTCTACAGTGGTATTTACAGATATGGGGGGAAGGGACTTGCGTGTGTTCTGGGTTAAGCCAGCGTAAAGATCTACCCCTGCTTTTATATCATCATACAGAGTCGAGAACAGCTCGAATAATAAAGGCCGGGGGATGACGAAAGATCGGCTGCGGTCAAGATAGTTGAAGATGAGGTCCTTGTAATGTGAATAAGACGCATATAGGACCTCAAGGTAGTGGGCTGCTATGGTAAAACTAGATGTAGACGGAACTATCCAGCCTTTATCTGTTCCAGGCGAGATTTTGGGGGAAGTCGATACAAATCCGGGAACTCCAGGTTTCCCAAGCTGCTCTTCATTGGGCTTCCCCTGTGTGATCTCGGATGAATGTAAATGACTTGATAGAAAGGTTGTATTCGGACTGTCAAGCGATACATTTCTCTGCCGTCCAGGAACTGATGGTTTCGTCATGCAAAAATGGCGGTATTTTGTCCCAGGACGAGTCATTGGAGCGGGATGGTAATAACACTGAATAGATTTAAATCCAACCTCCATGTCATTTTAAGCATCCCAAAGCAGTACACAGGGCTCCTCACCTTCTCCGGTATGCTGCGGGAACGACATCTGGCGCATGTTGGTGTAGCATGATCACACCGCACCTTGGACAGTCTGCAAGGCTCACAAGAGGTGGGCTTGCCGTTCCGCCGATACATTTTTAGAGATTTCTAGCCGGAGGTATTAGACTGAGAGAAAAATAGTTTTCTTTGATCACTGCAGAAGATTGGGAACTCAGAAGTTGTGACCATTTACTCCGAATAATCTATTCCGAGCTCTTCGTCTACTAGCTAGATTGGGAATCTCCAGTCCGAAACTCCGAGCCCCTTCACGACATCAATCTACAACACGAGACGTTAGAAATTACATATATATTCAAATGATTGCGCTTGGTTTCATGTGAACCGTTTAAATCAAATGAGCCACAGTGTTCAAGCCAGGCAGCGTGGACAACGGAGCTGGAAATCCGAGTACTATCAGCCCTATGCAAGGGTGTGTGGTCAAAGATTCATCGGAGTTACATGTCATCCCTCTCCTCCACCCCTCCTCCAGATTGATGAAATGCCGGGTACAGATAGTCTAGTAATCGTTTACTCTGGGTTGAATGAGTGATAAGTATACTAGTATTATGGTAAACTAATTTGGTGCTACAGAAGTGTGGTGGGAGGGTAAATAAGGCATTAGGGCAAAATATAAATAAACTTATGGAATGTAATGCATTACTCCGTAGTAAGTTAGACGATTCCAAACAGCGCAGTTGAGTGAAGAGCAAAACAAGATTCAATTTCATAATGCCCCGTGGGTGTATCTGGAAAGGCAAGTGATATGTAGAAGGGAAAGACTCGCCTGTATCTTGGATTGACCACTGACTGACCTCAATTTTCAAGGAAAAACACGATGTCTTCTTCAGCTCCTCATTCCCCTGCAGAAATATGCGCAGCTGCAATGGCGGTTGGAAACGCACTTGCTCGCTGTGGAAAGTATGCCCTTCTTGGCGGCAGTGCATGTGTGGTTTTGGGCTCTACCCGGGCAACTCAAGATGTAGATTTGTTGTTCTTCGGGGTGGTATCTCAAACACAAGGCAGTTGCTGCGTGCCTCCTCTGACTTTGAGGTTGAAGCAAGAACAAACCATACAACTTATAAGGCAACAATACCTGTACAGGTCAACATCCTTGCGCCACCTACTTTGTTTCAAGGGCCCTTTGATCAGAGTACTGAGTTAAAAATAGTTGGAGGCATCAAGGTTTTGAAGCCAGTCTTGCTTCTGAATGCAAAATGTGGTCCAATCAATGGCCGATCTACAGAGGGAAGAAGAGAACCGATTTTAAGGATATTAGCTTTCTCCTCGATTTCTGCGCCGAAAGCCCAGAGTATCTTCCAAAAGCCACTGAAGTTCCCAAAGCAACAAGTCAATTTGTTCAGATACTTATCCAGGTTTATGGAGGCCAGGAAAATTGGGTTTGAGCGGGTTATAACTTGCAGACGGGTTCGTCCTACCCGATTCATTGAAGAAATACCACTGCTGACGCGTGCGTACGAATTAGGCCGCTTTAACAGAAACTAGGCTATGTCCAATGGGGCTGAGCCTTTCAGGAGGAACAAAAATATTACGAATCGTGCAGGATGTTTTAGGGAGTGTGTAAGGCACCTAACCTAGGGTTTAGGCGAAACAAGGCATTTTACCAAAAGACCAACATTACCCGCGAGGTACCACTCGCGGGCCCTAGAACCTACTAAGTAGGAATAGTCTAAGGTCACCGTGTACCTTACACAGTGGAAGGGGCAAATATATTTAGGTCATGAGAAAAGGTGTGAGGGGATCAGGTTGGGTTTATATATAGTTCAGTTGTGAGATGGTAGAGTATGGCCCATGGGTAAGGGCAAGCGGATGATTGTCCACAGCAAACTGTGGTCGGCGGCAAAAGGACAGTTCGATGGGAGCGGTTTTTAGTGCCCCGCTAACCGTGTTGTCGTATAGTACTATTGCTTTTATCGATTTTATGAGGGGATGTAGCCAAAACACGCCCCGTTGAACTGAGGCTCTCCCGCGTAAAAAGCTGTATGTGGGTCTACATAACTACTACTTAGTTAGTTAGTATAAATCATATTATTAAGCAGTCTCCTGCATTAAATTAAGCGGAGGGCCTGAGCTTGCTGAGGTAACCGGTGGGCGGTGTTGAAGGGTCGGAGGATGAATTACCATACCCAAAATGGAAAGGCTAACCACATCCAGTAATTCAGTTCTCCAAAAAAAAAAAAAAAAAAACTTATCGACCATAATTTTTCGGTATCAAAAGAACCTTCTTTAATCACCACCCATTAACACTTTCAGCACAACCCATCCAAGATGGCGAAAATTAAGAAGAAGGGTACGCTTCAACTAAACAATCTCGTCCCGGCAGGTGCTGATAACATTATACAGGAACTTCTGGCCAGGCCAAAAACTATATCACTAGAACTCAGGCAGTTCGCAAGCTTCAGATTTCCCTGCCTGACTTCCGTCGACTATGCATTTTCAAAGGTATGTTCCATAGTATACTTCATAGTGGACCATGATCGATGCTGACTAGCGGTTTCTGTTTTCAATTAGGCATCTATCCCCGTGAACCTCGGAACAAGAAGAAGGCCGCCAAAAACTCGACTGCCAGCACTACTTTCTACTACACGAAAGACATTCAGTATCTTCTGCATGAACCCCTCCTCCGGAAATTCCGTGATCAGAAAGCGCTCTCGAAAAAGATTGCCCGCTCCCTTGGACGTGGAGAAGTGAGCGACGCTGCTCGCCTGGAGAAGAACCATGCGCCGCAGCTCACTTTGGATCATATTATCAAGGAGCGCTACCCAACTTTCATCGACGCTCTGAGAGACTTGGATGATGCCCTGTCACTTCTGTTCCTCTTTGCGAACCTTCCTTCCACTGCACATGTACCCCCCAAGACGATCGCGCTTTGCCAACGACTTTGCCATGAGTTCCAACACTACCTGATTGTCACCAACTCCTTGCGCAAATCATTCCTTTCAATCAAGGGTATCTACTACCAGGCGACCATTCAGGGACAGGATATCATGTGGTTGGTGCCTTACCGATTCGTTCAGCGGGTAAATGGAGATGTCGATTATCGAATCATGGCCACTTTCGTCGACTTCTACACCACTTTGCTAGGATTCGTGAACTTCCGTCTGTATTCCACTCTTGGATTAAGATACCCCCCCAAGTTCGATACCAGAAGTGACGAAAATGGAGCTGAATTGGCGGCATTTACCCTTGAGGGACGCGCGGTTGGCGAAACAACCAAGGCTATCGAAGCCACCAAGCAAACAAGCAATACGGCTAACAAGGCAGTATCCCGGGATGTCCAGGCCAAGGTTGACAAGGTAATCAAATCGGCCGGTCTGGACCAATCAAAGGACGATCAACCTGTGCAGGCGACAGAGGAGTCGACCGAAGAAATTGACAAATTCGAGCCTGCAGCTCCCGAGGCGGACACACTCCTTCAACCCGCTATTAGCGGAGACACAGCTGGTGCTCTGTTTGCTCCCTTCACATTCTATATTTCTCGAGAGGCTCCTAAGGCTCCCTTGGAATTCATCCTGCGTGCCTTTGGTTGCAAGCGTATCGGCTGGGACGCTGTTCTCGGTGATGGAGCGTTCACACACGATGAAACTGACACCCGCATCACCCACCAAATCGTTGATCGTCCTGCACTGCCAGAATCTTCGCTTCCGGTTGTTCCCGCCGCCTCAGAGAATGGTGCTGGTGCTGTTCAAAAGGTCAAGCCTGGTACTCGTATCCCGGGCAGAATGTATGTTCAGCCCCAATGGATCTGGGACTGCATCAACGAAGGAAAGCTTCTTCGTCCTGATCTGTATGCACCTGGCACTACTCTTCCCCCCCATCTGAGCCCATGGGTCAAGGCCACGAAGGGTGCATATGATCCTCGTGCTAGTCTGGCTGAGCAAGAAGAGGAGGGCGAGGCTGAAATTGCAGCTGAGGAAGAGGAAGAAGAAGATTCCGATGAAGAGATGGAGGAGGCCACTGATGGAAAGAAGACTGACACCAAGGCTAAAGACTCAGCTGAGGAGGAAAGTGAGGACGAGGATGATTCTGTTGATGGAGGTATGGATGTTGCTGATACTGATGACGATGAGGACGAGAGCGAAGAGGAAGTGGAAGATGAATTTGGTGGATTCGAAGAAGAAGCTGCCTCCGAATCGGATGATGAAGAGGAATCTGCTCGCACTCAGCATCAAAAGGAACTTGAGGCGGAAGCTGCTGGTCTTCCATTCTCCTCCTCTGGTGCCGCCGGTGATTCAACGAAGAAGAAGTCTTCTCAGGCCAAGAAGGTAGCGTCCAAGAAGCGTAAGGAAGAGGAGGAGCTGGAGAGGCAAAAGATGATGATGAGCCGCAAGAAGCGGAAGCTGCTAGAGAAGATGATGTACTCGAACAAGAAGCAGTCAGAAGAGGCGGCGAAGCTGCGCTCCAAGCGCAGAAAGCTTGAAAAGGGCGCAGAGAAATAATGTAACATAAAAGTTGACTGTTTGACAGAATGATATCCTTATGTGGATTTCGGTGATAACCAACAAATCGGCGTTCTGATTTAGTGTTTGTTCATAGCAATCAGTTCTACATACATCATACATAGATCTGCTGTAATTCAGTTGCAATTCTATTCTCCGTTACATAAACCCATCCCCACCTAGACTACTACCAATCGTTCCTTAGCATCTAGAAAGAAAAACATATACTCCAGGTGTGATCACGTGATCAAATAAATCTTGTCGGATCCATGTTCTGTTTCTGTTTCTATTATTGCCATACTCCCAGGGCCCGAACATTCTCAACCCAAATAGTGTCTGTGGATGCTTCTCTACTTCGTGGAGCGTCCTGATCTTGAAAACCCGTCTGTTTTGCGCCGCCTGGGACTGTATACTTCCACTGAAGAAATTTATTAGTATCGTTATCTGGAAGTTGATTGGATCAGACGGCTTTCAGGATTTCAGGAAGTACGAGTGGTTCATGTCTCGGAAAGTTTTCAGCAGTCCGTATATCTAAGCTTGTGGCTGGTTACCATATCAAGTCCGGCAGACTGCTGGAGGCATGTCCTCAATTTCTGGCGGTCGTTCCCCACGCTTCATCCCACAGTCTGCCCAGCCACACACATCTATATTTGGTGGTTCTAGCAGCCAAGATGTTGCAGATCTCCAGCCGTACCCGGAATGGCAAGGGGACGCCACTTTTGATTCTGATGGTGCCGATGTGTCTATGGAAGATATACCAATAGTTGAGAATGATCATTCCGATGATTCTACCTACAGAGAAAGTGACGAGGACGAGTCCGGGTCAGAAGCTGGAGGCTCTCAGAAGAGGGTGCCCCGGAGCACTGTGAATGCCGCCACTAGTCACAGTGATATTGATAGCCCACTATCATCTCCTGCATATCGGCCCAATAGATTCCGCGGCGCTGAATCACAATGGAGAAAGCTGACTGCCGAAGATAGACAGAATGCTGAAGCTTTAGAAACTATTCGAGCTAGAGACCTTGCAGCTCATCTGTACAACGCATATGCGTTGCGAGTACGGGCCCGTGAGCTAGCAAGGCAAGCTGTCGAAGCTGGCGAATCAGAAGATGAAACCAAATCATTTGGCCCTCCAAAGCGATGGGTAGCATGGCCCATGTCGGCTACTGAGGTGCCTCGCGGAAACGAACATGCCCGTAGAGGAGAAGACGAGGCATGGACTTTGAGAATGCAGCCAGACCCTCGTCCAAGTGCCGAGTTAGAGGAATCACTCATAGCTATAATGCTCAAGGATGCAAAGGAAAAATTCCAGACCAGGCCTTGGGACGACAAACTTTCCTCTGTACAACAGTGGGCAATGTCTCAAGCCAAGGCACAAAATAACACTACCACCGATGGGGAACAGAAAAGTGATCCCGATTTAATTGATGAGCTCTCACTACGTCCCGTCGTTCAGGCTGATGATGAAAAATCACGACTCCAATTGCGACCGCTGACCCGAAATATACTCACCCAATTTGATGACCTACTTATGGCTCTTCACAACGCTCGCAATGGTGGAGGAGGAGCGGACGACAGCTCCGCAAGTGAGTGGCAGACAGATACAGAGAGTGTCGCCTCAAGCATCTCATCCCGCAAGAGAAGAACAGTAAAAACTACCGCCGAGCGAAGTCAGTCAAGGGGTAGGAAACGCACACGCAGATCATCCGCCCGAACTGGGTCAAGCCGTCCACGTTCTCACAGTGGGCATGCATCAAGTGGAAGGACATCTTCCCGGCTCGGCTCCCGTCGTCAATCAACATCACAGTACTCAAAGCCGCGGGGACGTTCAACTGGCAGCGACTGCAAAAGGTCGGCAAGTCGTATGCGTCTTGGCCTCCGCGACTGGAGCGAAGTACTAGGAATTGCCTCTATGATCGGCTTTCCACCAGCGTGGTAATGCGTTCTTCACAAAGATGTGCCGCTCTGTTCCGTGAGGATATGGAGTTTCGGGTTTTGCAAGAAGGTACCTTACAGCAAGTTCAGGGCGGGGATTCTACATGGACCTACGCGGAAATTGAGCCCAAGGAACCTGAAGCTTCGCCGCCGCCTCCTTCTCCTTCTTGTACCAAACGATCCCTCTCCCGCACGGCCTCTGTGAAGAAGGCTTCTAGCACCCGAGTTACTAGCCCTGCTACTGATCATACTGACGAGGTGACCAAGCGCAAAGGCAAGGGTCAACACCGGAAGCAAGATATAATATGCCCCATCGGGACGTGTCCTCGGCATATCAATGGTTTCACACGGACATGGAACCTTAACTTGCACATGAAACGCATGCATCCTGGATATCGCCTGAAGAGTACGGACTCAACATTCAAGTCTTCCATTGTCGGCCCTGCTGGCGATACTGACGGTTAATGATATCTAAACCCTGGCATGCCACTCTATACTCGTAGAACATAGAGTTATCTTCATAATGCAAGTCCAAATGATGCTAAGCTACAGCTGTAGTTATCTTGAACCCTTCTATGTTATCACTATTGTTGTCCTCCCTAAGTTGAAGATAGCTCTATTGTCCAAATTAAACAATCTCAAACAAGGCCCATGATAACGTAAAATAGATTGTACGGTCCTGTATCGCTGCAAAACCCCGTAGAGTATTATTGGAGAAAGCTTCCGGAGCTGCTCAAAACAAGAATTCTAATTGGCTTTGGTGGCCGAGATCTAGATCCATATACCGATATGGTCATGTATTTACACATCTATAATTTCATAGTCGCTCATGAGCATCTATATGGCGACAGCCCGGTTCTGCCTCTAAGAAAACATCAGAGTAAGATATTAAGGGTCAGGAATTCGAGTATATACACATCATCGTGTGTATGATTCTCAGAATAGTCGAGTCTGCCGTTGTTAAGGGTTACTGACTCCAAAATAAAGAAATGACGTCGGCCCACGTGACACGGTGCTTCCCCGCTGGACGGCATTACAGGGAGCAGCTCGGAGGCATTCTCAACAATGATTAGTCTCCACACGATGGATCGACTTCGCACTTGCAGTATATAAGTCTGGGTTCAAGGTCTTCCCTGTCCTGCTATACCTTTCAGCTTTCAAATCCATAAAGACAACCCGAGAACTCCCGTGGTTGACCGTATCCCCAAGCTTCCCCGCACCATCTCCGAAGGCGAAGCCAGGTCTGCACACGGAAGTCGGCTTTTTTAATCTCCCTCTCATTTGTATTTATAATCAGGCCGAGGGTATTAATTCAGACCATGGACAGGCTTCTTCGTCCAGTGTCACGGCAATTGCTCAGATCCAGACCCCGATATCCATTTACAATCCCACCACCAGTTTACGCTAAGAGACTATACAGTATGGGCCATACAGTTCCGCAGGTGAGAGCCATTGTTGATCAATTGGAAATTTCTGAGAAATCGACTGACTATGATGGGCCTGTAGCTAAAAGACCAATCTCTCTTTATCGAGAAGGCATATGTCAATGGCGAATGGGTAGCTGCCCAGTCAGGGCAAACATTTGAAGTTCACGGTAAGGCACTTGAAGCTCAGTAACAGCGGAGACGACCTCTAATCCCTGTATCTCTTTTAGATCCTGCTTCAGGAAAGCTCATCGGAACATGCCCTGAGTTCAATGCTGCCGACACCGAAAAGGCCATCCAGGCTGCCACAGAGGCTTTCCCTAAATTTCGCACGACATTGGCCCGCGAGCGTGCTCGGATGCTGCGCCGGTGGTACCAGTTGATGATCGACAATGCTGAGGATTTGGCAACATTGATCACTTGGGAGAATGGAAAGCCGCTCGCGGACGCCAAGGGTGAGGTGAACTATGCCGCCGGTTTCTTTGAGTGGTTCAGTGAGGAGGCACCCCGAATTTATGGAGACACTATCCCTTCCTCAGTGGCAGGTAACAGAGTTATGACCCTTAAACAGCCTGTGGGTGTTTGCAGCTTGATCACCCCATGGAATTTCCCTGCAGCAATGATCACTCGGAAGGCTGGGCCAGCTTTGGCAGCAGGCTGCACTGTTGTGGTCAAGACTCCAGGAGAAACCCCATTCACTGCCAATGCGTTGGCAGAACTGGCACACCGTGCTGGTATCCCCAAGGGTGTTTTTAACATCGTCACTTCCTTGAAGAACACACCAGAGGTGGGTGAAGCGTTGACTACCCACCCGGAAGTTCGCAAGGTTTCCTTCACTGGTTCGACCAATGTGGGTAGGCTCCTGATGAAGCAGTCGTCTTCTACCGTTAAGAAAGTGTCTTGGGAGCTTGGTGGAAATGCCCCCTTTATTGTCTTTGATGATGTTGAAGACCTTGATGCTGCAGTTGCTGGGGCAGTTGCCTCTAAGTTCCGCAGCTCAGGCCAGACATGCGTCTGCGCCAACCGCATCTACGTGCAGAGAGGTATCTATGACGAATTTGTGAAGCGTTTCGTTGAAAAGGTTAAAGGCTTCAAGGTCGGGGCAGGCTTCGAGGAAGGTGTTACCCATGGCCCTGTCATCCATGGACGCGCTATCGAGAAGATCGATGAGCATGTCCGTGATGCCGAATCCAAGGGAGCTAAGGTCGCTGTTGGAGGCCGTAAATTGTCCGAATTGGGCCCTAACTTCTATGACATGACTGTTCTGACCGAAATGAACAAAGACATGTTGGTTGCCTCTGAAGAGACCTTTGGCCCTGTGGCTGGATTGTTCCCATTCGAAACTGAAAAGGAGGTTGTCGACTTGGCGAACCGTGCAGAAGTTGGCCTGGCTGGTTACTTCTTCAGCGGCAATGTCAAGCGCATCTTCCGGGTTGCGGAAGCCTTGGAAGTGGGGATGGTTGGTGTGAACACTGGCCTCATCAGCGATGTTGCTTCTCCGTAGGTACCATCGTGCTCTTCTGACAAGTCACCAGTGCTAATTGCTTCTAGGTTTGGTGGTGTCAAGCAGAGTGGATTCGGCCGTGAGGGCAGTAAGTACGGCATTGATGAATTCCTCACGATCAAGAGTGTCACCTTTGGCGGCATGGGCGAGCCTTTGCAGTCATAGAGAGGTATATATGACGAACAAAATAAATCGAGTTCTTAATTTCTCCTTATGCGCATAATGCTACCGGCACTGAAAGAGGCTCAGCGAGTGCATGAGAATTGCACAATACGCCATACACCTTGGGTGCTCTTATAAATAGGAGTCCGGCGAGCACATACCCCATTGGGCCGTTTTATGACAGAATTGGAAGGAAAATGAGAAGAAATGCTTAGCTCTAATAATATACATGCAAACAATACAAGCGCCCATATCCCAATCAAATAAAAATGCGCAAAGTCCCAGTCTCAAAGAGAACCCGTATATCCAGTATATGCATAAAAAGTATCTCTGCCTTCGGTATCAAGAGGTGTCGCATCATGTCATAAGGACTCCGTTTTTGGCTTCTTCCGATATCCATCGAGCATGAATGCAGTAGATTAAAATGGTCGTACACTTCTCCCGATTTGCGTTTATTTTCCTTGACGCTGCTTGTGCTTAGGGTTTTTCGAGCTGAGTCTATGTTAGCATATGTGACGTCCCTTCATCACACGGCGGAGAGACTCACCAGATGATATAGACTCTGTTCTTTCTCCGAACGGGCTGTTATTCCAGTATTAGCATTCCACATCTCTAACAAAGCAGAAATCCTACCCCCCCGACCCTCCTAGAAAGAGCTACGAGGACACAGAACAACGCAATATCTCATACCTTGCAACCATCGCACAGCCGCTTTACTGACGAGCGGGTCTTCATTCCCCGAACCTGATCCAACTGTCTCACCGTCGATGCGACGCTAACATTGCCTGCCTGCTGCTTTCCGGAGCGCAACGCCCGAAGACCATTGGTAAGAGACAGGGTCGTCAATTGCGAGAATGACCGCGCAAGGAAACCACCGGCGAGAGGCTTGCGGAGAAACTGGCGGAAGAGACCGGTCGAGGGAGCGATGAGGGAGCGGAAGGACACCATTGTTGTTGGTTGTTGGCGGATTGGTTGGAAAAATTGGGGCTGCCAGTGTCTTCTGGATGAGACCGCGCTGGTCTTGGGACTGGTTTATAAGGGCGGGTGGGGTTTGGAGATTTCTCTTGATATCCGCGTTGATGGTTTGATGATATTCGGAGCAAATAGTGAGCCGGAGTTTTGGTTGCACCGGTATTCCGGTATTGGTGGTGTATTTGGGGGATTTTATTGGTTGGTCACAGGGGCCAATCACAAGGCTTTGAAGTATACCGAAGCATTCAACGGAATGAATAATATTGCATTCAACTGTGTTTTTCTGATTATTCTCAGAGTCTCCTTTCTCTAATGCACTACTGTCGTCTACATAAATATCTTCCATCTCCCCTCGCCTGACCTTTTGCATTCAACATATGCTCATCCCTCAAGTACCCAAGGCCATCATGAGCCTCGACTCGTGGTGAAACGCAGCGTCCTTAAAGAACATCTACCTATATATAAATCCCTCTTATCCATTCATTTCTTTGAAAATGACCAGAACCCCATTTCGCTGGTTCAGAGAAACAAATGATGGATGACAAGAATGTTAAATTTTCTAAGCAACAAAGCACGGTGCATCCGACATCTGGACTTTCCAATTCAGCTCATCAAGACCAAGAATCATATTTAACTTGGCACATATAAGTACCCTTTGATGTGTGGGAGTCATATTATATAGAGCCTAGTACGATCGAGGCCTTGTTGAAATTGTCTCCCAGGACTACAGCATTCATTTACCTTTATAGGCACACGAGGCCTGGAGTTCGGTGTCAGGGCACCCGGGTTAGGAGGAAGGGGGCGAACCTTGCTTTACACAATAATTGATCCCCTTCCTCGCTCAGAGAGAAGGCATTTCTAATCTTGCTGTGTCTCCACCATTTGGCGCCATTGTCATGGGTGATGATGAGTTCATGGACACTTCGGCGGGCCGAAGAAGTAGGCCTAAGATTCCCTTTAGATATATCAGTGTCTAGCTAAACATGTACAGCACGGATGCACTGCTATGAAAACCCATGTTTGGCATGGCCGACTGGATCAGACGTGCTGACGAGATGCATTGCGTGACGATTTACTTAATGTACGTCCTGCAACTAATGCTACGATCAATGCCCTATTTATGCCGATCTTATTGTGGTGTATGGAGGTTCTAGTCACACATCTAAAGGCTGGAGTTCACATTTCTTATACTCAGACGCTCAGTGGAAAGTCTCTCAACGCTCCTAGCCACTTATGCTGTGGACGCTATTTGCAATTCAATAGATAAGTTGGCAGAATCGTTTGAGCGTTTATCGTCCTGTCTTGGAGGCTAGGCGCATAGGGCAGTAGAATCATGTGCGGAAAGGTTTTCGACACTGCAGCTTCTCTGTATCGACATATCCGCGAAGGACATGGCAGTGAGTCAAAATCGATCTTAAAGAATGGAAATTTATACTGAGTTTAAAAAGTCCATATGGTACAAAACTCCAAAGGAAGCATCACACCGGACGAGAAGTTTGTCAAGGCTGGTGAGAGTCTTAGCGTTGCAAACGCGCTTAGTATGCAATCACGGTTTACTTAAAAAGTATGCCATGCAATTGGAGACATAAGGCAGACATTGGGTTACAAGGCCGATCTCTATATGAGACATGTACTAGTCGACTCGTTTTCTGATGCTAACGGAAGCGACTGGGTGAAAACTTTGGCTGGCGATGTCCTTCGTTTAAGAATCTGGATAAGTCACCCACGTCTCTCAGTATGACGAGTTGTACGAAGTAACAGTGTACCACTAATAATTTATAGTTACTTGCTCGACATAAAGCAGCACACCTTTGGTAAAGCCATCATGTAGAACAAGGGAGAAACAAGATCGTGCGATACAAACAAGAAAATGGAAAAGAAAAAAAAGACCAAAAAAGTCTTGGATTAGCGTATGATATATGAAAGGCTGATTAATACCAGCTTAAGATCTATCGATTTTATGCCCCGCCCGAACGCCAGACTGGAATTTCAATTTGAAATGAGTCCTAATCAATTTTACAACACACAATTCGTAAAAGGTTAGCTCACTTGAGGAGTGACTCAAGAACGAAGGAAGGTGTGGTAAGTGGATGAGTCGGTATGCTCGCTGAAAGGATAGCCCAGATCCCTTAGGAAGGCCTCCAGGTGGTCCTTCTCAGATGATGGGCACTGAATGCCAGCAAGCACCTTTCCAACGTCGCCACCGTAGTTACGGTAGTGGAACAAGGTGAGGTTCTGGCTGGGTCGGAGAGTGGTCAAGAACTTGGCCAGAGCACCGGGACGCTCCGGGAACTCAAACATAAACAAACGCTCATCCTTCACATCACAGCGTCCACCCACCAAGAAGCGGACGTGTCTCTTGGCAAGTTCGTCGTCGCTCAAGTCCTTCGCCTTCATACCACCATTGTCCAGTTCTTCCACGATCTGCGCCAGATCCTTTTGGCCAGTGGAGGCAGACAAGGAGATACCCATGAAGACATCGGCCGATTCGTCTCGAGCATAACGGTAGCTGAATGCGGTGACCGCATGAGGGAGAATAACCTCGACTAGCTTGGCGAAAGAGCCAGGCCGTTCCGGGATGTTCACATGTAAAAGCGCCTCCTTCCGTTCACCCAGGGCAGCACGCTCAGCCACGAATCGTAGTCTGTCAAAATCCATGTTCGCACCGGAAGTGATGGCAACCAGCTCCCGGTTGGGGTTAGGGTCGGGGTACAAGGAAACATATTTCTTGAGACCTGCCAGGGCCAAAGCGCCTGCCGGCTCGACGATAGACCGGGTGTCCTCAAATGCATCCTTGATCGCGGCGCACGTCTCATCAGTAGAAACCTGAATGACTTCATCAATTACTTCACGAGCCAGTCGGTAGGGTTCCTCTCCAACAGCCTTGACAGCAGCACCGTCGGCAAACAGCCCCACATCTTTGAGCAGCACACGAGACCCAGAATCCAAGGACTGAGCCATAGCATTCGCATCATGTGCTTCCACTCCAATTATCTTCACGTGAGGTGCAATGCGCTTAAGGTAGACTCCAATACCAGCAATCAATCCTCCTCCTCCAACAGCACAGAAGACAGCTTCCAGCTTCTCTAAGTTTGCCTGGCGCAATATTTCCATTCCGATGGTTCCTTGGCCTGCGATCACGTAAGGGTCATCAAAGGGAGGAATGCTTGTTAATCCGTGCTGCTTCTCTAAGCGGTGCGCTTCTGCCTTCGCAGCGTCGAAGTCGTCTCCATGGAGAATCACACTTCCACCGAGGCGAGCGACGTTCCGGTGTTTGATAGCCGGGGTGCCGGAGGGCATGACGATGGTTGCTGGAATCTTCAAGTGACGTGCGGAATACGCAACACCCTGCGCATGGTTGCCTTTACAATATGTAAGCCAATTATGATATATATTAGTGGCTTGGGGGAAGTCTCACCTGCAGAGCATGCGACAACACCTTTCCAGCTCTGCTCATGATTCAGATGTGCCATCTTGTTGTAGGCTCCGCGGAGCTTGAAACTGAACACAGGAAGCAAGTCCTCCCGTTTTAGAAGTACACGACATTCCAAACGGTTGCTAAGGTTGACTGCATGATGAAGGGGAGTCTCGGTGATGATGTCGTAAACGCGGGATGTTAAGATCAATCGGAGATACTGTATGGTGGCGAGTGAGTCAGAGATGAACTATTTTGCGTTTTACGGAGAATTTAGTTATCTCACATCTGGGTAGCCATTGGGAAGTAGAAAGGCATCTGGGATACCCCAATTGGGTAGTAATCCCAGTTGCTTTCGTTCTTCTTGTTCTGAGTCAGGCGTGGGCACTGTCGAGTACTCGGTCAAAGCTAGGTTGCTAAACTTCGATGAGACGGGCGTCGCAGTGCCATTTGTAGAAGTTTCTGCAGACATGATTGTGCCCACGTAGAGACAAGTCAGAAATTGATCCTAAGCAGCAAGACAAACCACACAGGCAAAGCGCGGACAAGATAATTGAAACCGAAGTCGCAGATGACGGGCAAATGAATACTTATCTTCGCCGCGGGGAGACGAAATTCCGTGATCGGAGCAGATGAGGTTATGTCAGCAACCCTCATTCCCAGCCCTAAATCCTTCCGCCCCCGCCGCGGAGTAGTAGTATATCTCCAGCCATACTTTGATCGACATGTAGAGAACACTCTCTGGTGATGACGAATGAAAGGACACCGCGTTGCCATGTCTCTAGCGTACAAAGCCATTGAAACAGAAGTTGCAGTGGCTCCTTTCACCCAACTACCCTGGGTCCCAGGTACTATATTAATATACATATATAACAGTCAGAGGGACTGGGGATCATACGGTCTCTGGCCCACCGGTGAACGAATTGATGTATAATATAAATCTTGTGATATATGTATAGGAGTCATGCTGCTATTTAGCTCAATAGGTACATCTAACTAGGTCCACTTCCTATTGTTCACCTCTCGCAGTTCAATCTCCGCAGTATTGCGGTAGCCCATCATTCAAGGGACCCTACGTATGGTATGGAGTAAGAACTGGAAGGTCTGATGCAAGAAATAGGTATCTTCTGAGATCAGAAAGCCGATTGAAATCATCAAGGGGCTTTCATTTTTTCATCCGTAGTTGTCCATTCAATGGATCCATCTTCAATATGCGATCAAGAGCAGATGTATCGTATGATGATGTATGGTACGGTACGAAAATTACCAAAGTCGCAAGGTTTGCGACGTCATGTCTTCTTTTCAGATAAAACAACCTCTTTGACATCTTCTTCTCCTGCCACTCAAGTGGGCAATCCAAAGAACGTCCAGATAAGGTATGTACTGGACAACTGCACCCTGGTTTTGACTCGGTTGACCATCTCAAAGAGTGCCACTTTGAAACTCATTCGGAGCATCAGACCTCCAAACCATCACCACCTTTCCGATTCTCCGCTTCGCAACATTCACATTCCCTAATCTCTTTTCAAGTTTATCTTTCTCCCACGCGATATCCTTACACTTAAAAGGATAAAAATGAGTAGTGACCCTGTTCCATCTTCATTCGAGGGCAACCCGTACGTACCCGGACCACTCCATAATTCGTGCAAAGAACACAGAGAACAAGGATTAACTTGGATGGACATCTAGTCAGTTCGAGGAGGAGACTTCTTTGCAGAAGTTCCGTAGACGTCTCAAGGAGGAACCCTTGATTCCGCTCGGTAAGGAATGATTCTTAAATGCTCCAATTTTACCTAATCGGACCACTCTAACCCGACTTCGAACTGCAGGATGCGCAGCTACCAGTTATGCTCTTTACCGCGCCTACCGATCGATGAAGGCCGGTGACTCGGTCGAAATGAACCGGATGTTCCGTGCCCGTATCTATGCCCAGTTCTTCACACTTATCGCCGTCGTTGTCGGAGGCATGTACTTCAAAACGGAGCGACAGCAGCGCAAGGAATTCGAGCAGATGGTGGAAGAGCGCAAGAGCCAGGAGAAGCGGGATGCCTGGCTGCGTGAGCTGGAGATCCGTGACAAAGAGGATAGGGACTGGCGGCAACGTCATGCGGCTATGGAGACAGCGGCCGCGGAGGCAGGAAAGGCTGCTCCTAAGCCTAGTGCTGAGCATGATACTGCTCGCTCCGTTATCGAGCGTTCCGAGGAGAAGCCCATTGGTGTGTTAGATGCAGTGAAGGAGTTGCTGTCGAGGAGGAACTAGGGTTAATAGGGCTAAGGGTAACATTGTACGATTTCTTAGGTGGATGACTTTCAATTGAATTTGGGTATCATATTGTACATATATACATTCAGAGATTGCTATTGCATAGGATAATCTCATCTCCAACGCTTCAACTCCGTGGCTCCATATAGTCACACTATGCATTGCATCTAGGCACATGTCCCTGTATATTGTGCATGTGCCGATGCATTGATTTAAAAACTCATGGGCCTCAATCTAATATTCAAAACCGGAAACCGGAAACAGTCACAGGCGAATTAGCGAGAGGCCTGTTCATCGATGTACCGTCTCATCGTCTCAAACTCCGACTTCCCTGTCTGTGCGCCGTTAGAAGCATGTCAGATCTATAAATGCGCAAAGCCCTACCGAAAGTAAATACCGTATATGTTGCTAGTCAAGATTGGTTAGTCACAGGTAGACCTCGATACCAAACAGCATATTGTGCATACCAAATCCGTTACATTACGATGACGCTCAAACTCGTGGCGAGCGTAACTGTGCAATTCGTCCCGCGTCGACGATTTGGGGATTTCTTGGTAACAAGCCAGTCAGTAACTAATGCCAATTCAGAGAAAACAATGACAATCTAACTATGTATTGCTCGAGTAACCTCCCTCCAGAAGCCGAGAACTCGCTGTCTTTGGATGAACTACTTAAGACGTCAATAATGTATACAGGAGATTAAAATCATATAGTCATGAGCTACTGACATGGTCCAAACTCATTGCCGGCTTCCTAAGCTTCGACGGCTGGGCGCGGGATACGCCAGCGAGCAATTTCAGAGATGGCCGCATTGTAGTGGCTGTCTAGAGCATAGAAGGGGGGCCAGTAAAAAGCAAGTAACAATAAATAATCCTATCGATCAACACATCCCAAAAGTGAGAGAGACTTGGGTTCACGATGATAAAGTGATACTAGATGAAGATCGGTGGCAAAACCAAAGGCGGTCAGGAAGATTGTAGTACTGTCATGAAATGGAATGAATGGATACATACCGTACCTGCCTGGATGAGCATTATGTTTTGATGGTCGTTGAGTGGCCAATCAACTGATCATCACGTGAGGCGTTCCTGGCTTCCCCGAACTTTTTTTCGGAGCCGGCGAAAAGATCGCGAGTCTTGGGATCCCAAAGCATCAGCATTTCCGTGTGGGTGGACTATAGTCATGAGGTGTCCTTCTCTTGCGCGGTTGCCATACCGTGCCGTTTCCGGCTTGCCCAGATCTGCCACTCGTCTCCAGTCTCAGAACTTCCTTACCAGAAGATGCGCGTCGACGGCCGTTCTCCGTTCACCCACTGCTGCCCCGGCTTATCAGTCTATCCTGAACAGACACCTCCAGCAAAGGAGATATGCCTCAGGTACTGCCGCTGCTGTGTAAGTGCTTTCATTGGCATAAATTTCTATCGTTGCCTAGTTTTTGACCCAATTGCTAACTGTTCAATTCTTATTGTATAGTCTTGAAGCCGCTGCCTCCGACAACTTGTCTCAGGAGGCGATCATTGAGAACCTTGACCCTGTTGAGGCAGAACGGCTATCCAGAGTCAGGAATATCGGTATCGCTGTAAGATGAGTCGAGAGTATCCGTCAGATCTGACGCATTCTAACGTTTTTCCGTTATAGGCGCACATCGACAGCGGCAAGACTACATGTACCGAACGTGTCCTTTTCTACACCGGCCGTATCAAGGCAATTCACGAGGTTCGTGGAGGTGACAAGGTTGGCGCTAAGATGGACTCCATGGACTTGGAGCGTGAAAAGGGTATCACCATCCAATCCGCTGCTACATTCTGTGACTGGGTGAAGAAGGATGAGGACGGCAAGGAAAATAAGTACCATTTTAACTTGATTGATACACCTGGACATATCGATTTCACTATCGAAGTCGAAAGAGCTCTGCGTGTCCTCGATGGAGCGGTCATGATCCTGTGTGCTGTTTCAGGCGTCCAATCCCAGACCATTACCGTCGATCGACAGATGAGGCGTTACAATGTGCCCAGAATCTCCTTCGTCAACAAGATGGACCGTATGGGAGCCAATCCGTTCAAGGCTGTCGACCAGATCAACAACAAGCTCAAGATCCCCGCTGCCGCGGTCCAGGTGCCTATCGGTGCTGAGGACGAGTTTGAGGGCGTGGTCGATTTGATCCGCATGAAGGCGATTTACAACAGGGGACCTAGCGGTGAGGAGCTCTTTGAAACGGAGGAGATTCCTGAGAAAGTCAAGAAAACGGCAGAGGAAAGGCGGAGGAAGCTCATTGAAACTCTCGCTGACGTGGATGATGAGATTGCCGAGCTCTTTATTCTTGAAGAAGAGCCTACCGAGCAGCAGTTGAAGGCTGCGATCCGCCGCGCTACCATTGGCCTGAAGTTCACTCCAGTCTTCATGGGCTCTGCTTTGGCAAACAAGTCCGTGCAGCCTATGCTGGACGGTGTTGTTGACTACCTCCCCAACCCTGCGGAGGTGCAAAACCTTGCCCTTGACAAAAAGCGTGATGAGGCCTCGGTGAAACTTGTCCCCTACCAGTCCCTTCCAATGGTTGGTCTTGCTTTCAAGCTGGAAGAAAGCAACTTCGGCCAGTTGACATATATTCGTGTATACCAAGGAACCCTCCGTAAGGGTGCCAATGTCTTCAATGCCCGTAACGATAAGAAGATCAAGATTCCTCGCATTGTCCGTATGCATTCCAATGAGATGGAGGAAGTTAACGAGGTCGGTGCTGGTGAAATCTGTGCCGTCTTTGGTGTTGACTGTGCTTCTGGCGATACCTTCACTGATGGGCAACTTGGCTATACCATGTCTTCTATGTTCGTTCCTGAGCCTGTCATCTCTCTTTCGATCAAGCCAAAGAACAACAAGGATGCTGCTAAATTCTCGAAAGCCATGGCTCGTTTCCAGAGAGAAGATCCCACCTTCCGCGTGACCTACGATGTCGAGAGTGAACAGACTCTTATTTCCGGAATGGGTGAACTGCATCTTGATATTTACGTGGAGCGCATGCGTCGTGAATATAGTGTTGACTGCGAGACTGGCCCGCCGCAGGTCGCATACCGTGAGACCCTCGGCAACCGGGTTGAGTTCGACCATCTGCTCAAGAAGCAATCGGGAGGTCCTGGTGACTACGCCCGTGTGGTTGGTTGGATGGAACCAACCGGCAAGCTTGATGACAACGTCTTTGAGGAGCAAATTGTTGGTGGAAGTATCTCTGAGAAGTTCTTGTTCGCTTGTGAGAAGGGTTTCCATCTTGCTTGCGAGAGAGGACCTCTTATCGGCCACAAGGTGCTTGGTAGCAAGATGGTCATCAATGATGGTGCCACCCACATGACCGATTCCTCTGAAATGTCTTTCAAGAATGCCACCCAACAGGCCTTCCGTAAGGCATTCATGGACAGCAACCCATCTGTTCTTGAGCCTATGATGAAGACTGTTGTGACTGCTCCCGCTGAGTTCCAAGGTGATGTCATCTCGCTTTTGAACAAGCGCAATGCTACCATCAATGATTCCGAAGTCGGCGTTGATGAGTTCACTGTGTACGCCGACTGCAGTTTGAACGGCATGTTCGGCTTCAGCAGCAACCTGCGTGCGGCCACTCAGGGTAAGGGTGAATACACCATGGAATTCAGCCACTACGAGAAGTGCCCTCCTCAGGTTCAGAAGGAACTGATCGCGAAGTACCTCAAGGCCCAGGCCGACCGCCACAAGAAATAAACCTCTTACGGCTAGACCTAGAGTTTTTGACATGTTTTACTACTACCGGAGTTGTTTTTGAGCGTCTCCTTATCCTATATTTCTCGGCCAGCTTACGTTCTTCAATGAGTGCTCGGATGGAGGCGAGGTTTTCTTTTACCATCTTTTTCATTAATTTGTGTCATGTATTATATACATTTAAGACCCTGTGGGCTTACGAAGATATTATTTTAAAAATCAATTTGGAGCGGGATTAAAACAATGTTCGTTATCTACTGTACTTTAGGTGGGTTTACTGGTTGTATGTACATATATCTTTTTGGGTCTTTCCATCTCCTCTCACATACTTTCTGAATACAAGGCATGAATCATGTATTCTTCTCTATATCTTTACAGCATTATATATAGGCTATGGATCCTATGAAAGACATGTTTCACTGTGGGGGGGGGGGGGGGGGGGGTTACTAGGCTGGAGACTAGGGTTCTATAGCGCACCCTCACTGCTCAAAAGCCCTAAGCACGGCAAGAGCAGCAACAGAGAATGTCGCAACGCGATTATGACCTGTGTTAAGTTAGCCTCTGCTCTCATTCTGAAAGGGTAATACAAACTGGACATACCACCATACGGCACACGCTCCCATCTAACACTTTTAACCACACCGGCATTCTTGCTAGATCTGTTCTCCCAGATAAGTACTTCGTTCTGACTTTTGGGCTCTTTCTTCTCATGCACGAGGCTCCCAGGAGCATCCTTGTCATTCTCCCCTGTCGCAGCCACCCAAACGCGGCGTCCTTCGTACCATGGGATCTCGGCATCGTTATATGCATGCACAATGGTAAGATCCAACTCCTTATCCGCATAACCAATAGCCGAGTCGTTCTGAGCTGTCGGCCCAACTCCGGTTAATCGCGCCACTCGCGCGGCGGTATCCCAACGATCAATGACGTGGCTCTTGGTCCAGTTCTTCACACGAGGGTAGCCAACAAGAGGGGAGAGGATCGGAGGCGTGAGACCCTTCAGACTGTAAGTATCAAGAAGACTAGGCACATTACTAAATGATGCGATGAGAATCACACCAGCGAAGGGCTCAGGGTCTTTGATGGCAGGTTGGATGGCATTTGGGTCGGGGGATCCAAATGTAAAACGCTCGGTTACCGCTGCGCTGACGGCAGTTCCGAGGCTCTGGCCTGTGATGACGATTCGAGATGGGGAAATGTTTAATGGGCTGGAGGTAAGGAAGTTGAGCAGGGCGACTCCATCGGTGATTAGGCCTTCTTCTGTCGGGGATCCGGTGGATATGCCGAAGCCTCGGTAGTCCATGGCGAAGACATGGATTGGGTTGGAGGGTGTCGATAGGCCTAGAAGCATGCGGTAGGTTTCCGGGCGTTGAGCCGAGCCGATGTGAGCGGCATTGCCATGGACTGGACGGAATAGTTTAGCTTATAAGTTCTGGGCTTTCAATACGGTAGACGTACAAGCGACCACGACCCTGGCATTAGGGTCATTTGCCAGCAGTTCGTAGGCGGGAGTTTTGGTATAATCACCCGCTGGACCGGACGGCTCATTTTCATTCAATTTCTCTTCGTGCTCCCGACAGAGGTGGGGAGGGAGCAGATGCCACGCGTAAAGGGTCTCATTATCGGGCGTCACCAGATTGAATGGCTGGACCTGTGTCTCTACTGACGTTAACGGACTTCTTGCATGGTTTGTCATCTAAAAGGAGGAGGCCGAAACATACTTAGAAAACCGAAAGATTCAACCTGGTTGACATCTTCCCAGAGAGCTGGATTGACCTTGTGAGCATAGAGGGCACTACACCAAGACTGTAAGCGACGAAGCACAGCAAACTCGAAGTGAAAGCTTGAGAGAGCCTACAATCTTTGAACCGTTGGAAATGTCAAGGTAAAGATTATGCTCATGTAGACAAGACCGCCGGCGGCCAGCGACCAGTAGGCCTTTTTGAAGATGGACTGAAGTTCAACCATCGTTATACTACTCCTTGACTGATGTTGTTGATAGGAGAAAATGTTATGTCAATTACCGGAATTAAGAGAGAGATAAGCTCTTATCGCACACCGCTTCCTTGACCGCCTTCTTAAAACGCGATCTGATCGGTTTAGTATGAATATGTTTGTTCATCATACATCAGACATAATACAACAGCTAAAAGTACAATTATCGAATACCAATCGTGGCCGATAGCAGAATTAAAACAGACTGCTACACGAACCTCAATGGTTTATAGACCCATCGGTACAAGTCCAGTTGGTGGACCATAAGAATCCTTCAGTTCCTCTTCCTCTTCTTCCTCAACGGGCTCCTCTCTGTTTTCAATATCTGATTCATCATCAACCGCTCTACCCCTAGAGAGCCGGCTGCGGTTTACAGGGACTGGCGTTCCACTTTTCTTCCTATCCTCTAGATCATGCTCGTCACCTGCTTCTTCGCGTGGTAGACGGAATGCAAGAAAGCCATCTGGAGCGCGCTCTGCCCGGTCCATGATCTCATTCATGTACTTGCGCACCTCATCAGGAGGCTTCACCACTCGGGATAAAGGCTCGAGGACCTTAGCGTTGGAACTGTGGATGCGGAATGTAACAGGTTGGTAATACTCTTTCAAGTTGGAAGCCTTAGCCGCATCTTCGGGTTTGTCTTTCGGCTGAGGCTTGTTCGAGTCAGCTTGACTTATTGTAGTGGCTTGCGGAGCCTTTTGGTCAACTTGACCGCCAGCTGGCTTTTCCTCTTCAGTTGGAGTCGGTTTACTATCAGTAGCGGCAATCTGGCTGGTAGGAGGCTGCGCATTACCCTCCCCTTTCTCCTTCTCCTTCTCCTTCTCCTCCAACCTTTCGCCTTCTTTGCCTTTGTCTTTATCCTTCTCTTTATCTTTGTCTTTACTTTTGTCTCCTTTTTTCGATCTTGACGCCGACTTGCCTTTAGTTCGCGAGTTTGCCACCTCTGATGCTGTCTCTATAGGGAAGGGGGTATTCAGATCCACCTTTCTAACAAGCAAGAAAGATGCAAGAACAGTGTTCCCGTCTGGAAGCCATTCCAAGATAGTATACTCTGGAAACAGATAACGATCTCCAGAGCCAGCATGACCCGAAGTGCTACTTCCATACGGTGTTAAGGGTGATGTGAACTCGAAAACAACCGACTTGTAGTTCAGTCTCGGGGGTGGTGGGGGGGGAGCTGGTCGATAGTAAGGAGCTGGAGATCCGTATTGCGGAGGCCGTGACTGAATCGCAGGTGGGTGGCCCTGATACGGCGGCTGCTGGTAAGGTGGATATGGAGGCCCTGGTCGCGATCCAGCGGATTGGTTCTGCGGAGGTGCCATAGGCCGCACCGCAGGACTCTGTTGCTTAGTGTTTGCGGATGGTTCTGCAGTGGGCGAGGGCTGAGCGGCTGCAGCCCCAGACTCTTGTTTGACTTGTGGCGTTATACTGGGCTTTTGTGAAGGGGTTTGGGATTGGTCCGATGCACTTGCGTTTGGGGGTTGAGGCGTAGAAACTAGAGACGGTTGTGGTTTAGGTACATGGATCTCAACTCGTGGGTAAGGCTGTTCCTGTGATCGCTGTTGTGCTGGTTGTTGCGATGGCGTGCTAGGCTTCTTTTGTTGTTGATTCTGTTGCTGGCTTGGCTGCTGCAGAGGTTGTGGAGGCTGTGAAGGCTTTTGGGATGGCGGTGGCGGTTGCGGTGTCTGTTGCGGTGTCCGGGGCGATGCCTGTGGCTGATTAGGCGTTGGGGGGTGGGATTGCTGTTGCTGTTGCTGTCTTTGTTGTTGTTGCTCTCTTGCGCGAATAATCGCATTTAGCTCGTCGATGTGGGCCTGAAAAGCTCGAAGCTGTTCTTGAGACGCTTTGCTCGAGGCGACCACTCTCATCAACGCCTTCAGATCCGGGTCTGAGGCAGCTCGGGTAGCAAGCATCTGAATCACTGGGTCCGGACTAGGCTTTGGAGGCTGGGCCTGTGAATGCTGGGATGGTGACGGTCGCTGGGCTGATTGAGATGGGCGTTGAGGAGGAGGTTGGTTGGGTGTTCTGGCATGGTGCGGAGGTGGTGGGTGATTGCCCTGCTGGTAGGTGGCTGGGGGGACGCCGAGTGAGCGGGTGGATTTTGAGGGGGATGTTGTCGTGCATGCTGAGGAGGAGTAGGATAGGGTTGGTATTGCTGGAAATTATTAGGGTGGCCGTAGTGAACCATCGGCCGCTGAGGGGGCGTGTATTGAATTGGCGGTGGCGCATTGGGGTCTTTGACGGTGTACAGCATAGCATCGAAAAGATGAGGACCGACAGCAATGTTACAAGGGCCGACCTTCGACATGGATTCCTTGGGAGGGTTTTTGCCCTCGATCTGCTCTCGTTTGGTCTTCTTTGGTTTTGTCCAGTATCGCACGAGGATGCCGTCGCTGAGCCATTTCTTTTTTGATCGTTCCAACGAAGCTAGGAGAACCGCACTATAACCAGGTCAGGCACCATCACCTTTTTATCACGTACATCTAACTCTCAGCAAGATCCAAAACCCTACCTTTCCGCATATGACTGGTACTCCTTCGCGGACAGCATCTCCAGCTGGGGTGATGGTACGGTTGGGAGACCCTCCCCATCTTTGATTTTTGTTGGCAGGGGATTTTCAACAACCTCGACAGGGGGAGGGGGTGGGGTTGGAGTCGGGGGCGCGGCGGCAGTCGAGGCCCGTTTCTTTGATGAAGATGGTGTAGATTGTGATTGAGAGGGTGCTTCGGAGGCTCGTCGCTTCGACGCCGGTTCGCGGCGTTCGCGAGCGGAAAGTCTGCGTTTTTCGGCCATGAAGGCAATGAATGATGATTAAGAATGAGGGATGCAGTTATATAGACCACGGTGAGAGATGAAAATCATCTCGACAACATACTGTGGTGCCAAAACCGTAAGTGAAGGGGAGGAAAGGCGCGATTAAGTTGCGGAGAGAAAAGAAACGCGGGAGCGAAATTTGGGTCGATCACTTTAACTAACTTATGCAAGTCCAATGACCTTCCGTAATGGTTCGACATCATGCATTCAATGTATTCTAAACAAGAAAATACAATACAAATTTAAAAGCAGAGAGAGAAGACAACGGCCTTGTGCCTCGATTTCCCACTCCTGGAGGAACATTATCCAATTTCAGACAAGTATCGCCAAATGGGAGCAATTTGCACTTTGTCCATGCCAGAATCTGTCATCGAAAACCATGTATTCATTAGACCCTGTGCATTACTATCAACCAATTTACTGCCTGCAGCATAACATGTAATATACCCCTAGAACGCCTCAAGAATAGAAACCCCATATCTCATTTATCGTCAGATATTTCCTCCAACCCGTCCGTGACTATCGCCAATTATCCCTGCCGTTTCTAGTAACCATCTAGCTCCCTCCATAGCCGAATCTCCTGCCCCGGCCTTTATATTCAGGCTTCGCCTTCTTTCTGCTTCCCTCGCCTCGAAATCCCACTTCGCTTTTTGTAGTTCGATGGCACTCTTCTCGGAGGAAGAAGCAACAGGATCAGGGACAAAACCCCATAGTTCAAGGTTGTAAATGTCAATGTGCGTTTTGGTTGGACTGTCCGAAGTTGAGCTGGTGCCGGCAGGGAGGAAGACACCATTATGCCCAAATGGGGCTACATGGAATTCTGCCGTCTCAAGGCTCGTATCTATCGTTAGGCTTCCCGCGCCCAGCGGGGAGGGAGGTAGGCGTTGGCTCCGTGATGCCGGCGGTATTCGACAGCCAAGCGAAATACCCGAGTGATTAGAAAAATACGCTGCGGGGGTGTCGGGATTCTGTATCGAAGATGATGGGTTTCCGGGCAGAAGTAGGTGCTTTGGAGACAGTTGGAAAAGGCAGGGAAGGGTAGAGGTCTCCGAAAGTCGAGAACTCTGGGTTGACGACCCGGATTTCCAGGCTTGTGGCAGATATGCTCCTAATGTGACCATACGCTCACCAGATGCTTCGGAAACGGCACCCTCAAGAAGCAATAAGGTGCCTGACTGCCAGGTAAGAACATTGTGAGAGAATGAAGTAAGAGATGAGCCATGCGCTGCCGTAGAGAAAATGGGATGCAGACGTAAGTTGTCACGGAGAAGGTTCTCGTTGCCGTTGGTGGACGGAAGGAAGAATGACAGGTGTGCCACAATGCTTGCGTTCAGTATCGCAGATTCGAAGCTACCTGGGAGCATAATTGATGTAGGTGATGGCAAGGGATCCTCTGATGCCTCATCTGTAGGCTTTGTTGAGTCGCTCCGGCCACGCTTCTGAGACAGGTTCAGATTCTTGCTGAAAAGAAGATGCTCGAATAGTGGCGTCAAAGGATCGAATAGATATGGCAACGATGTATGAATTGTTTTAGCAAACGCTTTATAGCTGATCCCTCCTGACTCTTCCTGGGGGAATGCTGCTAGGATATCGTCGGCTTGCTTCCTTATAGTTCGCATGCGCCAACCATTCAAGTCGGACGTATATGTCTTGACAGGCTCTAGGGGCTTTAGGGGTGAGATCACAAGTAGTAGCATCAGAAGGCGATGAAATGTGGCACTAGATATCCGAGCTTCATAGACTGCCTTATCAATGCGGGAGTCGTGCCTGAACACTTCAATCGCGTCTAAAGACTCCAAAGCTGCAAGCGCTAGATCGTCGTCATCGTCATCGTAGTCATCGTTTGTAGGTTCGTCCACAGAAAATCCTGGCGCATGGGATCTAGTAGCGGCAGAATCGCCCTGATCTTCCTTAGAATTCTCGCCGTTCGCCGGCTGATCAACGTCCTTCCTCCCTACATCAGCAAGGCTCCCAAACAGCAGCCTGATTCTGTCCTTCCGCGCTCGCCTTAAGACTTTCCCATATCTCTCTGTTAGCAGGACAACCACTTTGACCATGGCCTCGAATGTCAGTACGCTCGGAGCCAAAGTGGTTTGGAAAGGAAAGGCCCCCAAGTACGACACCATACGGAAGATCACCGGGCCAGCATCCAGTGGACATTCGGCGTCACTGCTATCTGGTATAGCTAGAAAGTCGGACAAGATCTTTTCATTCCAATACTTCAAGTCCCCTTGTCCCGTCGCACGGGTAAAGAAGTTGTCCTTGAAGTGGGTTAATTCTAAAGGGGTGAAGCATTTCGTCGCGAAGCGTTCAGCAAGCATGTGACTCAGCTCGTCTACTCGATGTTAGAACTGGCTAGGCGACCAGGCAAGTGATAAAATATCCTCTTTATTTGGTCGATAGGAACACGTCAAGGCATCGAAGGGCTACTAACCTGGCGAGGAGGCCTGGCCAAGTTCAGTCGACTGGCTTAACCCCATTTTGCAAAAGAAACAAGTAGCGGTGTGCTCAATGGCATCTGAATGACAGATTTAGAGGGATTCTTAGAAGTGGTCTGTTGCTTATGTATCATTTGTCGATCACAATACAAAACGTTTTCGGCTTATCAGGCTAGTGCTACTGTACGAGGGCCCTTAAGTATGTCAGGAAAAAGAATGTTGTGCTAGCAGACCAAAACTGTCACACGGAGCTGAGACCTTGGATACGTAACAAATATCCTGATGGCCAGTAGTATCCATTTAAACCAAAGGGGTAGAAAGGCTGCTTTGTTGATTTAAGAGACGTTGCGAGAGTCTAGCCCATTCATCGGCTGACGACGTCACGGGCCTTGGGCCTTGGCGCCTGGGGCATTAGGCTATTTTAGGTAACTGACGTTTCTATAGTTGGGAGTCCACCCAATTGACGTTCCTCCATTACCTAAAATTCCGTTCCTCAATTGCTCGGCGACTAACAGAATCTCACGATATTGTGGTCATACGAGAAGACTATCATGACAGGTAAACTGAGTTTTGATTCATGACTTCTTCGTCGACCTCTCGTCCAAGGGTAAATACATTTTACAACATAACGACGCCAACACCTCCCATCTTGTTCTCATCCGGCAGGTTCTTCTCGTTAACACCTCCAGGGACAGGGGCTGTTCTGTAGTTGTAAAGATAAAAGTGAAGCTGGCCATCACCTGCACCAAACTTCAGCTGTTCCAAGAAGAGAGGGTTGTCCTGCAAGGTAAGGGCGTTGAACACATCGAAGTGAGCCTGGAGAGCATTGTAAGCTATAAGGAATATAATACACTAAATCAAGAGCTGTTCGGGATTTGTACCTTCTTGGCCTGGATCAAGGCATCGTTCATCAGGAGTAGAAGTCGCTCTTTCAAGGCCTTGAGATCCTCTGTGAATGCGGTCTCGGTTGCGTAGTAATACAGGTAAGCAGCGCGCACTTCCTTATGCTTCGGGTGCTGAATGACCGTAGATGGGAGGTTGTAGAACGAGAAGAAGTCGGTAATCTTGTGTGTCTCAGGATCTTCCACCACATATGACCAGACAACTTGCTCCTTTCCTTCACCGTCCTTGTGCACTAGCCAATGCTCGATTTCCTCTCTTGTAAAAGCCTGGTTCATATCAAAGCGCTTCAGATACCGCTCGAGCAGGTCATGGACTGCATCTATATCCTTGGTTCCCATGGGACGCAATCCAGGCGTAGATGTAGTGCTGGGAAGGTGATTCTTGGTGATCTGACGGGCTTTGGTAGAGCCATGAGGAAGGGGCGAAAACCCGACCTCATAAAGCTTCAGCCAGTCCAATGGACGGTGATAGTAGCGGCAGGAGCTGACTGGTGTAGGCAAAACCACACCGGCAGTATAGATGGCTTGGTAGATTCCATTCAGATAGCAGCGACGGGTGATCTCTTTGATGAGGACGGGAGTCAAACGCTTAGACCGCAGTTTCTTATGGATACAGAGGAAGTTGATTTCCGTCACCTTGAGCTTCTGATCGCGAACACGGATCTCGGTAGGCACACCGCAAATAGATGCGACAAGCTTCCTAGACTTGGTAGCGCGGACACCCACATGCCATTCCTTTCTCCAGCCGGGAGACATCAGAGCCCTATGATGTTCGCAAGCGTTAGTTTACATTAATCTACCTCATTTATGATAAGATATTTATGCCGATGCTAATAACGACGTACCAATGCAAAAATGACTGGGAGTATCTAAAGCGGAACATGGCGTTATCGTCCTCCACGTAATGGTATGTCAACAAGTCCCACAATTCCTGCAGCTCAGTCTCGTTGGTCAAATCAAGAGTTGTCCACTCGAAACCTTCGATGAGCTGATCGGGCTCCTTCGACACCTTCTCGGGATCGATGATCTTAATGGGACCTCCGCTAGCATTGCCGGCCTCATCGAAACGGGGTACGGGTTGCGTTTGCCAGAACCTGTACGAAGCCATGTCCTTCTGGTTCTTCCCACCGACCGATAGGCCAGTGAGCAGCTCGGAGATGGTCATTTTGCGCAATGCCTCCGCAGCTTCGTTCTTGTCCATCGCGGCCAGCTCGTTCTTCAGCGCCGGGTTATTCTCCAACAGCTTCTCCGCCATCTTGGGGGTGATTGACACATCCTTGGGCTTTTGTTCAGAGCTACCTGCTTGTGTGTCTTCAGCCTGGGGCGCTTTGCCCTTGGTATCCTTGGGGTCCGACATCACTGCGGGCGAGATAATGAGGAGGGGGTAAGATTTAGGCGGTTTGAGTGCGGAAGGTTTTCAGGTCCGTCGCCCCACGTCACGCCAATTTCGCGGGGTCAAGCTTAATAAATAAAGAGTACTGCGTAGTAATCATAAATTAACTGATAAGTAAACATTCACTCACCCAAACTACATTGAAAACCCCTGGTAACTGATGGCGCTCAATCCACTTGGCACGTTCTCTAACTTATTCTTTTCCGACAATTGGTGTTTGACGTACAGCGCATATTGGATTTATATGCTGCATATCGAAGTATAGATGACATCCATGTGTGTGATCTCTTACCTCGGCAAATCAATACACAAATTGAGACGAAAGAGTTCAATTGGTTTTCTCCGATATTCTCCAGGCTATTCTGTATTTACTAATTCGATAAATGAACTGAATTCGAGGTTTGTTGAATCCCAAGATAAACGCCTCTCCAAAATCTATATCATCCCACATGCTAACATGAAAGGGCTATCAGCCCTTCTGGGTATCATTGAGTATGTTGTTGAGAACATGGCATAGACAAGTATTGATGTCCAGATGCCCAATTTTACGTGCTAGCGAATCGCAAAAATAAGAAAATCCCACAGACGTATCCCCTCATTGTGTACCAGGCTTGGTCTCGATTACATCCAGGAAACCGCCAACAAGATGTAAGCTGCCCGTGACAAAGGTCATGATGGGAGTTTCATCATTACCTGAACGTTCTCTTTCCTTCGCGGCCAAGTCTCGGGTGAAGTCAACAGCTTCTTCGATGGTGCTATACACCTTGACCTCGGCACGTGGATCAATCGAACGCCATTTCTCAGCAAGGCTGTTCTGGACCTGTAATTTTTCCACCTCAGATGCGCTCGTGTTCATGCTTACGAGGTCGGGTCGATAACCTGCCGCTTTATAGGTTACGTTGGTACAGAAAATCGCGTGAGTAAAAGGCTGTTCGGACCCAAGAGCTGCAGCGAGGGTGTCATAGAGGGCTTGGGCGAGGGCATTACTATCACGAGTTTGCTGATTGAAGATCAGGACACGCAACTTGTTGTTTGCCACCGCACCGGAGGAGGAATTCGCATGTATCTGGGAGGTGAACCATTGACCAGCCAGCTTGATACTCTCTAGAGTATGACCACCGTCGATGAACCAGGTGACATCCTTTTCATGCCGGGTTTCACAGCGCCCACCTAACCGAGCCAATTCCAACCCCTTGCGGAATTTAGCAGGCAGAGGCTTCTTCATAAAATCATCTGGAATGTCTTCGAGCCCCGTTTTCTTAAGAAACTCTGCAGCCGTTGCGATCGCTAGAGCTGCGTTTGTGCGTTGGAAATCACCGGCCAACCCAAGTTTGACATTGCTACCACTGGTTAGCTCAGGATGAGCTGCAATGATTTCCAATTGAGTTCCCTTATCCGCTGCACGGTCGAATAGAATCTTTTCGGCACTGGCAGCTTGGGGAGCACTGAAGCCTTTGACTCCAGGCTTTATAATACCGCCCTTATGCCAAGCAATCTCTTCAATCGTTGTTCCCAGCATAGCGGTATGGTCAATGCCTAAGCTAGTAATCGCAGTCGCGGCAGGCCGCTCGAGTATGTTTGTGCAGTCGTACTCACCACCGATGCCACATTCTATCACCGCAGCATCTACACCTTCACTTAGATAAGTATGAAATGCCATAAGAGTCAGGTATCGGAAATACTGCGGCTTCGTTCGTAGTTCTTCCGGGTTCTCACCGGCCACTCGAGCCGCCTCTTCAAGCCGGTCCCAGACTTCGAAGAAGTACCGGGCGAACTTTTCTTCGGAGAGCGGTGCACCATTAATTTGAATGCGCTCTCGGGCAAATCGTAAGTGAGGAGACGTATAGAGGCCAATGTTTTTGAGACGTGGCGTAGAATCTTTTGATTCTGAGGACACCGGGGAAGTGTATTGGGATAGGATAGAGGAGATGAAAGCGGAAGTCGAGCCCTTGCCCTTGGTACCAGCAACGTGTACAGGATTAAGACGGTTCAGATCGGAAGGCTATAGAGAGGGAAAGGGGTTGAACTGCAGTCAGCCATCAACTGCACAGCCCTAAATTAACCACTGCAACAGTGGAAGCGCAATATTCACGGTACCCGGGGGAAAGGTTTGCGAACCTGGTATCCAATGCGTCGGAGCCACTCAATAGTTTCCGGAAGAGACCTTAAGTTCATTTGTCGCCGGTCTCCTGACTCCCTCAGTTGTTGGACAACTGCGAAATTTGTCTGCAGCGAATTCAATGCTGCAATTGCAGCCTGTATTCATCTCGTTAGTGTCTGAAGATCAATTGCTTAGAAGCCTCGGCATACCTCATAGCTGCGGGACATTCTGGCCGGATGTGATAAAAACCGACGGATATAATTATAGGGAGAGCGAGTGTGTATGCGAAAACCCCTCATGAAGATAGAAAAAGAAGAAAATGTATGACGTGACAATGCTAAGTCACGAGGGATTCGTCGCATTTCCCCAGATCCATGACTTCCCTTATTAGTCAGCTTTCGGTCAGGTGATGGTCAGTCAGGTGTGCCACCAAAGGGTAAGAGAAATACTATACAAGAAACGTGGACATATAGTACTTACATTCGGTGGGTAAATAGTGGCGGAAAACCTCCCCCACCAAGATACTGCGTAGGTACCAGGGGTTCGGATCCTTCGTGAGAGGGAGTTTGTATTGGTACAATGGGTATTATACTTATCAGATAACAATACAATACATCACAGCTTGCAGACCAGTCACCAGGCTCTCAGAAATAGCTCAGCTTCGCTAGTAAATTCACTGAATATTAGGTATTCTCATCTCCAGATATTATACTCTCACGTGTACATATTCCGCAAAGCAAACAGGTCAATTACCCTTCCTCGGACTTCAACTACTACTAGAAGTACTTTTACCACGGGATGAAGGAGCGAGCCACTATGCAGCTCCACCCAAGTTTGACATCTCAGCAGAGGGTCTGGAACAACAAGCGAAAGTCCTGATCAAGGACATCGAGGAAGCGACTATTCGCTTGATAAGCTCTTGCACAGACATCACCACCGCCGACTTCGAGTCAATCATCCAGCCCTTAGCTCACATCGACAATGAGATCAAGGCACAAGTACGATACTTGGCTCTATTCCAAGCTATTTCTCCCAGTCTAGATATCAGGGCGGCGTCTTCTACAGCAATCAACCTTATCGATAAAATCTATCTAAGCTTATTTCAGAATGAGAAACTCTTCGCCTTGGTAAATTATGTACGAGAGAAACCGTCGATGCGTGTCAGGGATGAAGAGGACACTCGGCTACTTGACAAATTCCACTGGATTTTCTTGGAAAACGGGATGTATCTAGCCAGTGAGAGCCACGATCGATTTACCTGGATTTCACGCCGCTTGATTGACCTTCGCGTCCAGTTCATGGAAATCCTCGGCCAAGATCCGGGATGCCTTTGGAAGAGCGAAGAGGAGCTTGCCGGTGTGTCGTTGAATCGTTTGTCGATTGGAGTGAGTGATGATGGCCATAAGCGCTTGTATCAAGTCCCTCTCACCAGGCCAATTACGACTCTTGTACTGTCGGAGTGCCATATTCCGGAAACTCGCAAGGAGATATACTTGCGTAGTCATTCCCGATACCAGGCTAATGTAGATATATTCCGCGAAATCATTGTTCTAAGAGACGAGGCCTCGCATCTGTTGGGTTTCCCTTCCTTTGCGACCCGAAAGCTGCCGCAGCAGATGCTGGGTTCACCTGGTCGTGTGAATGAGTTCTTGCAGCATCTGTCCAATACTCTGGCGCCACTAGCAGAGAATGAGATTTTGAAGTTGCAAGAGCTGGTGAATACCAGTGGTCCTATCTATCTTTGGGATTTTGACTTCTGCCATACGAAGATGTTACAGGAACAGAACAAGGTGGATCACAAATATATCTCCCAGTGGTTTCCTGCCAAAGTTACTGTACAACGTATGCTCGAATTATATGCAGAACTCTTTGGCTTGAGGTTCGAGCAACTCGAAGTCTCGGGAAGCGCTTATACTTGGCACCCAGATGTAGATGTGTTCTCCGTTTGGGAGGAAGAGGATTCTACCCTGATCGGATATCTTTATATTGATATCTTTCCTCGTGCAGGGAAATACAACCATGCCGCCAATTTCAACATTCATCCTGTATGTTTGGATTAATCTACATCTAGGCAGCCCTCATACTTGTTTTCTAACTTCCTTTCAAGAGCTTTCTAGATATCGATGGGACTCGGGCACCAGTCGTGACGGCCCTCGTCTGTAATGTATCTCAGGCTGAACCACCACTGATGAGACACACCGAAGTCGTTAGTGTATTTTATGAGCTGGGACATGGTCAGCACCATCTCCAACGCATTGTGTGGATCGAAGCTAATAAAACCATGAACGAAAGGACTCCATGACCTGGTGGGCAAATCGAAATACGCTATGTTCCACGGGCATCGAACAGTGCCTGACTTCACCGAAGCACCCAGTCAACTGCTTGAGTACTGGTGCTGGATTCCAGAATGTCTTCAAAGACTCAGTTGTCACTACTCCTACGTCTCCCAACACTATCACACGCACTGGCTAAATAGTCAGGAGAATAATGATAGGGCACAGCCTCCCATGGAAATACCCTCGGCCCTGGCCCGAGATCTTGGAGCCACGAAGCAGCTTAACCAAGGGATACTAACTCTCCGACAAGTAGCGTTCAGCAAGTTTGACATGCAGACCCATCATCCTACCTCGCATCGCGATATTGAAACATTGCATATTCCCGAATTGTACAACTCGCTGCTGGAGAATACAACCGGTCTGAGTGGACCTGGGAACGGCTTCGACTGGGGTCATGCCTATGCGACTACTTCGCATTTTGTTTGGGGTCAGGAGGCGAGCTATTATTCATATCTCTAGCATGTAAACTGTATGTTCACTCGTGAATTTGGATCAGAGTGCTAACGTAACGACGAAGTACGCGTACACTAGCAGCAAATATATGGTCATCGTGCTTCAAGGCATCTCCGATGAGTCGAGAGGCAAGCTTGAAGTATCGACAGCAGATTTTGAATCACGGTGGAAGCAAGGATGAGCATAAAGCGGTGGAGGAGTTGTTAGGTAGGATTTCCACCTCGGATGCATATTTGCGGGATCTTGGTTGCACGCTTCCTACCTCTCCCAGAGAAGGTTGAGAATCCAGATAGACGCTATGGCAGACTTTTAGTTGGTAAGTTATCATGGTGTACAATCTATGTTAGAACTGTTTAAAAGGTATCTCACTAGAGGAAATCATAGCACTACATTCATAGAATGAGAGGCTAGCAGAGGTTATGTAAGGTGATTTCCTTTACGGAGTGGAGGCCCCTCATCTCCCTTGAAGAAAGCAAAGGGAAAATTCAATACCCCGAAAGCTCGACTCAGATGTTGTGTTGGATCGGCCAGGGAATTGCGGCAAGGCCCTGTTGATTCATGCTGTAGAATGCAGATTACGAATGTATTGATCAACCTACCACCAATTCTCTCCTGTGTGTATATACTTTCCGCCATACTACATGCTTTTTGTCATGAATAAATTTATGTCCCGCGTGATGTCGGTCATTTGCAGCCTAATTGCGAGCAAACGTCTGACTTAAGCTAAATACCATTTTAGTTTGTGCCTCTTTTTTCGTAACCATCAGCAATACATCATGATACATGATGACGGACGGACAATTGTACATGGTAAGCGAAGTGATGGAGCCAAGGCTGCCCTGGTCAAAGGTAGTAAGCTTGTATATTAACTAGTTCCCGATAGTCTGGCTCATTAGATTTATACTACTAGTATTTTACAGTTATGTGATCTTGATGCCGCGCGTTGATCGCACGAGTACATTCGACAATCCGAGCCATTCTGTTCGACTGGGCTGTTAAACCATCGTGGTCATTAGTAAGAGACGGGCGTCCAGAATCCAGCTAATACTTAGTAGTGAATGCCTAAGGTGACACTACCTAGTAGCTTCCTAACTCTTAAAGATCCCATTTTCCTATGTATTTATATGATTTCAGTAATATGGCGACTTCTATCATCATCACTTTCCGCGATGTAAAGCTTTAAAAAGTACATGCAAAGAGCAGTCCTGCAAGGTGAAATGAACAAGAGGAAGAAGGCGAAAGAAGCAGCAGAGAGAAAAGGTAAAACAAGATAAGGACAGAAATAAAAATCTATACGGTTAAAGGAAACCCGAGCGACTAAGGCCAGGAAGGTTACTTGCAAATATATGAATCCACTAAAGAGAAAACAAGGAGAGACTAGAAGACAGCACATATAGGGGTGGTACTTTTTACAACCCGCAACATCGAAGTAGGTAAGGACGAAAGTGTGTACCGGACACGTACCATTTCGCATGTAAAAGAACTCGGCAATGACAGCAGCCTGAGTAAGAAACTATTCGATCCTAGTTTTCCCTTCTTCCAGAAAGCCAAGTCGAGCATTGCTATAGCCCCTCTGGTGCCTTCTGGAAGGAAGAAATTGCCCAATGATAGGATCCGATCGGGCCTTGATCATCGCATCTTGATATCCTTCGGATCCAGCAGCTGGTGTATTCAATTTGGGCCAGTTCACCTGCAATTTATTAGCATGGAGCAAGTAGAGAATCAGTTTTCAAAGAACTTACGTAAAGCATCCCGTGCCCGAGTATAAAGCGCGCGCACCAGGCAGAAACTACCAGCCAGAATATGACGAACAGACGCAAAGGCCACACGGCAGCGTCAGGCAATCGCCTCGTAAATATGGAAATTAGAACCATGAAGACACCAGCAGCAAGGATATAAGGGATGGACTGGATCATGAGAGGTCGGCGGTCTAGGAAAAGTTGAAGGTTGCCAAGGGTGGAATTTGGAGGAAGGTAGGTGCCCAAGAAGACATCAAATCCATCTTGCCTGGGGCCATCCAAGAGGTTATTTTTCACGTATCGCGTGATGGAATTGTTCAAGTCTTGCAGCATGCCAGCGCGAGTACGCTTGCCAGTACGGGTGAAATCTGTCTTGAGTGCCCCGGTGCCGGAGTACGATTTAGAGACGACGTCTGCATTATCGGCCCAGATGTTACGGAAAAGATCCTCAAAGTCCCGGTCATCATTTGCAGCTTCACCTTGACGTAGGACCCCAGCGTCAGTGAGCTGGCGTGTTACAGCCCAGCGTCCAAGCATACTCTGCACTACGTTCGTTCGATCCAAGCAGTCCATGCAGTTGGTACGAACAACGCTGGTTTGTGAAGATCGCATATCCAGCTGTCCACCAGGCACGCCAGGATCCTCTACACCACGGAAATAACCGCCTCGCGTAAGACCGTCAATTAAACGATCCATCAGCAATTCTGCGCGGTGCCATTGCAGCCCCTTTGTTTCGTTGTGGAAATCGAAGTAGACGTAGTGGAGACGGTCCAATTCCTTTTGCCTTTGACCGGGTTCCAAGGCATGTATCTTCTCGGATGATACTGCGTCGACCTCGGTATTCTCGGTCGATGGAGAGACCAAAATGCGTACGAGCTGCTCATATGCATCCTTGACTCGCTCCTCTCTCCCTTTCTGGTTTACAAGGTTAACCAAGTAGTTTTCTCCATACAACCGGATTTGCTCAGCAAAATGCTTTCGTGCGGCATCGACAGCTGTTTCCACCCCACGAACCTGAAGTTTGGGGGTATACTTGAGATTGTTGACTTCGGCCCAATATACGGGGACACTCCCGCGGGTCTGCACATAAGCCATGACCTGAAGGTCCCGACCCGAATCTCCGGGTTTTTCTTTCATGGACTGCCCTCCAGCAAACCCCGATAGCCCACCAGTCGCATCATTCAGGATCACAATCTGCTCGGTTTCGTTGTAATTCGAAACGTGGCCCTGTTCATCGATACCACGTGAGAAGTATCTTGTCCCAGCACGGTGTCTAGATCTTCTCGTAATGAGAGCAAATGTAAACGTAGTCGACTTAACCTTTGCAGGAGTGATGCGTAACATTCCATACATGACGGGGAGAATATAAGGGTCAACCCCGGGCTGGGGTCCATAGCGTACACTCGTTGTATCGTGCCCTCCGAGGCTAAAGTCTATGAGATCCGATTGAATGAAGCGGTTCCAAAAGAACCGATCATCAGCTCGCTTCCACATTGGAAGGCTAGCATCGCTTTGCGACTGACGCTGGAAACTGTTGGTGAGGTCCAAGGCATAAGAAAAATACATCGGCCCCGTGCGGAGGAGCTCTTTTAGCAGCGCCAAATACGTGTCCTCATCGTTGTCATGTAGCGGGCGCTCACGAAGGGGTAAGAACTCAGTAGCTGCTACTTTGTAGACCATGTGTCCGCGTAGTCGACCCATAGGCAGGGCTTTAGTGATCACGATGATATATTTGTCTGCAAGATTCAAATATTAGAGTCAGGCCACTAGCCGAGGTTCGCAACCAGACATACCCAGCTTCAACTTGATCATACCCAGTATACCGGCGATACTGGAAATGCGCTTAGCACCAGGAAGGGTGCCATCGTGTAGCCGTAAGTCGCCTGTTGGGCGATCAACAACAAGCGTGGGAGCATTCGGTGAAGAGGGCGAGGTAAAAGCGTAATGAGAGGAGGAGGCGTGGAGGTTGATATCGCGGAACGGAAGGAGAGTAGTAGCCATTGTTGGCGACAGCTCACTATCTAAACAGGGGTGGGTAATGAGAGATGATAACAATACCGAAGAAGTAGATAGGAAGGAATATGAATATGAGAACTAAATAAAGAACGTGGGGTGGATGGATGTAATATCACCGCATGGTTAAAACTCGGGAAGGAAAGAAAAGAAGGTTCAGGCAGAGAGATGGATTGTCAGGAGCAGGAATGACGATCTCTCAGGAAGCCTAGGGTGTTGTGTATTGTAACTCTGAACGCAGCATGTGGTGATAATAATACCTGCCAATTGCCGCCAACATAGGTCAAGCCAAGCCGCCACACCGCCCCGCAGAACGGCCAGTCGGCTTGGGCCAGGTGTGGCTGAATCCCTTCGTCATCTACCTTACCTTTACCAGCCAGGCCGCCATTAAACCTCCTCCCAGCATCCGATCCCGTCTTCAGTCCACCTCCCCGTCTAAAGAAATCTTCCACCTCTAGCGCTATTTATTCTCACGATCCACCCCTGTGCGATTTTTACTTACCGGTGCTCTACATAAAAAGTTGCTCTTCCGACCATAGACATCATGGCCTCCAGAGCCGCAGCAGGCGCCCGTCCTGGTGCCAGATTCGCTCAGTTCAAACTGGTCTTGCTTGGTTAGCCATTTCAATAAATACCCTCCTACTAAGTTACCAGTTGTAGAGTAACTGACACATCGTCTCCCCCACTTCATAGGAGAATCCGCTGTTGGAAAGGTTAGCCTATTCTCTTTCGCTATTTTGACGGTCGCTGACGTCTTTCATTACAGAGTTCGCTAGTATTGAGATTTGTCAAGGTAGGTTTAGAGCTAATGAATCCATTCCGATGCCCTAGATATCCGGTCTTAGCTGGGGGTTGCGGATGTCGCTTACTTGTCATAGGATCAATTCGATGACTACCGGGAGTCGACAATCGGCGCTGCCTTCTTAACACAAACCATATCTCTGGATGAAAGCACGACGGTCAAGTTCGAAATATGGGATACCGCCGGCCAGGAGAGATACAAATCGCTAGCCCCGATGTACTACAGAAATGCCAACTGCGCAGTGGTTGTTTACGATATCACACAAGCTGTACGACCCCGACCATGACTCTTGGTTTTTGTTGTTTGAACCAATGAAATACTAACATAGCAATCGTCGTATAGTCGTCGCTGGATAAGGCCAAGTCGTGGGTGAAAGAGTTACAACGTCAAGCAAACGAAAACATTGTCATCGCCCTTGCGGGTAATAAGCTCGACCTTGTCACAGAAAACCCAGACAAGAGGGCTATCCCAACCGCAGATGCCGAGGCCTATGCACGTGAGGCTGGTCTGCTTTTCTTTGAGACATCAGCGAAGACTTCCTCAAATGTACGGGAACTTTTTACAGCAATTGCGAAGAAACTTCCTCTCGATCAAGCCGGACCTCGAAACTTGCGCACAAACCCCCGTCCGGGTGTGGACTTGCGCCCAGAGGCCCCCGGCACTCAGGGGGCCAACTCCTGCCAATGCTAAATTTAATCGCAAGCTATCACTCTTGTCCCGTTGTATCTCATATTCGCATTCTTTCCCCCCCGTCTTTGCAATTATTTTTAGATACGGAAGGTGCACGTCTTCAAGGTTAACTATGAGTCGCTACGCCGGGTGACTCTATGGATTGCCGCCAATAACTTAAGCCAGAATGCCTAATTTTTTTTATCGGTATCATGATGATCATGGATATGACCCACTGGAATTTTGTGAGATTTCAGTCGTCGTTGTGTGGCCAAACGCGATGGCTTCTCTGATCTCAGTCACCATTTCTCTTTCATTATTTTCGGCCCTGATATTCGACTGTGTAGCTACTAAGTGAGAAGGGAGTCGGATATCGTGCAAGGGTCTAGTTGGATCTGGCTTTCTAGACATTATGCAGCAGGACTGTGCCTGCGCTTTGTGCTTTTCCTTTACACCTTAGTTGCCCTTGTTTGTTTCAGCTTTATTGTTCCCGGCGTCTGTATCCATGTCTTCCTGTTGGGCTGAATTCATCCTACATCTCTTCCCCTTATTTCCGGTCGTCGTGAAATCGTCCGTATGCTATTCCTATATAATAACTTTCTCTTGAAATACTTTACGGGAAGCTCATAACCATGTGTCCTCCTTTTTCTTCATGTCAATCGGTACGTAGCGGGTTGAAGCACGAAGTAGGTCTTTACAGTCGGAGAACATTCTGCCCCGGACAACTCCTGTGGGCGGTGCGAAGGTTCCCGAGGTCACCAGCCACAGGCTCTGCGGCGGTGCACGATCGGAGCGGTTCGTAAAAGCATCATCCCAATTCCGGTCCGCGTTTTCACTCTCGCCAACATCACCCCTTCAACAAAACCCGCCTTCAGCGTTTACTTCACAGTAGTGCGGCTCGTCATGCTGCGCTCTTCTGTTGCACCGGGTCGGCAGCTGCTGTTGTCTTCCGTTCGTCAACGGACGGCCTCGCAATGGCTGTCTAGAGCTGGGGCAAGTAGCCGGCTCTCTGGTCAGGTATGACGATGCCATTCTTGCCTTTTATGACACAAACTGACTTGCATTTTTCTATCCATCCAGAGATTCTTTGCCGATGCTAAGCCTCCTACCGGCGCCCCTACCCCTGTCTCCCCGTCATCCGAAACACCCATCCCCCCCGAGACTGTTCCTAAGTCATCGCCTAGTGAGCAAGGTTCGATTCCCATCGTCAATTGAATACATCGACTCCTCCGATGCTAAAGTATGCGCAGATTCTCAGACTCCTCCACCGCCCCCACCCGCCCCGGTTCGTAAAACGGGACGTTTCCGAAGATTCCTTCTCTACCTGATTCTCACATCTGGTTTCGCCTACGGTGGAGGTGTCTTCCTTGCCTTGAAGTCTGACAACTTCCATGACTTCTTCACGGAATACATCCCATATGGTGAAGAGGCTGTTCTTTACTTCGAGGAACGTGATTTCTATCGTCGTTTCCCGAACACTCTGAAGGGCCAGGCCCGCATCTCTGGACACACGGATGAGAGTAAGAAGGTTACAATCCCAAGAGAGAGTGGGCTTACCTCGAAGGCTGCGGAGGAGCAGGGTACTGGAAGCGATCTTTCCCAAAAAGGCCCCCATATGAGTGCTGTCAAGGGTGACGAAGCGCAAATCAAGACCGAGAGTGCTAAGCCTGAACATAAGACCGCCGCCGTTGAGAAGGCTAAAAGTGACAAAGCCGCTAAGGACCAGGCACCCAAGAGCAGTGATAAGAATGCTGAGGAACCTAGACAACCAGCACTGCCTGCCGTGACAACCTTAGAATTCGCTCAGGTCAATGAGGGAGATGAAGCCATTGTGCAAGAGTTGGTGAAGACTTTCAACGACATTATCACTGTTATTAGTGCCGATGAGAACTCTGGCAAGTACTCTACGCCCGTCGCCAAAGCCAAGGAGGAGCTCCAGAAGATTGGGGAGAAGATCATCGCAGTAAGAGAAGAGGCCCGTCGCGCAGCGCAGGAGGAGATCACCAAAGCCCATGCCACCTTCGACGAGTCTGCTCGCGAGCTCATTCGCCGGTTTGAGGAATCGCGCGCGGCTGATGCTGCTCAATTCCGGGAAGAGTTTGAGTCGGAGCGGGAGAAATTGGCTTTTGCTTATCAAGAGAAGATCCAGACGGAACTTCAGAGAGCCCAAGAAGTTGCTGAACAGCGTCTCCAGAATGAATTGGTTGAACAAGCCATTGAGCTCAACCGCAAGTACCTCCACGAAGTGAAGGATCTCGTCGAGCGAGAGCGCGAGGGCCGTCTTAGCAAGCTTAACGAACTGACCGCCAACGTTAGCGAGCTGGAAAAGCTTACTAGCAGTTGGAAGGATGTGATTGATACCAACCTGAAGACCCAGCAACTTCAAGTCGCTGTGGATGCAGTCCGCTCCGTCCTTGAGCGCTCTTCTGCCCCCCGTCCGTTTGTTCGAGAGCTCGTTGCCGTGAAGGAACTGGCTGCCGATGACCCTGTGGTTGAAGCTGCGATTGCATCCATCAACCCTACAGCATATCAGCGTGGCATTCCCTCAAAGTCTCAGATCATTGAACGTTTCCGCCGCGTCGCCGATGAGGTTCGCAAGGCAAGCCTTCTGCCTGAGGATGCGGGTATTGCTAGCCACGCTGCCAGCCTCGTCTTGAGCAAGGTCATGTTCAAGAAGGACCCTGTCGCCCATAGCGATGATGTTGAGAGTGTTCTTGTTCGGACTGAAAGTCTCTTGGAAGAGGGCGACCTTGATGCTGCTGCACGCGAGATGAACAGCTTGAAGGGGTGGGCCAAGATTTTGAGTAAGGATTGGCTCGGAGATGTGCGCAGAGTCCTGGAAGTGAAGCAAGCTCTGGAGGTATGGTTCCTAAACACGAAGTCACTCTTTAACAATTCCAAGCTAACTCATTTTTTTTTGCAGGTTATTGAGACTGAGGCTCGTCTTCAGTGCTTGAGAGTCGAATAGATCAATAAATAACGTCAATTCCTTGTTTCCTGTAATTTTCTTGCCGCCTACCCGCAACACCTGTACCTCTAGTTGTTCTCTTGCGTCGTTAGACCTCAATGCTAGAACCTTCCCTTTGTCTGCTTACTGTGATGTCTACAGGCTTGTATGCAACGATACTTGTCAAGTTTATATCTGCATGTCTGACATGCTGGGACTATTATAGAGTAATGTTGGCAAGTGAAGAGGGCATGCGTGGGTAGTAATGGGTGCTACTCTACCCTAAATCCATGATATTCCACCACGGCTATTCCCCAATAGCATAATTCAATAGAACTAGAGATTCCTGGTTGCGCACTTCTATAAGTGTCTTGTAGCGGGAAGAACGCGAGAGAGAATTGTGAAGCAACATCCTTATGACTAGCATTCAGTCATGCTCGAAAGTGTTTAAAAAGGCATCTAGGTACTCCGTAGAGCATGGAAAATCAGCTTGCTGCCTGAGGCAGCTATCGCAGTGGACGCACTATACCCGTTACAGGAATCCGTCTTCACGGCCGGGAAAGGTATGGGGTATATACTGTATAATACAGTACAACTTACTTAAAAGTGATCGTCGCTATTTACCTCGACGATGAAAGGGGCCTTCAAATCTTTCAACTTCATCGTGTGGCCAGGTTTCCTTCCATAGAATATGATAGACCATCGGTATTGACCTTGATGGTCCTCATGAGTCCTTCGATCACCGTCACATACCCCCTTTTCTATCGGCCGGGACCGAACAACACTCCGCTTTGGCTCTGATGTCGCAGAGGACCGATGCATCGCCTACGCCACCAAATCCTCTCCCCAAAGTGGACGAGAACCCACTTAGATCCGGCTCGTGGCGCTCTTCTCGTGGACTCGAATCCAACGACAAACCTGACCGACAAAGGAGTTTGCGAATGAGTGAAGGGCGAGAGAGTGGGGAGCTGGAAGGCAGCACACTCGGTAGCAGCTCCCGCGACGGGGATAAGGGAGGCCGAGGATCTCGACGAACACGCAGCTCAGGAGGTTTCTTACTGGACTCTTCATTCTTGCCCAGATCAAGTAGTCTCAGGCATAGTTATCATCGCGCCCATCACTCGGAGTCGGAGCGAAAGGAGAAGCGTGGAACACCCCCTGATTCGGAGATTGTGGTACCGAAGAAGCGATCGCGATTCCCTTGGAGTCGCCAAAAAGAGCCGACGAAGGAATCTTCAGCAGCGCTCCCGGAGAGAGAAGCTTCTCAAGAAACCCCTGGCCCGTCACATTCGCAACAAGATGCAGTACCTCATCCGTCCCAAACTGCGGAAGTGGGAAGCGAGGCTCCCCTAGGGCTTGATAGGGACTCATTACAGATCGTCAATCTCGCATTGAACTTGAGCGAATCAAGAAGAGTAAGTGCTCATGGTCGAGTGCCTTCCGGCCGTGTTGCGGGGGGTAGGTGGACCGCGTCGGCAGGACAGCCTTCTGTTTCATTGAATGAAAGGGGTGCACCTATTGCACTGGGCAGTCAAAATGATAGCCCTTATCCGCGCCGCAGCTTTACTCAGATACCCGTTGATAATCGCTCGAATCGTTTGGGCGCCTCACATATGGATCAAGCTGTACATGCACCATCTTCGGTCTTGAACCTGCTGCCCGATTCTGCCAATTCAAACTCCCTGCCACACGTATTCTCAGACGGCACACTTGCTCGAGCTGAGAAGGCCCGGCGCCATTTCGAGCTCTTCTCAGAATATCTCCGATTACTTCCTTCGCTCCCTCCCCTTAAACCGCACGAGGCACACACAGACCCAGATTCTACTCCAGCGGGTGCTGGCGACACCCCGCCAGGTCGCTCGTACAACCCTCTTCAATCCATTCGAAACCGCAAAGTTAGATTCCGCGAGCGATGTCCCATTGATACGGATGCAGAAGGCTGGACTAATGTCGGAAAAGTTCATGAATGGGTGGACTCGATCGAGAGCCAGTACAATCAACAAGACCATAGCTCTTTCGAATGCCTGAAGCTCCCACCTTTCCACCAAGGCTCGAAGGACCTGTCACATAAAGAGCCGGAGGATGATGAGATTATAGCAGCCTCTCCTTCCTCCAGTCTGAGGCGAACCAGTCGTGCAAGCAGCGTCAAGGCTCGCAGACCAAAATCTGATTGGATGATTTCCCCGCCAGAGCTTTTGGCTGATATCGCATGGGTTGAGGATATACAGAATAAAAGCAAGCTTATTGATAAAGATGGAAATAATCTATACCCCGATGCCGCAATGTTGATTCCATCCGATGCCCTCAAACCCAAAACTAGGAACCCTCAAGAAGAGCTTCCATCCAGGCGGGAGTCGGTAGACACGGACCAGCCGACCTCACACACTTCTTTATCGGATGCCCACCCTGGACTGACACCTGAGTTCAAACGGATTGGACGGGGAAGACGGCGGCATAGATTCCAAGGCACCTCTCATATCGTTCGCAGCAGTGGTGGAAGGCACAAATTACGAAGGCGATCAAGCAGCTCTTCCAGTGCGTCAAGCCGGGATGACAAGCAATATTGGAAATACCAGGGAGAGAGCATGGTATCTCCTAGGAGGTCTACTTCCCTAAGGCCCGAACCATCCAGAGCAAAAGGATATGTTGCCCCACCAGATGAGAGCTCTCTGGATATGAAAATTAGGTCGCCACAGAGCTCTAGTTTCCAACGATCTTGGAAAGCTTCTGACCGTACTAAATCCCAAGAACAGAGAGAATCTATATCCTCAGCGCCAAGTGTGGATGACCGCTATGACCGTCTGACAACCTCTGTGACAGCCGATGGAAGGGTGCCGCTTACTCCTATTCAACCCACTTTCTTTCCGAGTATTGCATCAAATTTATCGCCCCCATCAAGCCGGTCACCATCCCCGTCGAAAGGACGGTTCCCACGTGCGATTATTCCCCGCCGGGAGAGAAGCAAGAGCAACTCGCGACCTAAAGATGCTGTGGACAATAGTTCCCCAGAATCAGAGGTATTACGTAGCAACAGTTTATCGGAATACTCAGAGGGTTTGCCTCGCATTGGCAGACTGGACCCGAGCCCACTTCTAGATCAAACTCCCTCTACGCATCAGGATGGCCGGATAAGGTCGAGTCAGCAAGCACGGAAAGGGCTCACACAACATGAGTCCAAACTCCGTGGAATCTTCAAAGGCCCTGGTAAGATCGCGGAAAAGGTTGGTAATGAAGTGTCAAAAATGGGTGGTCTTATTCTAAAGAAAGATTCCTTGGCCCATTCACGACAATCTTCCTTTGAATCACACGTCACGTCTGACGATGAGACTGTCCTAACCGATGCCGAAGAATCGAAAGGTGATAAGACCACCAATATCAAGGCTTCATTACGCCGCCTCCCCACCTTTTCTGAAGACTACAGTCTGGCGGCTCGTAGGGAATCAGAAAAAGCAACTGGGAAAAATTACCTATCCGCGCCATTACCCTTTACATCTCCCACCCGCCAGGGCGATCAACCCGAGGGCCATAGAAGATCTGATTTGGGTAGTCCCCAAAAGACTTCTTCAGAGTCGGAAATGAAGAGCGCAAGGGAGACTGGAAGCAGAGACGAGGCTCTATCGACATCTCAGCAGAAGCGGCCCGATGTCCGCAAGAAACCTGGGAAGGTTCCGACTTTTGGCCCTGAGCTACATACCATCCGAGAACAGATCAAGAAAGGCCGAATTAAGGATCCATCTGTGCCATACAGTCTCACTCGGCCCCCGATCACGGGCCTTGCACAAGCAAAGGCATCACATGAACCGTCCTCTCATGAAAGACGTTCCACGCCCTCCAGCCAATCCAGAAGCTGGAGTATCTCTGAGCGTAGTGTTTCTACCTCGACGGAATCCGGAGTCCCGGCAAAAAGAGAAGTCGAACGTACCCGTGCGCTCCTTCTCTCTTCAGGTATCAAGGCACGAGAGATCACTCGTCGCGCTCATACTGTACGAAATCCTCCACCTGAGTTTCTTCGACGCGCATTTGGCTCCGACACGCCAGTTCCGGAGGTGCCTCGGTCGCATGAGTTCAATCTCGCCATTCAAGCCTTGGTAAAAAGGTTTGAGAAGTCAGAGGAGCTCTTCCAGCGATCGATGGATGGTTACCCTGGTGCTAAATTGTCATCTCTGAGCTCTCACCTTGGCGCACTTGAAGATCTAGTCAACAACTCTCTCAACCCACGTGTGCGGGCTGCTGCACAAGATGCAGAAGATTTGAGCATTCAGCTCAATACGACCAGTACTCTCGCAGTGAAACAGCTGAGCGACACCCTCGACAAAGGCATTCGGAGGCGCCATCGCCGGTTACGCTGGATACGACGTACTGGATTTGTGATGCTCGAATGGGCCCTTGTTGGAATATTGTGGTGGGTATGGTTGATCGTTATGGCTTTCAAGCTGTTACGGGGTGTTTTCCAAGGAGTAATATCTGGTGTTCGGTGGGTACTCTGGCTGTGATGGGTCTTCGTACTGTTTTGAAGATTTTTCTTTTCTTTTTATCTTACTATTTTCATTTTTTCAGGCCATCTCTATATACCCCATTTCTTAAGACTGCTTTGTTCATTGTGGCCGCAAGTGATACCTGATACACACTGCTCCTTTCTCACAGCATATTCTAGTATATATTTACTTTGTTTAATTCAACTATTATTATACGTACCCCCTTGCAGGTATTCATAGAATATGCTCCCATACTGCACATTGATGGTCTCATCCCTTGATCGGCGGCGGTGACAAGGCAACAACGCAGCCCTTACACTTCAAGAGATCACCAGGTTTTGCCAGACGTAAAACCATCTTGAGCCAAAGAACCCTAATTGTGATCTTCTGTCCCGACAGTGACCGAAATCCAGCACAAAAGCAATGCCGAGAGACAGTATCACCTGCATCGGTTTCATGCTTGCAAGACACTATCACATAAACAATAAAGCCGCTTAGAAACATTATCCGAGATTCACTAATGGATTATTGTATGGCACTCGTAAAGAACTATTTCCTTCGTCAAAGGCCTTTCATAGATCTGAGACGACGACTTGACCCTCACAATGAGATTCAATAGATCATTTGATATTGGCAGCATGTATATAAGTTCGTTCTGCTAAGATATAAAGCCGGGCAATGGCACACCACTACTGTATTACTCAACAGCGTGCACTACTATCTTGGTATATCCTCTTCATTGGTTATCATCTACATCCTTTCGATCAGTCACTGTCATGATGTCTTGTCGCACGGTATTTACTCTGAGATGGTGTAAGGCGAAAAGAAAACAGCAACATAGTTCTGTTAAGTCCGTGCCGTCAGAGACTTCAGTGGAGTCCGTGAACTCAACCGAGACATTTGCATTCTCCCAAGAGCCGGTCAATGCCGATGGACAGAAAGTAGCTGGTCAAGAGACAGTTAATGTACGCTGGCCGTTCTCCTACTCCGGTGCGGAGTTTGAAGAAGTGGTTAACGAATACTCTGAAGCCGACGAAGAGCAAGAGCAACAGCCGAAGACAGACAAAAATGAAGGTATCTCATTGAAAAGAGTCAACGGCCAGCGCCCATGCGTACATGTCCGGACTCCGGAAAAGCCTTGCCAAAAAAAAAAAGTATGTGAAAGCTAGTGAAGAACAATCCAAGCCGTGGTACAGGGAAATCAGGAACCCATCGTTGTTTGGCTATTGAGACCACTTTTGTCATCCCGAATCAAATGCTCCCTAGGCAGTTTTTCTTCCTTTTTGTGGCGCTGTGTTAATAACTCTTGTAACTCTTGCTTGTGGGTAGTCCTTATGCGTCTGCTTGTGACGAGGGCAAATTGATACCATTAATGGATACATGGGGATAGCTGGGGATCTCGGTATGATTAGAGATTTATATGGATGCAAAATAGAATTGGCGGATGGCTAGGGGCACTGTTCCTCATACAACGAAGTGGCATCGGCGTGTTCTAAGCACCGGTCAATGTTAGAGGGGACTCCACCGATACAGCTATATCATGATAGGTTGAGACCAAATAGTGTTGTGGAAAGCGGTGTTCTCATCATCAGGCTTAGAAGAATATTTGAATTCTCCACTTAAGGTGAGGTAAACATGAGCATCTGAGGGGGTAAAACGGTAAACCGTCCCCCCTACTCTCGCCCTAACACATCTATGCCGATAGAAGTAGAGGATTCTCAAAGGTGGGATTACCAGCTCTCCCCTTCATTGTCGTCTACGCGTACCACACCAAGCACTCTTCTAGCGCTACCGTTATGCACTACCAGTAGTAGATACAACTGACTCTATTCTTCCAAGAGGTGAGATCATCTGCCGTACACATCTGGTCACACCTAAGCTGAACCGGGAAAATACAAGAAACCCCAAACAAGAAACAAGAAACTAGACTGGCGAGAAATGGAAAAGGTTTGATAGAATAACCATTTTCACACTTTCGGTGATCTCAAAAGTTGGATATACCACATCAGGAAGGACGGATTGTCAATGTAACTCCAAGGAGGACGACCGTGTGGACTGATCGAGGTCTGTTCTACTACTACTCGGAGTGGTTTGAACCAGTCGTCATGGGAGATTCGCTGATGGAAGGAACTACAGAGCACGTGACCACCGATGTGCCCCTCCGGGTGGATTCGCCGATGGAGCTCCCGTGAGGAAGCTCCGTAGTGCAAGACTCACTAGTCCTCGAGTTATGACTGACCGTCCGTAATACATTTCAGAGGGACCACCAGATCAGCCAATGATCGAGCACGGAATATAATCTAGAACGACGCGGAACCGTTTCTATACCCGAGGCGCAGGCATGATGTCGGGTTCGACAATTGATGCAGGCCTGGATGAAAGGGGTTAACTCTCGGTGTGATAAAGTTCATTACGTTCCTCATGATATGCATAGCTTCCTGACCCGACATCGACGGAAACTCAAATGAAGAAAGAAAATGAGCGAAACAGCCCAGATCCATGATGGTCTGCCTAAATTCCGGACTCGGACTTGATGCTCAGAAGCTCTCTGATTGGCAATGAGGGATATATTCAACCACCTTTGATCATGAAATCCGGTCGAAGGTTAAATCGTCTTCTACGTATTTATTTTGTATTTTTATTTTTAATTTTACTTTGGGGGAGGAAAGGAGGGGATGCCCATGGATCGAGGCAAATCCCACCAACCGGGAGGATTCAACGACGTCGAGACCTGCAGGGGCGAAGCTGGAACAGCAGGAACCGACATGGATGGGCCCAAGCTTGATACAGGGTGTGACGCCGCGGTGGCCACCGGCGGTAAACTTACGGGACGGTATGGATACCCCTTCAGGTTTCTTCGGGAGATGCCGTAAGCACCCCCACGAGAACCAACCTTGACTCAATCATCAGTCATCATCCTTCTTCAGCTTGGGGGGACCGAATAAAAAAAAAGCCTCTCGTCTTTGCTCGACTCTCTCAGCTCCCTCTATCTCTTTCCCCATCATACCCCAATTGCCCTTTCAGGTGAGTATTTCTTCCCCCCCCTTTGAGGATGCCGTGATCATCCTTGCCGACGCTCAGTCTCTTCCTGATCTGGAACAATTCCCTACCCCTCCCCGCGGCCAATTTCTGCCTGACGGTGTGAGCCCTTTGCCCTAAGTGCGCTTCCACCGAACGCCCCGGTCGTCAAGCAAGAAAAAAACTCTGCACCTCACGGCTTTCTTCCCCTTTCCTCTCCCCGCGTCATTAAATCTCTCACTCACGTTGAGGGTCAGAGCTTCGTTTCCAAACTTGCTGACCGCTGGTTCTGGTCCTGTTACATCAGGTCCCCATTTTCTAGGCCGACTCTGTTCCGCCTATTACCTGACTTTCCGTCGCACCCACGACTGGCCTTTGGAATCACCTCAATTCCAAAGGCTCTAGCTCACCACGGCTCTCGGAGCCTCGTTCGTACGTTTCCGTCAAATTGTCTATCCTCGACGTCCCCGCGGCACTCTTAACAACATTCCACCTCCTGCTGGTTTCCCCCCGTGTGTTCTCGTCCGGCGCGCCATTTATTAACCCGTTGACGCCCTCCCAATTCATCCCCTCGCCCTTTGAGCTGCCGCATAGGACTTCTCTGAAGGTTCTTCCTCTTGAGGAGGAAGGGTCTAGGAGGCTTGGTCCAGTCAACTACGGTTGCGAAAGTTTTCGCCCTCCTTAACACGCAGTCGCGTAACTCAACTTTTTTTTTTTTAATCTTCTTCTTTTTCACCTTTGTGCATCGTCGCAGCGCACATGGTTATGGCACCGACTGCGTGTATCCCTGCTGAGATATGCATGACTAGACATAGTCAAGACAAATCTGACTTTAATTATAATCATAATTTGAGTCACATCAGCAACGATGGAGGGGATGACCTCTCGCAATCCAGGTTGGCGGCCAAGGATCTCGTCATGGACGTGTTGAAGAAGCGCGCCGGCGAAGTCAACACCGACCGTTGCGCCCCTGGAGACGAGGATGCGTTCTATGTGGCGGACATGGGCGAGGTCTACCGACAGCATCTACGCTGGAAAATGAACTTGAGCCGCGTTAGGCCTTTCTATGGTAGGTTTAGATATTTTGCCGACCATGCGTTTGGAGTATGAACGACCCAAGGCTAACACGCGTCTTAGCGGTCAAGTGCAACCCGGACCCGGAGATTCTTCGCCTGATGGCCAAGCTTGGTAACGGCTTCGACTGTGCATCGAAGGCCGAGATCGACATGGCTCTTGACACGGGCATTGACCCCAGCCGCATCATCTACGCGCAGCCCTGCAAGACGAAGTCTTACCTGCGCTACGCCGCCCAGATGGGCGTGAAACAGATGACATTCGACAATGCCGACGAGCTGTACAAGATCAAGGCCTGCTTCCCCGATGCGGAGCTCTATCTGCGCATCCTGACCGACGACTCCACCAGCTTGTGCCGTCTGAGCATGAAGTTTGGTGCGTCTTTGGACGTCGCTCGCCAACTTCTGGAATTGGCTCACCAGCTGGAGCTGAAGGTCGTTGGCGTTAGTTTCCACGTCGGGTCGGGCGCGGAAGACCCGACTGCTTTTATCAAGGCGGTCCAAGATGCCCGGATGGTGTTTGACCAGGCTACTGAAATTGGTCACGAACTGCACACCTTGGATGTCGGTGGCGGCTTTAGCGGGGACACCTTTGAAAAGTTCGCTGGTGTCCTGAGTGAGGCATTGGACACATATTTCCCGCCTCATATCCGTGTCATCGCGGAGCCCGGTCGCTACTACGTGGCGACCGCCTTCACCCTGGCTGCCAATGTGATCGCCCGTCGCGACGTGCGAGACCCCGAGGACTCGGCCAACGATGCATACATGATCTATCTGAACGATGGGGTCTACGGAAACTTCTCCAATATCATCTTTGACCACCAGCATCCGGTGGCCCAGATTCTGACCTGTGCGAATGCCCCGAATGCTGCGACTTCGGGTGGCATCGCCTACTCTATCTGGGGACCCACTTGTGATGGCATCGACATTATCAGCAAACGGATCACCTTGCCTGGTCTGTTGGACGTCGGTGACTGGCTGTTCTTCGAGGAGATGGGGGCCTATACTAGGTGTAGCGCCACCCGTTTCAACGGCTTCTCCGACAATCACGAGGTGATCTACATCTCGAGCGAAGCCGGTGCTTCTGCTCTCCTTGAGTACTAGTACTTTATATTTGTTTTTGGCTCTGTTCCTACACCAGTTCTGTTATGGGTTGTTAATGTGGAGGACAGTGCAGAGCCGTTTCTTGGAAACTTGTTCGTGTTGTGCTTATTTTGCAGTTTTTGTTTACACTGTGTTTGAGGAAGTAGATTTCGGGATTTGAATCGAGTTGTTTATAGTGTTATAGACCTTCATCGGCCCTCCCTTCCCTCTAGCTCTTGGATCTGTATAGATTTAGTTGTTCATATTGCAATGCCTTGGATAAAGACGAAGGGCGCATCATTTCGTGTCTATTTTATCCACCTAGATATCTATCTCTTGTCTTTTTGTAACTTATGGTCTATCTATGACGCCCGTTCATGATCACCACCCCCAGATACATGTACATCACTCATTCCCAATTCCATACCATTATGTTCAATGACAGTCGTCAGCATCGCGGAAGCCAGCTCCACTTCAAAAACAAAAAGAGAGGAAGCCACTACAGTCGTCTAGACCAGTCGCTCAACAACCAGCTCGGCTCCTTCATTTCCCTCTCCAATTTGGACCAAGCCACCGGCTTCCAGCTTCTTCTTCCATTTTCCAGACTCGTACCGGGCCAAAATGAATGTGATGCGAGCAGCCTCGCCTGGGTCAGCCGTTTTTGTAACAACTTCGGAGGGCGTGAAGGTCCAACGACCAAAGGCCCAGTTGAGGATATAATGCCTGGTCGTTCCGTCCTGGGACGCAGCGGGTCTGGGTTCAGCCAGGGCGTCCGACGATTCAGCCGGGGGCGATTGTGTGGAGCAACGCATGATACCTTTAATTCGATAGACTTCATCCTTGGGTGCAGAGAGCAGCAACTGCTCCAGGGCAGACACGTCAACGGTCTGCTCAGGTTGGGCGGACTTCAACGTGACAGAAAGCACCTCAACCTCGGACTGGTGATCATGCTTATGTCCATGACTATGGTCGTGATCATGATGCCCGTCGGCAAGCCCAGCCCCATCATCCTTCACAAACAAAGCCCCGTCAATCCCCAGCAACACATCCTTGTCCACCATTCCCTTGTCTGACTTCACATACGGAGTTTGCACCTCCAGGTCCCCCACGCGATCCAGGCAAAGATCGAACCGTCTCTCTGACACCTTCTCCCACTTATTGAAGATGATCAAATCCGTATACTTCGCCTGCAACTTCGCCGTATATGATGTATCCTCGTATCCCTCCCAGTTCTCCACGTCGATCACACTGATGACCCCATCCAGCACAAAGCTGCCCGGCTGTTCGCGCTCCAACCGGTTCACTTCCATCGCTAACGTCGCGGGGAATGCGCTCCCGCTGGTCTCGATTACGATGCGATCCGGTTTGACCTCTTCACGGAGCTGGTTCAGCGCATCACTGAGTTGGCCGACGAGGTTGCAGCAGATGCACCCGTTCAGGAGTTCACGGACGCCGGAGATGGATTGTGTTGTGGCTAGTTGGGAGTCGATCGCAACGTCGCCGAACTCATTCTTCAGAAGGGCCAGACGGTAGTTCTGGGGGAGTTGGGGGATAAGGTTCAGGAGGAGGGTGGTTTTTCCTGAGCCCAGGAAGCCGGTCACGATAGTGATAGGGATCGGGGACATTCTCGCTTTTATACCCGTATGAGTCGGTTGAAGTGATCGGGGTTCTTGTCTATGGGTCTAATTTTCTGGTGAGTATGTATATGCGATGCGGAAAACAAGTTTATAGATCTATAACATCCGCGGTAAAGACTGTAGACAGAAAGCAGCGAATGTATGGGTCGATCACGAAGAATGGTTTGATTCCGCGATAAAAAGCGGCGGAGGGGCAATGCGGCGGGCGCCGCTATTCCCGATTGGTAAAAGCCCTAACATACCTGACTCTTGCTTTTACTGATTGGCATTACTTTGCCACCAGGCTTGGTTATTTTGAATGGCAAGAAGCCGATAGGCATAAATATTCATGCTATTCGATTTGTTCCAACAAATATGAATACAAACATAATTCACTATCTATCTCGTCATCTTACAAGATTTCCATATAGCACCCCCAGAGCAACTATGCATTCTAGTTATACTATAAACGTTGTATTAATGTTATAGATCACAGATCCCGGTCCGCACGGTGTTCCTAGGTAGGCCTAGAGTCCAAGCTCTCTGTTCTATATGGTATATACTTGGTAGACCCGTCGGTTTACTATATCAACATTCTATGCCGAGCCCAAAAGCTTGGACAAAGTCTCAAAACATAGCCCGTCGCTTGTTGAGAACCTCGTGGAACGTCTTCTCCTCTGCAACACTGCCGACCACAACTTGGTCCTTACCATCCTGGAGCCCTGCGAATGCCTCATCGATGAACTGATCCAACGGCATACCGATCTTCCGCCCGACTTCAGGTGTCATGTAGTCGTGGAGCTCACCTAATGACCATGTTAGTCCAGAACTAGAAAAGAAGCAATGACCGGGACTGACTCTGCACAGCGGGAGGAGACAGCTCGATCACCTTGACATTTGTCGATTTGAGCTGCTCCCTGAAACAAAGGATGAATGCATTCAGCGCTGCTTTCGCAGCCGAATAAGCCGGCCCCCGGCGACCGACACCCACTAACCCAAAGGGAAAACTCATCCACGCCGTTCTGCCACCTCCCACCGCCTATTTCGGATTAATGGCAATCGCCGACGAGAAGTCAATGCCATTGCGCGTCCATTACTTCACTGTTCCACACCATGGTTGGACAAATCGAGAACAAAGGACTGAATATGGCTGCCTTGGGGCGTAGGTTGATTGTTTCCTAAACAGGCAACCCATGTGGCTCCTTGCTGGCCCAGCCTTGTAGGGCTGGACTCCAATGATATCATCCCTCCCTGTTGATGTCATCGGCGGGAACCATGGGGGTTCAAAACTTCAAGTAGATCACAAATAGCCTCTTGTGTACTTTGCGCAGAACTCGTCTACCAGAGATAAACTTTTGATACATATCGGTTTAGGTGGATACGATCTTGGTCATGGAGCCAACTGTGAATCCTACAGCTGCAGATCATACTGCGTCTACTAGAGCCAATACTGCAACGATTCAAGGACAAGCCTGTGATGCGCCGCGTAATGATTCTTCAACGGCTTCGGAGGGTTCACTCGCAGATGTCACGAATAGCATCGCCAGTGCCGCGGGGAATTCGATCAGCGAGGTTAAAAATAAGCTCACAACTGTCGCCTCCAATGAATCGGTTCAGAGTGTTTGGGAGCAGGTTCGCTCGATGGCTACCGGAAGGAATAACGAGACCCAAGGTTAGTTTGTTCATTCTCTCACCAAGATTACTTTGATGGACTAATATTATGTTGGAGAAGTCGGTACCTCACCCAGTCAGGACGAGATCGACCTCATCGATAGCATGGACAATGAGAAGATTGCCGAGTTCCTCCGGGAAAAGCATAGAAGCGATGCTCACCTACCAAGGAGAAGATAGAGGCTTATATGTCATCTTTATGAGTCGCGCCAATCTTGCAAAAAAAAACTTCATTGAAAGACAAAGACCAAACTATGAAGTAAAAGGTACACCTATGTGGATAATATATGCTCCCTGAACTCCCACGATTTCACGCGACTCTACAAAACTGCTTTGAATCCCCTATCTGGACCGCGATCCAGGCCCAAAAAGTCTGCGACTTGGCCGAGATGGTCAATGCCCCAGAAACCCTCCGTCTCGCCCTTAACATTGGTGCACTCAAACCATGGAATACCAAAAGCACCGGATTTAAACGCTTGATCTGTATTCGCCTTCAAACGCTCCTTGACCTCTGCATGGCCCATCTGCGAATTGATAATTAGCATGTGACAATATACCACCAAAGGAGAGTCCAGAATCCACGAACAGCTTGCAGAATTTCCTGAGCCCCATCCTTCCCAAAGACACTCTCTAGCACCGGAGTAAAGCCTTCGACCTGTCCGATTTTAGCATTCCCCTGCACCCAGAACGAATGATAGAGGGCCTCGATAGTCGGGACAAGCTTCCCCGGCGCCTTCACCGAGACGGCACAGAGCGCGCGTTCTGTCGCCAAAGTCATCGGCGGGAAGCCTTCCGGGGTGCTCTCAACCATGGGAACGGAGAAGTATCGCGCCCAACGGAGCCGTTCCTTTCCGATCCAGGCATCTTTGTCTGGATTACGGGTAGTGTTAGCCTTGGTATAGATCAGGTAGATAGTATCAGAGAATCTCTCTCACTCTTAATATTTACGGGAGGCGTATTCCCGCAGGCGTTCATCAGTCCTCCCAGGAAGATCGGGACATAAGTGATATGGCACTTGGCGAAGACGGGGGAATTCTTCGAACAGTGTCAGCCGGCTCGTCCAAATGTAAACTTATGTGTAAATGGATCTTAGGACATTATATTGTCATAATGGCACACATACCCTCAGTACATGGAATGCGATATACCCGAACGGGCTAACGACATCCAAATATAATGTGATCCGGGGTACAGCCATGGGGGTCTAACTTGGTAGCGTTCAAGCACGCCTTAGGGACTTGATATGGTTGAATGAGATGAAGTGACCGGTCTGGAACTTGCCGTCGACTTGCTGCCCCCGCACTTTTATATCCTCATGTCATTGGTTGGTGGGTGATCTGCCAGCCCCTTATGCCGAGGTTCGGATTTTAACCCCTTTCGATTGGCCCGTAATCCAAGGATTTGACGGGTGGCTCAAGTATATATACATATAATGTGAAAAGGGGCTTGGTATCCTTGTTGGCAGTTTAAACCTCTTAGTAGAAATCACGGTAATACTAGTAGTTGAATGCACCTTCCTGGACATCTACTAGTGTTTGTCTACATGCAGAGGAAGCTGTGAACAAGCCATGGCCTTCCTTCAGAGCCATATGAAAACAGCACGCTCAATGCCTTCACTCATTCAATGAACTACAAGTTACTACGGTGTAGACATCATATTACTGCATTTCTCCTCCCTGTGTGACTTATTTAGTATATAATATGGCTGTATCCACAAGCGTGTCCCGCTCTGACACGGCCTCATGGGCAGACAAGAACCGAATGCCCGTCGGTGCGCGCTACGCTGATATGCCAAGTTCAGATTCCTCGGAAGATTTACTCGCAGACCTTAGTGACTGGTCGGACCCAGAATACCTACAAGACTCTGTGACTCGAAAGCGTCGGCATGGCGTCTATTTTCATCGGCCTCCGGTTTGGGTCTCCAGTTCCTCTCAGATGGAGGACCAGGCGAGGGCTTTTGCAGACTGTAAGATGTGCCATAAATCTGGGGAAGGGTGTATTTGCGATAGTGATAGTCTCCGCGAGACTCTGGACGCCTTAGATAAGGAACGTGGGTCCAACCCTTGGTCAATGCACCATAACCACGGGCTCTTCTGTAAAGTGACAGCTGCCACGGCGGATGCCCTTGCTGATATCAATGCTAGCGTGTCAGGATCAGCAGGCGTTCCTCTTCTAGTGAGTGACATTATTGTACTCGTGACATGTATGCCATACTGATTGATTGCGTTCAAAGCTAGACTGGGATGGCCACAAGCCGAAGGGGCGCAACTCAACTTCAATCACTGCGAGCAGCTGGCTGGACCGCCCCTTATCTTCAGACGAGCCTTTGCCGAATACTCCCCCATCAGAGTGCTCCTATCGTCAAGTAAAGCCAGGTCTTTGCACGCGCTTAAAATTCCAGAAGGACATACGACTTGATGCCGGGGAGAGATGGGCTCTACAAGAGGGGTCGCTGGTGATTTGCATCGATCCCTCGTATACCTTGCTTGACCACGAACGACGATCGGACGAATTCGAGATCGTGGGTGGTGATGTCTACATTGTATGTCGCATATATGCAGATCTGTGGGCTCTCTGTGTCAAGGCTTCGTTCATACCCTCGTGCGAACCATCTCGTGGAATAATGAACGACTCTGTCCGTCTGGGCTTCCTGCCTCTCTGTGCAGTGACATTGGCAGCGAACTTCAGTGCTTTTTCCAGGAGGTGTTCCTGGCTTGCTCGTAGTGACTCAGACGAGTCGAGGTATCCTGGGAATGGGTTGCCCGTCATGCCTCCGTCTCGTTCTCACAGCCTCACTGCTAGCAAGCAAATTTTCAAAGGAAACAAGCATTACCTCAGGTTACCTGGTATAGCCTATGATACCTTTCAAAATACTTCCTTAAGCAGTGATTCGGATTTCATACCTCTTGACTCTACCCTTGAGCAAGTTCTTTCCCGAGTAGGGAGCCAGAAGCGTCGGCCAGTCCGCTCAGGAGGTCGCTTTTCCTTACACAAAATTTGGAACAATTGCAAGGCGTCAGGTATCTGGAAGCACGATCAAATCAAAGTATTACTGCCGTATACGCCTCATAGCCAGAGTTCGAAAATCTGGGCGTCAGAAGGGGGAGGCCGACACTATGTAGGTAAAAAGCGAAGGAATAATTTCTCACCAACTGAGAAGTTGATGTGTCTGGTTAGGACGTCCTGGTAGTAGCCATCGAGATACCTGAATAACCATGGAGCTTGACGACTTGGATAGATTTGGGGATACTATTGTGTCAAGGAACTAAGTCCTAGTCTCAGGTTGTGAAGTACGTGTAGTTGTGGAAAGACTAATGGGGCTTTGTGTTGATAGAACGATGATCTTCCAGAACAAGTCCGAATACTATCGAGGTTATTTTACGTCTTTCGTAAACGATGTCTCCTTGCCATGGTAAGTCTATACCTAGGCGCCCAAACACTGAAGGCCGATGTGTAAGTGCATGTACGCAAATTCGACGTAGATATATGCAGTTACAAGAGTAGCCATCACTACCTCATGGTTAGCCATTAGATGTGTCGTAATTATGACGAGAACGCATTATCCCCGCAGCCAATTACGGCAGAGTGGAAAGGACCCAAAGAGAAGCGAGAAGGCAGAGTCAGGATACGAAACATACTGTCATTTTGTATCTGCAAGTAGGAGGGCGAGAGAGTATCTCTCATACCCATTTGCGCCAAGCGAATTGTTAATGCACTGGGAGGGCTTTCATGTCGCGATGGGCTTTGAATGTCTTGTCTTGTTTCCATAACAATACAGTTCAATCTGGTCAAACTGGTCATGCTGTGAGGGCAATTGCATACTGTGATGATGCAGGCTGGCGAGTCCTGATGACTCCATCAAGTCAAAGAAAACGGTCTCACTCTCATGTCGTCTTTTCAGTGCCACAAGAATGATAGCATCCGGTGACGACTGAACGAGACGGTCCAGGACCGAAATTAGGGCAGGCAAACTGTCGGCATTGTAGGTACAGTCTGATACAAGGACAAAGTCGATAGAGTCGTTACAAAGGTCTTCTGGGAGCTCTTCGTCCCAGTCTAAAGTTCGATACTCAAGGTTGGAGGATGGTGTCGGTTTGGCGACTGCTATGTTTTTCGTTATAATTTCTTCGACCTCTGGCAGGTCTGTGAGTAGGACAGAGCATTGGGGAAGTACTTGCGCTAATGCTATCCCGACAATGCCGCATCCTGATCCTAATTCGATGACACGAAGAGGCGCAGTGCGTTCTGGTTGTAGTAGTTTTGAAAGTAGTGGTACTGTGATTGCTGAGTCTCCAGCAGCTAACTGCTGGAGATAGATCACCGATGCAATGGCTGCATCCCTGGTTTCTAGTCTTAGAGCCACGGGTATGATATCGGAATGGAGAGGCCTCACCAGATATGACGGGCAATGCTATTTCCGGTTTCTTCCCATATTCTAAGGTCCAGGTGACCCTTCGGCCCAAAGCGTCTTTCGACGAGTTTCTCGGCTACCAGAGACTCTGGCCCACCAAAAGGTGCACTCCATCCGGAAATCACTAGAGGAACACCGGGGTTACCTAGTAGATTGTCTGGAGAAGGCGGGTGGGGCTTTCGATGATCAGCTGCAGCGACACTTAAAACAATGGCATGTTGGGAAAGCTGTGGGTGGAAAGGCCCCAATAATATAGCAAGTTCCCGTTTGCCAGCTTTCCAACTCAATGGCTCCTGGTGTAGAACCTTTTCCGATTCCTTGAGAGTCAATGATACGAGTAGGTCCACGTCCTGAGCTAGAAACGCATCTCCCAAGTCCGTGGTGATGCAGATAAGCGCCGAAATAGACAAAGACCCCGCTTTCTGCTTCTGGGCCCTTGGGGTTTTGAGAAAACGAATATAATAGACCATGATGAAGGGGAATATATATATTGATACTATCTGGGGGAAAATTGATATGGTTAGACTCTGTGTACTATCTTTGGATAGGCACGTGGTGCGCTGACTAAGGTGAGGGTGATGACATTGTGGAGATCGGAGTTGCGTTCCTCAGGCTCCATCTTGACCCCAGGATCACTTCACCTCGCCTACTTTTAATAGAATTTCTCTGAAGCTTGCGGACGGGTATCAGTGGCAGCAACATATCCCACAGGCTATTTCAATAGTTCAATGGGGCGTCTTAGGTGACGTTGGAGTGACTTGTGCACACCGCACCCAAAGTCGTTGCGTGACGGTTATCAAACGTCCCATCCCCCAACCGCTATCCAAGATGATGCGACCCAGAGACCCCCGTGTCCGCCAGACTATCAACCAGATCTCCCACAACCTTGAAACTGCAAATGAGACAGCCCAAGAAGGGCTGTATACCTTCTCCTATCACTACATCCTACCATGCTTCGCGACGATTGGGAATTGCATTTACGCATGCGCCTCACCTTGCCTCCCAAGCCGGGAAGACCAGCTTCGTCGTCGGCGAAGGGGTCGCGCCGAGGCAATTTTTGACTTCTATGATGATTGGGACAATGATGATGCCGACGACAGTTTACTGGGGTGGGGTACTGATGAGCTTGATCGCTTATTAGCAGGCAGTGGGTTGACGCGTGGAAGTTCTGAACAGCCCCGCAGGCAACGGAAGATGAGTTATGGCACGCGACGGGCGAGGAGAAAAAGTAGTGTTTTAGTTCCAGATGATCGGAATGATCCGACAGTTATTCCAAGCTCATCGTTCCTGGGTTTCCTGGAACGATTCCCATGGAGGTTCGGGGCCCGAGGTTTAAAATATCAACCCTCCGTGGCTGACCTTCAAGAGCATCCTACCGGATTGCGGATGCATGCGCATGAAGACGAGCCTCTGATGGAAACAGAGGAGGAAAATGAAGGTCCAAGTTCTAATGGCAAAACCGGAAGGTATCGCAGCTCAACCCAGTCGTCACGAGAAACTGTAAATTCTCTGAGTTCGCGTGGTGATCTGATCCCTAGTGACGAGGAGGAAGATGCAGTACCGTTGGATGATGAGTTTGCCATGGCGTTGGGCAGCCGTCGAGGAACTGGTTTCGAGTCGGAAGATCAGTTCAGTGATAAGCCTGCGAGTATGAGGTCTGTATCAGGCTCATTTAGCTTGGCGTCGAAAGAATCGAAGAAGAGAAAGAAGCGAAGCAGTCGACTACGATCTCCTCAAAATTCTTATATTGATGTCGCACAGGATATCACCGCTCCATCAATAGTTGATCTACACAAGGAGGAGGAACAAGCAGAGCGCCTGGAAGAATTAGAGATCATAAGGAAACGACTTGCTGCGCGACAACTGGCTTCAAGCCGCGGCCTGAGTCAAGCGAGAGACCAGGTATGCGAGTGTAGCCTGCTTCTATGATATGACAGCGAAAGCTAACAAGACGAACGTCTAGTCCACTCCACAACCCCTTGTACTTCCCTCTCCAACTGTCTCTACGGAGACTGCCCGCCCTGAACTTTCTGTTAACACCCCACTCGAATCTGCAGGAGAAAGTGAACTCTCCACTGGAAGAATGTCTGGCGATTTTTCACAGACTGAACCATTCCCGCCTCTACCGTTGACATCACCGGCGGCAAGTGAAGGCCTGGAGCCTGAAGACCAGCCGGACTCAGCAAAAATCAACAGAGAAGACCCCCCGAATCATTGACCTGACAGCAACTAATAGTCAAAGGAACCAATACACCAACATCTAAGTCAAGTGGATCTTTGGCACTAGAACTCATGTACAGGTAAAGCAAGGTGCAGTGACATCTTGTGCTATATGGCCGCCATATAGCTTTGTACAGTATAACGACTGATGAAATGACATATCTATACCCGATACGATCAAAAAGGAATGAAACGTACTAGGCCCTTGTGCTTCCACATTATAGTTAGTAGCCTGCAGCTTCAACAGAGAGGTGTCTGTTCCCAATAGAAAGATAGTTCATGATCTATACTCAAAATACGGTTGTACTAGATCTAAAAATTCACTCATAATAAATAAGAATCAGTGCCCGCTGCTTTCCCATGACCGAAAGCTGGATTAAACCTTGACATCCGCACACGAGCCAGCTGTTCTGTGGAGCCCCACTGTTTGTTGGAGTCAAAGCTATTGGGACTGGTGGTGGTCAGGCCATCGGTGTATCGTGTTGATGACATTGCTGGATGCTGCGAGAGCTCAGCCTGTGCCGACCCGACTGAAGGTCCTTCGAAAAGCCAGGACGGGTTTGCGAGTGACATTATCTCTTGATCGAATATTGTCCACGAATGCTCCAAGTTGGGTGGTGGCAAAGGCAGCTCATTGTTCATATCAGGGGGAATGTGCATGCTCTGCATACTGGACTGAATTCGATCTGCAAGCACTCTATGAATGCTAGGTACCGAAGGATCGCTTCGCTCTAGGCTGTTGATATGTGTTTGCATAAGACTCAGATCTAGAAAGGATGAGTATGATAAGAAACCTTGCTTGAGAAAACAATATCTCCATACCATCTTGGCGTATCATACCATCCTCCACACCCCGCAAGAGGAGCATCGCCGCCCATGTTATCATCTGTATCGTTTAGTCTTCATTTGCGGCCTAATACTGCGTGGTAGTACGCACTATGAGGTCCCAGTTAGACCATATACTAGCATCATCTTGTCGGAGTCGTAGCACGGTTCGTGCTGATACTAGCAATTCATGCCTTTCTGATGGAGTAATATTCGTGGAGCTTATGTCAAATCCGCGGGCTGGATGATAGATCGACAGCACATATAATTTGTGAAGGTGGTATTGTAGAAGAATGAGTATTCCTCGACGGTCTGATGGAGAGGGTTCTTCAATAACAATGTTAGCACAATTTCACAGGAGACCGAATTAATCTACGCCTACGAGATGTCCCATTATATCGGACAAGCCAGTCATCAAGTCTCCTTGCCCAGAGTCGGATAACCCTAGAGTCTTCCTCCGTGAAGGGTGTGCGGACATGACTTATGGTGTCGATTCCAGTCGAGCTAACGAAGGACCATATAGTAGGTAGCCCCCGCCCCACAAAATGACTGAGTCCCTGGTGCATAATCTGTGTTAGACCTCGATATGCATCCCCCTCGTGGCTGTTTAATTGTTGGAGAGCTGGAGTTGGTGGTTGCCTAGGTAGGAGAGGATGACACATGTGCATGGAGGCATGCTCGATATCAATCACCTAAGGTAATTAGCACTTCCCCTAAGCGCCACAGGACATATCATTTTACCTGAATACCAGAAAGTAGACCACACCAGTCTTGAGTCAAGTCATTCAAGTCAGTTGGGCAACTGTCCAGCAAGAGTCGGTAGGCTATTGCTATCCACTTGTCAGTGGTCTCAATGTAGGCCTCAGATACCAGACTAGCCATTATAAGGCCCAGGATATTCTGGAACGTTTTGTCTTCATCTTTACAACTTAGATGATTCCGACCTGCAGGATTTGATCTAAACCCACCGAGGACATTTGGTAGGGGAGTTGGGATAACCAGTTCAGTGATTGCATCACAGGTGGCTACAAAATACTCACCCGCCAATGACGCAAGTTCCTTGATTGGGTTATGGAGTGCAGATATGTAGAGCACGGAAGCAAGCAGTAGGGGCGAAGGGGAGGAGAAGGCTCTCTGGTCTTTTAGAAAGTGCAATAGTGGTAGATTATTGAGAAATCTATGCTTTTATGAGCTTCCGCCATTCGGAAGAATGAAGACGGTGAAGCAACATACGTTTCCCATAGACCCTTAACTGTGGGGTAAGACCAAAGACTATTATCTTGTGGTGGGCGAGTAGTGAGTCTCAGATGCCTGACAGCTTTCAAGAGCTCTGAATTTGGCATGCTGGCCTCTTCGTCTTGATCTGAATCAACACCAATTGTCCCTGCGGCATATCTTCCTTTATAAATTCCTAGAATGGCCTCAATTCGGTCCAGCCGATTGAGAACTGACTCTGCAGTTGGATCAGACTGTGCCGAGTGAGGCAAGAAAGTTGTGCATTGTCCACCCTCCGATAATGATACAATCTCATGGGCAGCCGCAGCCTGAAATCAGTAAGCATAATACAACCCTAACCATCACTCTCGGGATTAGTGCCAACATTAGACCTAGGCTTGAATACACAAGCGGCGTTTGCGTGGCGACATCGACGACATGGAGGAGTCCCATCGACCTCGCATTTCATCTGGAAGCCTGTCAGCACATTGTTCGCATGACAAAGGTATCTTACTAGCGCCTAACCTTCAACCTGCGGCAGTTGACTATACATTGTCAGGATCTTGGCAAGTGTTGCTTACATGCAACATAAGAGTCCACCTACCGCATGCTTTGGTAGGCTTGGGGCCCAGCACAGTGGCATCGCTTTTCTTCATGATGATAGGCACGGTGGCATGGCATGGCATTGCATACTTCTCTAATATTTGGCCTGGTGAGTAGAGGTCACTGAGATCATTATCTAGGATAAATTGTAAAGTCCGAGATAGCAACAAGAGACAAAGATAAAGAAGGAATGAACAGGAGACCACGAGATCTACATGACCACGTGAGAGGCACCACAACAATAAATGGGGTTGTCATCCGTCAGCTCTTTGGATTATATTTTGGTGAGTGAACAATTAAATTATCGCCGTGGTCTTACGCTCACTCACGGGAAGTATCATTACTGTTCCTATGTAGTACAAGAAACGCCGCCTTTTCTGTTACCTCGGATATGCAAGGAACAGAGAAGATTGTCCCGTTTCCCTTAATGATTCCAACCTCGACTACAAATTCGATACGGCTTCCAATGCCACGGCACAGAAACAGGTAACACACACCTCACTTTCAATGGAGATACCAACAGGTGCTATTCGTCCGCAAGGTGTGTAATACTCTGCCGGGTATGTTCTCACGTTTTTAGTCCGCCCTGCGTAGACTGACAGAGATTTCAGGGAGGGTCTGAAAAACGGAGATCAGAAGTGTACCGCTAAGAGGTTCACATTCCGTTTGATCTTGCGCTTGATTATTGCCTTTCCTGCCCATCAATAGGGTAAGAAAAACAGCCATCTACCGATCATGGAGATGAAGATCGGTAATGGAGAGGGTGTTCTGCTCTGGAGACGCGCGTTCATGGTGTATTGGTTGTGCATGGTAATACATATGCACTGACCAAAGAGGGGGAGGGAAAAAAAAGGCGAGTGGGGATATGAGGTATAATACAAAGCCAAAGTCTATATACACACATAAACACAAAGGTCATATAAAAATACAGGGATATATGATACATGTGCTCATCCAAATATTAAAGTCATGAAGAGTTGATACTTCCCAATGTCTAGGCGGTAGTAGAGGCGTTCTCGGGATACGTTTCAGCTTCACCAGCGTTCATAGAAAGCTTCCGTACATCCCAATCCTCTGCCCAATCCTTTTTCTCGCCTAACAGGCACACAGATTGCCGGGGGCCGTCCACCAAGAAAGTCTGTGCAACCTCATTAACATCCCTCGCGGTGACATCGAGGAGCTGCTCTCTCCAGCTCTGATCCATTTCATGCGTGACGCCACTCATGAAATATCTGGATCCCTCCTCATCAACACTCATCGGGGCGTCCAGGCCTTGGAAAATACCTAGTTTGGCCTCATTTAATTCCCGCTCAGACCAAGCACGGTCACGGGCGAAGATGCCACTGTTCTGGAATACCTTCAGGGTATTGAGGGGGTTCGGGTCCCGATAGCTGGTCAAGGCAAAGATACCCTTGACCGGACCGTTGCTGGCTGCTGCACCATACGCACCTCCTTTCTCCCGAATCTCCGGGTGAAGATAGTTATGTGTGAGGAGTTGAGAGAGCACGCTAAGTGGCGCGCTGGATTTGTGAACGAATGGGACTGTTTGCATAGCTAGCCCCGAGTAGTATACCTTGTAAGGCATATCGTAAAATGCTTTACTGGAAATTTGTTGCACTGACCCGGCATCCGCAGACGTAGGGGATCGGATCTGGGGCAAGCCAGCCAGCCATTTCTGCAAAACGCCTTCATTCTGATGTGCGCTGCTCGGTTCACACACCATGCGAACACGGAAACTAGATGATTTGGAGATGGCGAAAGATTGGATCAAACGAAGTTTCTCAATCAATTCTGCCAGCCGCTCGGACGAGGTCTCGGCATCGCGCAGGAGATTAGCAGTAGCCTGTAGCTGCGCCAGACCGGACTGTTGCTCCTGTACCCAAAAGCTGCGAGAAAGACTTGCTGCTGCAGCATTGAGGGCAAAACGATGACCAGATGCGGCAACACTATCCAGCGCACCATTTGTAGTCAGTCGCAATAATTCCTGGATCATAGCTGGCGCATAGGCACTAGTAAAGTCCGTCTCCGTGATAAGAGTGGTCAGGATTTCTAACATGTCGGGAATATTTTTATCCAAAGCGAAACCAGAGAACTGAAGCCCCTCGTTAAACTTGCCTAGTTCAGTTGGAGACGAAGTGTGGAATGTGGACGATGAAACCCCGCCGGTCTTCAACTTAATCAGGTCTTCCCATTGCTCCATGGTTTTATTGGCAGTGCCCAAACGCATGACGCAATCGTTGAACAAGGGCATGAGCAGCCGAAGGTCATCCGGAAGATCTTCGAAAGCATTCAATGCTTGGAAATATGTCAGGCCATTGGTTGGAGCCTCGCGCCAGACAACATCGATGTCGTCAACCTTCGACTCCCGCACCGGCTTGCGCTCTTTCTCTCGCGAAATGTCCTCAACACGCAGGGAAGGCAAGCATCCAAGGTCAGCATGTTGTGCCTCCTCTTGCGTCTTGAGCAACTGTAACTCCTGCTCCCGGAGAGTAGAGATAGCTTTCTCCATAGATCCATGTTGCTCAACAAGTTGAGTGAGCTTATTTTCCTTCCGAACCATTTCCTGCTGGTCTAGTTCTTGGTGAAATGTAGGCGTGCCAACCATGGTAAATGTCAGGCAACTATCGTTCATTAAGTACTTCTGCATCAATGACTCGAGATAGCCTCCTTGCTGGTATCTCTTCTTGAATTCGTCGATGACCTCATTCCAAGCGAGCTCCTTCATTGGGTTTACACCGTTGAACCATGAGGAAATGGTCTTTTCCATCACACCAATACCAAAGTTTGCCGTTTTGTGTCTCAGCGCGAGCTCTAACTGGTGAAGGAAGCCTTGAACCTTCTCGTCACTGAACCCAGCAGAAAGACTGTCCTGATACACCTTCTGAATAGCTTCTTTGACCTTTGGAGCATCCTCCTCGCCAACGCCAGTGAGGCCGACAGAAAAGATAGGTACTTTTCCAGAGGTGTCAAGGCCAGTATTGGGAGTAAATGACGAGCCCAAGCCGCTCTCGATCAATGCACGGTACATCGGAGAGCCATAGCCATCTAGCAGCAAGGACGACAAGATGCCGGTTGAGAAAGTTTCAACAACGTCGCTTGTATCTCCTAGATACCAGGAAGTTGAGGTCTTATATTGTTTGTCTGCGTCGGCGAATGTATCAATAGGTCCTGGAACAGTTATGTTTGAAGGACCGCGGCTAAGGTCAACGGGGAGCTTGACGGAGGTGTCGGCCTCTCCCTTCCCAAAACCGTCCAATACATCACCAATCTGCTTCAAATGGGCACTGAGAGGCATATCACCGTAGGTCAAGAATTTGGCGTTACTAGGATGATAGTTTCGCTTAGAAAATTCGACCAGTTGCTTGTGTGTCAAATCAGTGATGTACTGGGGATCTCCCCCAGAGTTGTTAAGCGCTGGGAAGATGCTCTCCCGATATTTAATATAATAAAGGTAGTTTGCGTCTGATATCTGGCCTTTCATTTCGTTATACACGACGCCTTTGAACAAGACATCCTCCGGCTTTCCGTCCTGAGCGTCACTAGCGCGCGGGTCTTCCGGTCCTAGTCGCCATCCTTCTTGTCTGAAATCTTCCTCCTTGAGCAGCGGGTGAAGTGTGGCATCCAGATAGACCGATAGAAGGTTTTGGAAATCTTGCTGATTCGTTGTCGCGAATGGATAAGTAGTATGGTCGGAGGAGGTGAAAGCATTCATGAAATTCGAGAGAGACCGGGGTAGCATCTTAAAGAAGGGATCACGGACAGGATATCTATTAAGGTATTTTGAATTAGCATATGATCTGTTTGACAGCGGGGAAAGGCCCGTTCAAACATCTTTCATCAGGCTTGGTCTGAGCTTGAGCCAGGGAATGCTTACTTTTCGCTACCGCATAGCGTAGTATGTTCCAAAATATGAGGAACTCCTGTCGCATCAGGAGGATTGGTCTTGAATCCCACCCCAAACACATTATTCTTGTCTTCCCTCGCCACATGAAGGTAATCTGCATCTGTTTTGTCATGCTTTAACCGGACCGCGGTGAGGTGTAGCTCTGGAACGTGTTTCTTCTCCTGAACAGTGAAACCATGAAGTTGTTCTCCCACATTAGGATAGCTCTCGAGGTTAGTTACTGTCGACGCAGCTCTCCGAAATTGATTCCATCGAAGTGAAGGGCTGTTGGACCTTAGCCAGCGTCCATAGGTAGGTTGCCGCAACACAGGCACTCGGCTTTTGCCTGTCCCCAAAGAACGCAACATCGCGTTGCACAATATGAAATAAGACAAGGAGAGCCTAGTGGCACTGCTTATAGAGCTGCGGAGTTTTTTTGAGGCGCGATCGGCCCTTGGTATGGTTCTTCACCCGGCAAGAAAGCCCGCTGGCGTTTGTAGGGTACCGAAGGCAATGGATCGGAAGAACCACTCGCACGTCGGCCGGACAGACCGGGAAGAGGTGCAAAACCTCAGGCACGCAACAAAATGGAGGTAGACGCTCTTCAAGTGGCCCAGGGACTTATTTGAATGACTGTTCGGTGGTGTGTAACTGGTTTTGGGCAATTGGTGAGAAGGAGAGTGTGGCAGTTGGAGAGGTTGGAGAACTGAACTGGATTGAAATTACTCATTGGCTGCCAAGAGAAGTTTTCGAATCGGGGTTAGTGCTGGTCAAGTGCGCAACATCCCCCCTCTTACCACTCACTGGCTTCCATTCGATCCTCTCTTCCCCGGCAAAGATTCTCGAAAGACCTGCCGCTCAATCGTCGATTCCCACAAGACTGCTTGCTGCACTTTTACAGCATACATTGCTGTTTGCCCTCCGCTCGTGTGTTTTTTCCAAGACTCTGCAGAACTTGGATTGCGTAGGATCTTGGTGATCCATTACCTCCGAGTTCTGCAAGTCTAGCAGAAGGCTACCAGGGTTCTCTCCGCTAGTGCTCGGCCTGAACTCGAGTGTCACTCTTGAGACCGTCGAGACCTTATCTATCAGGGTAGGATTGGGAAGTGCCAACGAACGTTACGGTTTTGCACCAGTGCCACCGATTGGTTACGCCCACCTCGCTCACCGTCCCGTCTGCGCATTTTTCAATTTCGTGGATTGGCCACGCGACCACCGCCGACCAAGCCGAAAGCCGCACAAGTTACACTCGCCCTATCCACTTGGTAACAGCCGACAATGTCATCTGCAGCCATGTCGAAAAAGAACAAAGGGAAGAAAGTGGCCGATCCCAATGAGACTTCCAAACTCCTTGCCGCAAAGATCTCGCAGCTGGAGCAGGATGCTGCTGGTGAGAAGGACCAAGAAGCGGAAATTGGTGCGTCATCTGCCTCTGGGGCTTGGTTCCGCAAACGAAATATTTGTCGACTCGGTTTTTTTTGGGGGGTGTGGAGGATAGGTACTAACTGACTACAGAGCGTGAAGTTAAGAAAGCTACACGAGACCTGAACCAGCTCCTCAGCAATATCGAATCTCCAATGACCCGTCTTGAAACCGTACATAAGAAGTATACTGAACTGTTGGCCGACATGAAAAAGCTAGATCGCGACTATTCCAAAAGCAAGAAGCGGGCCGATCAACTACAAAAGGACCAAGACAAGGGGAAGTCGGAACTGAATAAGACTGTGACTATGAAGGATAAACTGGAGAAGCTGTGCAGGGAGCTCACGAAAGAAAATAAGAAGGTCAAGGTGGGTTGCTCTTACTCGCAATGATTCCGATGCGGAGAATTGATGGCCTCTGCTCCACAGGACGAGAACAAGAAGTTGGAGGATACCGAAAAGAAAGCGCGACTGATCGTGAATGAACGTCTTGATTCTCTTCTGTATGATATTCAAGACGTTATGGCTGCCAAGGGTAATCCTCGAAGTGAAAAAGTTGATATTGACCTGGACGAAGCGTAAGTACTATAACCCGGCAAGGCGATTTCTGTTGCTGAGGGTTTCGTGTTTTAGGCTACGTGCCAAGATTAAGACCATTGGCGAGAAATTTGAAACGCGAGAAGTGCATTACAAGTCACTCTTGCGCAGCAAGGACGCGGAGATACAGAGCCTCACTGCTAAGTATGAAGAGCAACGCCGTGCTGCCGAGAACGAGGCCGCTCGCTGCCGCGCTTTAAGTTCACAAGTTTCTACATTTTCACATACCGAGGCCGAGTTACGCAGCCAGCTCAACATCTACGTGGAGAAGTTCAAGCAGGTATGGATCGAGATCGATGACCCGATTCGACTCTGGTTTTGATCGACTGGTAATAATAATATCGCAGGTGGAGGATACGTTGAACAACAGCAACGAATTGTTTTTGACTTTTCGCAAAGAAATGGAAGAAATGTCAAAAAAGACCAAACGCTTGGAAAAAGAAAATCTCACCCTCACCCGTAAACACGACCAGACGAACCGCAATATACTTGAAATGGCCGAAGAACGTACCAGAAACCACGAAGAACTTGAGAAATGGCGGAAGAAGAGCCATCACCTCGAAGCACTTTGCCGTCGAATGCAAGCTCAAGGTCGTGGACAAGGTCTTGCGGCCGATCTAGATGGCGATGATGAGGGGACTGAGAGCGAATACGACGAAGACTACGAGGATGAGGAGGATGATGACGAAGAAGGCATCAGTGATGAAGAGTACGAAGACAGCACGGACCGGGACATGAACGGAGACCGCAACATACCACCACAGCAGCCCGAGAAGCCTGTGTTTGGACCGCCGCCACCACCGAACCTCTTGGAGGCCCGAGCGAACGGGAACAAAGCTGTGCTCAATGGATGTCACTAACGATCGTCCTGTCTCCCCGCTTTTGTCTGCTTTTTTTGTTGAGTATGGTTTTCTTGGACCTATCGCCGAACTTGGATGGTCAGGGCTCTCTCTGTCTAAGTTGGCAATGTCCCAATCCGGCTGAGTGCTATTACCAAATCTACATTCGGCAATTGACCCTGTTAAGCTGAATTGGCATCGAAAGGAAGATGCGCACTGGCAGGCTGTCGTGTGGTGTGCTGAGCTATGTTCCGTGTCGCATCTCTATGTATGCAAATTTTGGGGCAATAGGGCTTCTTGCATGAGGATTGTCGCTTGCCATTGCTCTCTCATGCTACTAGTTAGCTTTAGAAAGGCAGTAAAGCATGATCTTTCAAGTTTTGTTCCCTTCGTTCTGTACTTGTATGTACATGTGAAAACATGAATGTCTAAACGTTATCATTATGTTACTATGAAATAAATCCCGACGTTATCCAACAGGGCAGCGTCATATCCGAGATACATCCCACTCAAAGCTTGCTAGCAGATCCTACCTTGATATATGACCCTCCTGTTCGCAGCACCTCCACGGCCTGCTGGACCATTTCCCGTACGATCTCACCGGCAGGCTTAATCTCCTTGATGATACCCGATACATCACCCATCAGATAAGGAATCTCAATGTCCTCCTTATCGTTGTTGAAATCATGTTCAATAGGGACAATTCCCTTAGCCGTCAGCCGGGAGATTTCCTCCGGTCGTTTTTCCCAGTCCTTGATATAATCGTTGGGCAGCATACGCAGCGGCCGACCGGAAACGACCAAGGTCCGCTTCGTCTCTCCAAATTGAGCCCCAACGACAGCCTCCTTGTGCAACTGACTAGCACTGCTTTCCTCCGAGGCAACGAACCTGGTGCCAACCCAGACACCGACAGCGCCCAGCATCAGTGATGCGGCCAAACTGCGTCCATCGTTGATGCCACCAGCGGCCACGACCAGGGCAGGTTGACCCGTCAGCGGGCTCTTGTACTTCTTTGCCACGTCGACGACTGCCGGGACAAGCACGGAGAAGGGGATGTCGCCTGTATGACCACCCCCTTCACCACCCTGGGCGCATACAATGTCCACGCCCAGCTTGAGTGCCTTCTCGGCGTGCTTGGGTGCTCCGACCATGTTCATGATCAAGATGCCGGCGTCGTGTAGTCTCTTGATGACGCGCTCGGGGGGTACGCCCACTGCGGAGACGAAGAGCTTGGCGCCATGGGAGATTACGACGTCAATGAGCTGGTCCAGCTGACCGTGGGTGTAGTCGTGGTTTGTCGCACGGGCGCCTCCGCCAACCTGAGGTAAGGCTAAATCAACGCCGAAGGGGAGAGAAGGGTCCCGTAGGGAAGCCTTGAGTTCCATCAACATCTCTGAAAGTTGCTCGGGCGTGTAGCCCAGACCGCCGACTGTCCCCAAACCGCCTGCGTTAGAAACAGCGGCCGCCAGAGGGGCCCCAGAGGCACGCGCCATTCCTGCCAGCAGGACGGGGTGCTGGATCTTGAGCAGTGAGCAGAGGGGAGTTTGAAGAGACATTGTAGTAGTCAGAGTAGAAGAATCTTGTCCAAGAGTAGAGTACAGTAAGATACGTGGTACAATGGAGATGCTATAGTCGTCAGTCAGTTATAGGGGGTTTAAGAATCACTGTCCGAAGTCACTGTTGGCATCTCTTACCGTCCGGTACTCTCTAGCCGCGGCAGTTCAAAGTCTGGCAGATGGCCTTTGTGCCAGTAACGGGCCAATGGGGTTATTTAGGCGGCATTGTTGAGGAGCGACATGGAATTTGAACAGCTTGGGGTCTGCTGCACGAATGCGGGGAAGCGGAGCCCATAAAGCTGATGATCGCCGCCCGAACCGAGGCTTCGGCTCTCTTTTTGCTCCATTGCCTTCTCACCACATGAACCTATTCTTAGTTATGCTCATTATACGCCGCTGTATAAGATTTCATAAACTTTCTTTGCTTTTCTTTCTAGTCAGAGCTATGATATCTTCTCACGAGCTTTGTACAGTTCTTCATGACAATTCTTCATGGCAATCGACTTCGATGATTTCCCATGCCATTGCCAAGCTTGGCTCCAAGATTAAGGAGTCACTGAAGAATAAAAGGTTCAGCAGTAGGCCAAAGACAGTGACAATGGTCCTAGAACATAGCACCAACGGCCGGCAGACAACATAGGAGATAAGCTGCCTGCTAGAGCAAGACTTCCCTTAGAGTTGTAATACGGTTATGACAACGGAGAGGAAGAGGCTAGCCGGAATTAAACCAACATCTCGACCAGCTGTTGCCGCCTGTGTCCTCTCCATCATCGCCTGTGTTTTGGTTGCGGTTCCAGTCAAGATGGCAAAGTTGTCTCGCGCGTTCCTTCAGATCGAGAAATCAGTGACTGTATCATTCAACGAGACTGCGCACATCGAAACTTACGTTGTCACAGGCGGTGCGCCATTAAACTCAGCTGGCTCTTGTTTTGGCTCGCGCGATAGATCTTGGGCGGCCGTTGCTGTCGTATCCACCACGGGCCTGGTCTTCGTCGGCTGAACATCATTGGCAACAGGTCCAGGTGGCGGCTGATAGCCTACTGCTCCTTCAGGGGCAATTCCGAGCGACCCTGGTAGGCTTCGTTGAAACAAACGGTATGGCTGGTTTCTCAATAAGGCATTCAACTGGAATGAAGCGGCAAGGACATATGGCAACAGGCTGAGAACCATGAAGCTGCCTATCAGGCTGCTGAATGTACGTGACACCCTCATATCCAGAGGAATGAGCATATACAACACTGCTGATGGTGAATTTGGCCCTTTTTAAGGTGGCCTAGAGAGCCCCTAGAATCCACAAGAGTTCAACTTCTGGATATCGAGGAGTTAATATGAGGTTACTGGTATATTAGCAGGTAAGTATGGAGCCTGGATGGAAGAGGCATATTATACTTGGAACAGGCGCCCCTTCCATTTCCTGCCTTGTACCTGCCTCAGTTCCAGAATATAAGGAAAGGAAAAGGAAAGAACATGACCAATCAAGTGAATACTGCAGTCCGTCAACAGAGGAAATGACCGATCAAGAAGTGAATCAAAGTTGATGCAGGAATGCGGCATGCGGAATGGACAGCAGCGTGTCCCCTGCGGCTGGAGCCATCCCTTGCAACTGGAAATTGTTCCTGCGATAACTTACCTATTGCAGTCTACTGAATAATAGCATATTAATCTACCTCACCTCTCAGATTCTGCACGACAGTAATTAGGGACGTGGACATGTTTTAATGGTTCTGCCGTCGCATAACATGCACGTTTCATATCTAGAACAGAAGTCCAACTAAGACATTCAAATGAGTGTTCAAAGCCCATCAAGGGATCTCTATAAATTACAGTTCCCCCTTGGGAGCCCAAAGCTCGTATCCCTTATCAGGTCGCAGCATTTCGGCCCGGGGGGCTCGCTGTCAAGGCCGAAAACTGAACCTCTCAAGCGACGTCTTCGCCATATCCCCTCAATTTAGGGTAGCCTGGAGCTGCTAACCGTATCTCAACATTGCTAGTTCCTCACTCAAGGATGTCTGGCTCGACCCAATATAGACTAATAAGAGGTGTTGGTTTGAGTTTTGCTTGCGCTACTCTAATCTGGTAGCAGTGTGCTCTTCTCTAAAAGTATAGGGTTGATTTATAGCTCAATTGAATTATTGCAACAGCTTAAGAGACGCTGGAAGAATATATAGTAGTCCATAGGGCATCCAGCGGCGTTGGCCAAAAGCGGTACTGTAATTACGCCGCCCGCGGAACGCCAAAAGACGCGTGATTCGCGTTGGACTTCAGTTGCAAGATTGAGCAAAGTAGCACCCATCATCCACAACACATCTTACCTTTTTCGGGCTGATATATACTCCTCGATTAAAACATCCCGGTCTTCCTGCGACGAAGGAGCAACTTCACAACATGGCGTCTGGCAGTACGGAAAACCGATTTCTGCGCCCTCCAAGGTGTGCCCACCCTTCCTGCGCGCCCAGCTATAGGGTCAATCAGTGACTGACATTCATTCTCCTCTTAATCGCAGCGACGAAGAATATGCACCAGTCTATCGCTCCTCCTCCAGTTATAACCCTCTTCATACCTTTCAATTGCCGTCTGGCCAGGAAAGACACTATCAACAACAATATGGCGATATGTACTTCTTGCGACTTGCCAAGTTAAAACCGGCAGTGGAGGAAATTGCGGTAGAGACATGGGAAGGGTTCAGTGTAAGAATTGCCCGTTGGGTTTGCGATAGTATAGGGCGCATCTTGCGCGCAATCGCACCATATGGACTGAGCAAATAGGTCAGTCTCCGGCGAATGTTTGCTAACACATTGGAACTGCTCAACAGATCGCCGGAGAGCATGCTCGTCGCGTGGAAAGAGTGCTCGATGTAAGACAAGGAGAGCTTTGCTGGGTTGCAGGCACAATCTACATGGACTTGCCATTAAAGCCCAATATCTTGGATGACCTGACGAAAGAGGCAAGTCGACAATATTTATTCCTCGTACGCCTGCACTTGCTAATGCTATGGCAGAACTACACATTAGCTCCTCCCCCTCGCCCGACTTACCTTGATCCTGCCCACCCCGAATTGACACAAATTATGCTAGAAGACGAGTCCGGCCGCCTGCGGTTGACCGGAAACATGCTTAGATCTACCCAATTGGCTACAGGAGCTATAGTTGCCGTGCTAGGAACTGAGAACTCGAATGGAGACTTTGAGGTTATCGATGTAAAGGTCCCTGACCTACCTCGTCAACCCCATCGGTGGGAGAGGGATGAAAAGCAGTCTTCCCAGGAAGGAACTGGTAAAAGTAAAATTGCTTTTGTGAGCGGTCTTGGGATTACCGGAACTTCGAGCGACACATTATCCCTGGAGCTCTTAACAGACTACCTCCTTGGCTACACAGGTTCCCAATCATCAGCAAATGACGAGAGTGCACCCCCGGATGCTTCTGCAATTACGAGGCTGGTCATTGCGGGAAATTCTCTCGGTGCAAGCATGACTACCGATCCTAACGAGAATGCAGCTGCTTCAAAGAAGAAAAATGGGCCAAAGAAATATGGCTATGATGCTTCCGCGTACAATGCTTCTCCAATCACCCAGTTCGATAACTTCCTCGCCGAGATTCTACCCACCATACCTGTTACCCTTATGTCAGGCGCAAGCGACCCAGCCAATTTCTCACTGCCTCAACAGGGTATCCACCGAGCTATGTTTCCGCGATCTAGGGCATATTGCTCTGGACCCACGTCTGCTGGCGAAACCCCAGAGCCAGGATGGTTCGATAGCGTCACGAATCCCTGGGAAGGAGACATAGAAGGATGGCGTCTCTGGGGTTCGAGCGGCCAGAATGTCGACGACGTCCTTCGCTATCTAGATTTTGCGAATTCGAGTGGTACTGTTGATGGCAACGGGGATGCCGAGGCTAGGGTTAAGATCATGGAGGCCATGTTGCGTTGGAGGTGTGGTGTTCCCACCGCACCTGACACAATCTGTGAGTTCTCTTCCCACGACAATTTCTTGAAATGAAGTAGTAGCTGATTGTCACAGGGTCCTATCCATTCCAAACACACGATCCTTTCGTGATGGAGGCGTGTCCGCATATCTTCTTCGCTGGTAACCAGCCACAGTTCAAGACCGCGGTAATAGAAGGCGACGCTCCCTTGAAGCTGAATGGAGCCGACACAGAGATGACCGGTATGGATGATAACACATCTGGCCCACGAGTCCGTCTGTTATCCATTCCTACGTTCAAGGAAACTGGCGAACTGGTACTAGTTGATACCGAGACGCTGGAGGTAGAGGTCGTCAAATTCGGCACATACGCCGGGCAGCAGGAAAAGCAATGATTTGTATGTGAAACTAGGTATCAATGGTTCATGAGATGCCCACAAGACCTTGACATAGCCATAATACTAGTATAGACCCAACCAGTATTTACCAATAGAACGCGTGGACCTATGATATTGATGCCGGAAATGACCGCTATTATGGCCGTTTACAGGTAACACATATCCACCCCCAATCAAGCTCCATGCGGTTCTCGCCATGTTATTATAGATCGCTCCAAAAAAAAAAAAAGGTATCTATCTCCCTAGGTCGAAAATTCTCTCCGACACGATACAGTGAAGGGAAACGAACCAGAAAGCCACCAGAGGATGTCAATTCCGCATGGAAATAAACAAATGGCCCAAAATGCCAAGACACATATCAAAAAATAAAATGTTCATTAAAGGAATTTAATTCTCCCCAATTCTCCAAATCCGCCCCACGAATATAAATCCAATCTAGACCATTTCTACGGATCCCCACAAATATACTGTAATACTATAGACATTGTATCTCGAGCACATAAACCAGACACGCTAAAAAAAAAATGTTGTTAAATGCTAAAACTGGTACGCCCGCTTGGAATCCCCCCCCCCCAACAGTCACCAAGTACGTACACTAACAGATCAGGATAGCTATTTCAACATCTACAGTACTTCTAGTACCCTACTCTAAATGGCACGTGCCCCGCTACCACGAATGGATGAAAGATGAAGTATGTTTCACCCTTCCATCGTCTCATATCCGCAATCGCCTCGTACATAAGGATGGAACAACACTAACACTAACATCAGGAAATCCAAGAAGCAACAGCCTCAGAACCGCTGTCGCTAGAAGAGGAATACGCCATGCAACAAAGCTGGCGCCAAGATCCGGACAAGCTCACTTTCATCGTGTGCCAGCCCTCCCCCGCAGGAACGGGGGCATCCCCACTCCGCGACGAGGATGACAGCTCCGCGCGGATGATCGGGGACGTGAATCTCTTCCTCCGCGTCGATGACGGCGAGGAAGGGGACGCGGAGCCCCAGATCATCGGCGAGATCGAGCTCATGATCGCGGAGAAGAGCAATCAGCGCAAGGGGTTCGGGAAGGCCACGCTGCTCTCGTTTCTGCGATACATCGCTGACCACGAAGTGGAGATTCTGGGGGAGTTTGTTCGAGGGGATCCGGCTGCTGCCAAGGCTCTAGGGGAGGCTGGTGTCCGTGGGTGGAGGTTGTCGTGTCTTAGTGTTAAGATTGGGCAGGGGAATGGGCGCAGTTTGGGCTTGTTTGAGGGCGCGGGGTTTCGGAAGGTGTCGGAGGCGGCGAACTATTTTGGCGAGTTCGAGCTCAGAAGGATGGATCTGAGTCGAGACAGTGTGGATCAGGATCTGAAGAGGGCGGGGGTTGAGGGATACGTTGAGATGGAGTATCGTCGGCGTCTGTAGTGTGACTCCGGACCCAACAGGGCTTTTCTGAATCGAGGTGGTTTGATTTGATGATTCAATTGATATTCAATCGTGTCCCGTTTTTAGCGTCAACAGTGGATTTCCATGGCCCGATCCAATGAAACGAACCATGACTCGCATTGGTCCCTGGCATCCTAGGTGGGAATTGGAATATCCAAGCGCCAGTCGCTGCGATGTTGTCTAGGGTTTGGAATCCGGAAGCAACCTCACATGGGGTGTGTCCTGATCCCTCCGGCTAAATCTGAACCTCCTGAGCACTGACATGACCTGATAATAAAACTCCCAACTAATGGCCTTTTATAGTGCAAGGAGCTTGTCTGCTGCTCATGCCACTAGGCTGATCCTCCCCTCCCCTTCATAAAGCATTCGTTTTGGCCCCCCTTTTCCCAAACAACCCGGCTTCGAAGCTTCTCAATTCTTTGACCCTGAATACTCCCAACATGAGATACCTGACACGCTGGCGTTCCAGGCGCAAAGCATCCATTGTAACCGAAAAATACCAGACCCCGGACCCGGGCGAAATCAGCCAGGCAACACCGCCAGATGCCTTCTCCGGTTCCCCGGCCGTCCACGCAACGTGGTTCAATGTACATGACCGTTCGGATTTCCGAAATATCAGCATCCGTTTGCCCGCTTCAATTGATAAGATCACAATTGCTATCGGTAATCATGTCCGAGATGGGGTGTACAGCATTGTCAGCATGAGCGCGAGCGCATACTCGATAACGGTTGTTTGCTCGACAGAGAAGTCACAGGCCGAGGTCGCTGAGTGGGTGCAGAGGATGAAGGAGGAGCTGGGGAAGGATGCGGTGATTCCGCCGGAGGAACTGATTTTGCTACGAGAATGGGAGGAGAAATGGGGCGTGGTGGAAGAGTTGTCTACGATGGAGGATGGATTGGATACGGATATTGAACATGATCATCGAGGTGAGTAGACTATGTCCTTACGTTCTCTCCTCTATGCTCTTTATATTGACTGATGGACTTGGCATGTAAGTGCTGAGTGCTTCACAAAGCTCGACAGCGTTATGAGGTTCAAGGTGGGAGATAGGCTTTGACTGATGTATACCCTGATGATATGATTGTTTATTCAGTACGATGCAAGTATTGTTTGCTTGTCTTTTTTTGTTTTTTGTCTTTGCTTTTGTCTTTAGCATTTAGTAAAACTACCATTCAATGTGAAGGGGAGTAAACAATATTCACATTCGAAGAGTAGTAAAGCTATGAACAGAATGTCCGACCACTGCTAATAGATCGCCAGGTAGTAGAGACGAAACGGCCTCTATGTAGTTTCCCACAAGGCATTGCCACTCATGAAGCTGCCCACGGACATCGTATACAACCCTCCAATTTAAGCGCTGAATACCTCAGGGCCAGGGATGGGGTAGCCGCCGCTGAGGTCACTGTAGATGTCGAACAGGATACCAGCGTCAGTGTCCTTGTAAAGGGCCTCGCCGGCGGTACCTGCCGGTGTGGCGTCTCCGCCGCCAGTGACCTTGATATTGATGCACTGGGGGTAGTTCTGAGCACCATCCTTCTGACCGCCAGAGTGAAGGCCGATGATCTCGTGGCGGAGAACATAGTTACCCTCTTGGATGGATGTTGGGATGGTCACGGTCCAGCTGTTGTTGTTGCTGATCAAGTCATCGGAAGCCCACTGGCCCGGAGGGCTGCTGCCGTCAATCAAGCCCTGAGCCTCGATCTTGAAGAACTCTAGGGTGGTCTTGTCCACTGCGGAGCAGTCGCCACCGCAGGGGGCGAGGTAATTGAGAACAGGGCCGTGGTGGCTCTCAGGCCACTCGGTCCACTGCAGTTCAATTTCGCCACCAGCAGCAACTTCAGCAGTCAAAGCACCTGGCGCGCCGTCCTTATGACAGATGATATCAGGGGACTGGTATCCAGTGCCGTCCACAAATCCGAGGTCGGTGGCAGAGGTGGACCAGCCAATGGTCTCTGGGGGGTTGTCTGAGTAGGCGTACTTGTCGACAAGGTAGCCGCCATAACTATGAGTAGATATTAGCCTCCATGACAACATGTCTGTGAATCTGAAAACATACTATTGGCCGTCAACGACGATTCCACTCACATAACCGTGGCCGGCGACGAGAGAGGCGGAGGCCAGAAGGCCAGTAAGCGACGCGATCTTGGACATAGCCATTGTGATGGTATGATTTAATAGAACTAAAGGATATCAAATCCGCGGCCAGTGACTGAAAGACCTGCTCGATCAAAGGCGAGAAGAAAGAATGGAAGAGGGTGTGTCTGAGGACGAAATGAATAGGCAGTTTCTGACCTCCCACGGCCTTTTTATAATGCTCTCCATGCACACACGAGGTCCAGCCAGGCTCCTATTTTCCCTGTCCCTAGTCGGGAGGGGGCTGCTCCACCCTTGTGACTATGGGCTACCTGCGACACCTGGACCAGCGGATGATATTATCCGGGATTAGCTCGGTGGCAGGTAGATATGCTTCGGTCTTCACATATGCCAATACAGAGACCAATAGAATATCGTGGCGCCACTGCTAATTAAAGCAAGAGTCAGCCATTCTACACCTTGCATCGCTGCATGATTCGACGCTCAAGCATCTTCCTGTGGACTGTGCTGGATACCGAATGCATTGCCGTGATAGTGTACATCTCCCAATTCTGCCAAAATTGAACAGGGTCCGCCATGAAGATCCACAAATGACCTTCAAGTCCTATTGAAGAGGCAATGGCCCTGCCATGTGACATTAGGCCTGTCGTGTTTCCGCCCAATACCTTGCCTTAAGGCTGTATGCCTGCTGGGCAGTTAATGCCGGAGTTGATCGACCCTCGGGTTGACGGACCGATGGTTATTATGCCGTGGATTCAGGTACGCGAGACCCATGATCCAGGAAAGGCATCGTGCTATTGATCGAGTCTTCAGCCCAGCGAGACGAGAGGGGTCTCCGTGATCCATATAGCATAGAGATCATCTACAAGAAACTTGCCGTGACTTGAATGGCAATGATTAGCGCGGAGAGACCAGCTCTAATTCCTGATTCGAGGATACTTCTGCACCATCATTCTGCCCTCCAAATTGCCGGCATGGCAGTTAGACTTGGCATATAAACCAGCCTGGCAGGTCTCGCACATGACAGACCCTGGTGGAATTTTCCTACCATTCGGGATTGGGTCAAGAAAGGGTGTCTAGTAGAGGGCGGATGACGATCATGGTAGTCTGTGACGGGAGAAGTTGGAGGAAAGGCGAGAAGTGTTTCACTAAAGGCCCGCCAAGGGCCCTAAACCACAATATAGCCGGTCTTCCGCATGCATGGATCATACTATTTCAACGTCCAATTTATCCACGCTTTTCTATGTGCTAATTTGCAGGAGGGATCGTCGTCGATAGTTTATGTGGAGTTCCATATATAACTCCCAAGAGAAACTTGAGTCCCTGGGCGCTGTATGTCTCAAAACTAGCGAGTGGTCGAGACATCGAGTGATTTCAGAAAAGCCTTACAAATATCAAGCCCATAGCACATCTACATTCTACCCAAGAATCTCAATGGTGATATGACAACAGCCATCAAGGCGATGAGTGCAATCAA